TAAAGACTTGTATGCCTTCTTTAAAATCCTCCTTCCTTTTCCAGTGAACTGAAATCAAAAGTGGTGTGAAGTCTTGAATGTTTTGAGCGCAAGGCCATCTATAGTTGCCAAAAGGTTCGGCATGTCACCACAAGGATTGAGAAACACCGAAAACAGAATACCCCAGTTAGACAGCATATAACGCAGTGTGATAGTGATAGTTGAAAGTCAGAGTTTAATGGGAAGATCATCGATCAGGCCTCCACCAGCATTAAATTACTTACATTAGAGGAGCTCCACATTAGGAAACACAGACCGGCAATTAACACGCGCGACGAATTTAAAAGTGGTGAGCTGACACGAAGGCTGTAGTTCCAGAATCAACAAATTTTGGCTAAGAAACAAAAATGATTGATATAACAATAATGTTAGCATGATTTAGCGACAAAACAAAATTGTCGCCTTTTTAAGTGACATATGAGGTTAAAGAAAAATAGGCCCTATAACCATTGACTCAAGAGTCAGGGACACTATCACTTGTTTTTTTCCACCTCAAGCGGTTGGAGCCAATTCGGTTCACTTGCGACATGAGACTAAAAACCGTGTTACAGCTTTAAAGCCACTACCAAAAAAACCCCCACTCTAGAAAATAAGAAGAACGTCCCCATACTTGGGTCTCAAAATACCTAAAATACCCGAACTCCGTTAAAAACAGGGTCGGAACCTTATGCATCGTCATTTTTTATTAGTCAGTGGACCTTCGATCCATTTCAGATGGGTCAACTTAAAAACTCTCCCTAACTCAACATAAAAATATAAAAAACACTCAAGAAGTTTAAATTTGATGCTCACAAACCGACACGAACTCTAGAATTGAAGGTTCACTCGAGAAACTTGTAACGAATTAGTTTTAGCTCAAGAAATACGTTTTGGGTCTGGACCATTGGGAGATTGCGATTGTCCACCTTTCCACCGAAGGTTCACTCTGGTCCACTTGAATTTCACTCTCCTTTCACTCGCGATTACTTTCTGTCTCCTGCCACGAATAAGATAGCTCTACTCTCGTTGAAGTAAGTATCGGAGATTGCGAAAAGCAATTTCCCGCTTCTATTTTCGACTACATTCCCGCTATTGTAGTTCGAATCTTCTGATCTTCTTTTTCTGATATTTTCAGTTGTTGCGAGAACCTTGAGCATGACACGCTCAATTCGAATTTTTGAAAAATTGCATTTCACCCCAAAATCAAGACTGAACGTTTTTCTCAAGGTCAAACCTCCAAATATGACCGACTGGCACCTTAATTGGAAGATAATCGATCACGCCTCCAGCAGCATTAGGTTACTTACATCAGAGCAGCTCCACATTAGGAATGAAAGGCCGGCAATTAACACGCGCGACGAATTTAAAAGTAGTGATCTGACACGAAGGCTGGAGTTCCAGAATCAACAAATGTTAGCATGATTTAGCGACAAAATAAAATTGTAAAACAAAACTGTTAAAAATTCTCTGAAATTTGTGGCCAAATTAAAAAAATTGCTATTTAAAAGTTGTTACACAATTTAAAAATACTTGTGAGTTTTTGATTGGTTAAATTATTTAAGTTTTGAAATAATAATGACAATTTCTATGATCATTGATCATTTTGTAAGGATAGATAGGTTTTTAAAACCTGAAGATGCACAAAATGTACGAAAAAATTTGTTCGAATTTACACTTAAAAAAGCTTGCATCCGAAAAGCAAAAGTTCGGCATCTATAAAATGGAAACCTAGCCGGTGACAACAAGGTAGTGATCCGAGGCCCCGAAAGTATTCGGTGGTTTTCTCAATTATTTTGTTCGAAAATACTACATTTGGATTCAACTCACTTCTAAACTTTCACCGTGCAGCCTGCACAGGACGTCCAACTGGAATTAAAGTCTTTAACTTAAAAGAAGCTACTATAACTAAAAGAAGCTTCGCAATCCTGAGGAGCTCTAAACTTTGTGTTAGGGGTGCAAATCGCTGCGCAAAGTTCATTTTGTCGACAACTCAATTAGCGCTAGTGTAGAGGAAGGACGGCTAAAAAATTTAAAACTACGACGATGCATTTAATGTTAATTTTGAAAATTCGGCATTTTAGCATGACAAAAAAATTCAAAACTAAAATTAGGCTTTAAGACATTGGGAAAAATAACCAACTTTAAGAATAATTTTGGCAGGCTATTTAAAGTTTGATTGTATAAATCAAATTGTATAGCAATTTGATAAATTAATTTATGAATAATTAGTGTGACACATTTTATGGTTTTTGATCAGTCTCTACCTTTTTAGTTAGATTTTTAAACCTGAAGATATACTAAAATTGTGCAAAAACGTTTGTTCAATTAACAATTTTAACGTAATTGATGCACTTAATGCTGATATCTGACTTCATTGATAAAATGATACAGTTAACTAAACGGAAGGGGCCCTTTAGCACATCAGTTAATGCAACTTATCTTACAGCAATATCAACGGCTGAAACATGCTAACAAAGTGAAAACAGAAGAAATGGACAGCGAGATAGAGACTCCGAAATATAATATGCACCCAGTCTCTGTCCTGACAAAATGCATATGTCGACTGCTGCAGAATGGACTCATTTTACCCAAAGTGATCGTCAACCAGGTAGAGCTCAGAAGCTTTGGCCAAATGAAGTGTTTTTCCGTTTGTCAGTCATTATCAACATGATGCTTCAATGAAAAGGCAAAATCTCTTAAGTCGATGTTTTAGTTTATTTCGTCTTAAGCGCACTGGGAAATTTTTCTCAAGTTTTCTTAAAAAGCTATCACGGTACAACCAGAATGTGAATACGTTCTTGTTGAACCGTACAACCGGTACTCTAGAATGGGCATGTAGCCCGGAGCTGTGTCATGTAGTCTTGATGTCGTAAAAGCACCCAGGAGCGCCATAAAAACACTATGTAACAGTCGCTTACTTAAGTCACATATGAGGTTAAAGAAAAATAGGCCCTGTAAGTATCGGCTCGAGAGTCAGGGACGATATCTCTTGTGTTTTTCCATCTCAAGCGGTCGGAGCCAATTCCGTTCACTTGCGACATGAGACTAAAACCCGTGTTACAGCTTAAAGGCCAATACCAAGAAACCCCTCACTCTAGAAAACAAGAAAAACGTCCCCATACTTGGGTCTCCAAATACCTAAAGTACCCGAACTCCGTTAAAAACAGGGTCGGAGCCTTATGCATTGTCATTTTTTATTAGACAGTGGACCTTTGATCCATTTCAGATGGATCAACTTAAAAACTCTCCCTAACTCAACATAACAAAATAAAACACATACAAGAAAGTTAAATTTGATGCTCACATACCGACACGAACTCTAGAATTGAAGGTTCACTCGAGAAACTTGTAACGAATTAGTTTTAGCTCAAGAAATACGTTTTGGGTCTGGACCATTGGGAGATTGCGATTGTCCACCTTTCCACCGAAGGTTCACTCTGGTCCACTTGAATTTCACTCTCCTTTCACTCGCGATTACTTTCTGTCTCCTGCCACGAATAAGATAGCTCTACTCTCGTTGAAGTAAGTATCGGAGATTGCGAAAAGCAATTTCCCGCTTCTATTTTCGACTACATTCCCGCTATTGTAGTTCGAATCTTCTGATCTTCTTTTTCTGATATTTTCAGTTGTTGCGAGAACCTTGAGCATGACACGCTCAATTCGAATTTTTGAAAAATTGCATTTCACCCCAAAATCAAGACTGAACGTTTTTCTCAAGGTCAAACCTCCAAATATGACCGACTGGCACCTTAATTGGAAGATAATCGATCACGCCTCCAGCAGCATTAGGTTACTTACATCAGAGCAGCTCCACATTAGGAATGAAAGGCCGGCAATTAACACGCGCGACGAATTTAAAAGTAGTGATCTGACACGAAGGCTGGAGTTCCAGAATCAACAAATGTTAGCATGATTTAGCGACAAAATAAAATTGTAAAACAAAACTGTTAAAAATTCTCTGAAATTTGTGGCCAAATTAAAAAAATTGCTATTTAAAAGTTGTTACACAATTTAAAAATACTTGTGAGTTTTTGATTGGTTAAATTTTTTAAGTTTTGAAATAATAATGACAATTTCTATGATCATTGATCATTTTGTAAGGATAGATAGGTTTTTAAAACCTGAAGATGCACAAAATGTACGAAAAAATTTGTTCGAATTTACACTTAAAAAAGCTAGCATCCGAAAAGCAAAAGTTCGGCATCTATAAAATGGAAACCTAGCCGGTGACAACAAGGTAGTGATCCGAGGCCCCGAAAGTATTCGGTGGTTTTCTCAATTATTTTGTTCGAAAATACTACATTTGGATTCAACTCACTTCTAAACTTTCACCGTGCAGCCTGCACAGGACGTCCAACTGGAATTAAAGTCTTTAACTTAAAAGAAGCTACTATAACTAAAAGAAGCTTCGCAATCCTGAGGAGCTCTAAACTTTGTATTAGGGGTGCAAATCGCTGCGCAAAGTTCATTTTGTCGACAACTCAATTAGCGCTAGTGTAGAGGAAGGACGGCTAAAAAATTTAAAACTACGACGATGCATTTAATGTTAATTTTGAAAATTCGGCATTTTAGCATGACAAAAAAATTCAAAACTAAAATTAGGCTTTAAGACATTGGGAAAAATAACCAACTTTAAGAATAATTTTGGCAGGCTATTTAAAGTTTGATTGTATAAATCAAATTGTATAGCAATTTGATAAATTAATTTATGAATAATTAGTGTGACACATTTTATGGTTTTTGATCAGTCTCTACCTTTTTAGTTAGATTTTTAAACCTGAAGATATACTAAAATTGTGCAAAAACGTTTGTTCAATTAACAATTTTAACGTAATTGATGCACTTAATGCTGATATCTGACTTCATTGATAAAATGATACAGTTAACTAAACGGAAGGGGCCCTTTAGCACATCAGTTAATGCAACTTATCTTACAGCAATATCAACGGCTGAAACATGCTAACAAAGTGAAAACAGAAGAAATGGACAGCGAGATAGAGACTCCGAAATATAATATGCACCCAGTCTCTGTCCTGACAAAATGCATATGTCGACTGCTGCAGAATGGACTCATTTTACCCAAAGTGATCGTCAACCAGGTAGAGCTCAGAAGCTTTGGCCAAATGAAGTGTTTTTCCGTTTGTCAGTCATTATCAACATGATGCTTCAATGAAAAGGCAAAATCTCTTAAGTCGATGTTTTAGTTTATTTCGTCTTAAGCGCACTGGGAAATTTTTCTCAAGTTTTCTTAAAAAGCTATCACGGTACAACCAGAATGTGAATACGTTCTTGTTGAACCGTACAACCGGTACTCTAGAATGGGCATGTAGCCCGGAGCTGTGTCATGTAGTCTTGATGTCGTAAAAGCACCCAGGAGCGCCATAAAAACACTATGTAACAGTCGCTTACTTAAGTCACATATGAGGTTAAAGAAAAATAGGCCCTGTAAGTATCGGCTCGAGAGTCAGGGACGATATCTCTTGTGTTTTTCCATCTCAAGCGGTCGGAGCCAATTCCGTTCACTTGCGACATGAGACTAAAACCCGTGTTACAGCTTAAAGGCCAATACCAAGAAACCCCTCACTCTAGAAAACAAGAAAAACGTCCCCATACTTGGGTCTCCAAATACCTAAAGTACCCGAACTCCGTTAAAAACAGGGTCGGAGCCTTATGCATTGTCATTTTTTATTAGACAGTGGACCTTTGATCCATTTCAGATGGATCAACTTAAAAACTCTCCCTAACTCAACATAACAAAATAAAACACATACAAGAAAGTTAAATTTGATGCTCACATACCGACACGAACTCTAGAATTGAAGGTTCACTCGAGAAACTTGTAACGAATTAGTTTTAGCTCAAGAAATACGTTTTGGGTCTGGACCATTGGGAGATTGCGATTGTCCACCTTTCCACCGAAGGTTCACTCTGGTCCACTTGAATTTCACTCTCCTTTCACTCGCGATTACTTTCTGTCTCCTGCCACGAATAAGATAGCTCTACTCTCGTTGAAGTAAGTATCGGAGATTGCGAAAAGCAATTTCCCGCTTCTATTTTCGACTACATTCCCGCTATTGTAGTTCGAATCTTCTGATCTTCTTTTTCTGATATTTTCAGTTGTTGCGAGAACCTTGAGCATGACACGCTCAATTTGAAATTTTGAAAAATTGCATTTCACCCCAAAATCAAGACTGAACGTTTTTCTCAAGGTCAAACTTCCAAATATGACCGACGCGCACATTAATTGGAAGAAAATCAATCACGCCTCTAGCAGCACTAAGTTACTTACATTAGAGGAGCTCCACATTAGGAAAGACAGGCCGGCAATTAACACGCGCGACGAATTTAAAAATAGTGAGCTGTAGTTCCAGAATTAACAAATTTTGGCGAAAAATTAAAAAAAAATTGAAATAACTAACATGTTAGCATGATTTAGCGACAAAACAAAATTGTGAAACAAAAATGTTAAAAACTCTCCGAATTTTTTGGCCAATTTAATAAAATTGCTATTTAATAGTTGTTACATAATTTAAATAAATCTTGTGAGTTTATGATTGGTTAAATTTCCTAAATTCTGAAATTATAATGACAATTTTTATGATCATTGATCCTTTTGTAAATAAAGATAGATTTTTAAAACCTGAAGATGCACAAAAATGTGCGAAAAAGTTTATTCGAGTTTACACTTAAAAAAGTTTGCAACCAAAAAGCATCCAAAATCTATAAAATGGAAACCTAGCCGGTGACAACAAGGTAGTGATCCGAGACCCCGAAAGTATTCGGTGGTTTTCTCAACTATTTCTTTTTTTCATGGCGCTTTGGCAAAAAATAAAGAGTTGAAAATACTACATTTAGATTCAACTCACTTCTAAATGTTCACCGTGTAGCCTGCACAGGACGTCCAGCTGGAGTTAAAGTCTTTAACTTAAAAGAAGCTTCTAGAACTAATAGAAGCCTCGCGCTCCTGAAGAGCTCAATACTTTGTATTAAGCGGTGCAAATCGCTGCGCAAAGTTCATTTTGTCGACAACTCAATTAGCGCTAGTGTAGAGGAAGGACGGCTAAAAAAGTTAAAATTACGACGATGCATTTAATGTTAATTTTGAAAATTCGGCATTTTAGTATGACAATAAAATTCAAAACTAAATTTAGACTTTAAGAAATTGGGAAAAATAACCAATTCTAAGAATAAATTTGGCGGGATAATTGAAATTTGAATTGTATAATACAACATTGTATAGCAGTTTGATAAATTAAATTATGAATAATGTGTTTGACACTTTTTATGATTTTTGATCAGTCTCTACATTTTAGTTAAATTTTTAAACCTGAAGATAAAGAAAAAAAATGCGCGAAAACGTTTGTTCAATTAACAATTTTGACATAATTGATGCATTTAATGCTGATATATGACTTCATTGATAAAATGATACAGTTTACTGAATGGAAGGGCCCCTTTTGTAATTTGGTTTTTTCAATCTTTTTCTCAGGGTGAGAATTATTTAAAAAACTTAAGACATACGATAAATTTCTTACAGCTATAGTGTAATCTAATGGCCGATGCAAATAATAGTTAGCGTAGCTCTGTAATGGCTTCTGTAGACCACCTAACTGGTTTCTGTCCAACTAAATCCTTTCTTATGAGTAATTAAACTTGGAAGAACTGGTGGGTGAAGGATTATTGATTTAAAATACCTAGCCTGAACTTTTCATGATAATTTTCTTGGTGATGGCTTTTTTCAGAAACCAATGAAACAGCTTGAAAAGCTGGCTGTGAGCAATAATGGCCTCGTTGATTCCTTGAAAGAATCTCCTGAAAACTGCCGTGCTGAAAACCATACGGATCTTGTTTCCGCCTTAAGGTGATTTTTATTAATGTTTATTCACTAATTTGGCGATTTTTTGCGAACACAGTCCTTCACTCCAGCCGAATTATGGGAGATTGTCATGGGTAAGATCCACGTTTCTAAAGCAAAATCTGTCCTAGTGTTTGTGATATGTAGAATAGTGAGGGACGAGGCGAGCCACTGGAACACAAAGCACATCAGTTAATGCAACTTATCTTACAGCAATATCAACGGCTGAAACATGCTAACAAAGTGAAAACAGAAGAAATGGACAGCGAGATAGAGGCTCCGAAATATAATATGCACCTAGTCTCTGTCCTGACAAAATGCATATGTCGACTGCTGCAGAATGGACTCATTTTACCCAAAGTGATCGTCAACCAGGTAGAGCTCAGAAGCTTTGGCCAAGTGAATTTTTCGTTTGTCAGTCAATATCAATATGGTGCTTCAATGAAAAGGCAAAATCTCTTAAGTCGATGTTTTAGTTTATTTCGTCTTAAGCGCACTGGGAAATTTTCTCAAGTTTTCTTAAAAAGCTATCACGGTACAACCAGAATGTGAATACGTTCTTGTTGAACCGTACCACCGGTACTCTAGAATGGGCATGTAGCCCGGAGCTGTGTCAAGTAGTCTTGATGTCGTAAAAGCACCCAGGAGCGCCATAAAAACACTATGTAACAGTCGCTTACTTAAGTCACATATGAGGTTAAAGAAAAATAGGCCCTGTAAGTATCGGCTCGAGAGTCAGGGACACTATCTCTTGTGTTTTTCCATCTCAAGCGGTCGGAGCCAATTCCGTTCACTTGCGACATGAGACTAAAACCCGTGTTACAGCTTAAAGGCCACTACCAAGAAACCGCCCACTCTAGAAAACAAGAAGAACGTCCCCATACTTGGGTCTCGAAATACCTAAAGTACCCGAACTCCGTTAAAAACAGGGTCGGAGCCTTATGCATTGTCATTTTTTATTAGACAGTGGACCTTTGATCCATTTCAGATGGATCAACTTAAAAAATCTCCCTAACTCAACATAAAAATATAAAAAACACTCAAGAAATTTAAATTTGATGCTCACAAACCGACACGAACTCTAGAATCGAGTAATTAAACTAATAAGCAACTCTAGAATTGATGGGTAATTGAGTTTAACTCGAGAAGTTTGTAATGAAGTAGTTTTAGCTCAAGAAATATGTTTTGGGTCTGGATAATTGGAAGATTGCGATTTCCACCTTTCCACCGAAGGTTCACTCTGGTCCACTTGAATTTCACTCTCCTTTCACTCGCGATTACTTTCTGTCTCCTGCCACGAATAAGATAGCTCTACTCTCGTTCGAATTAAGTATCGGAGATTGCGAATAGCAATTTCCCGCTTCTATTTTCGACTACATTCCCGCTATTGTAGTTCGAATCTTCTGATCTTCTTTTTCTGATATTTTCAGTTGTCGCGAGAACCTTGAGCATGACACGCTCAATTCGAATTTTTGAGAAATTGCATTTCACCCCAAAATCAAGACTGAACGTTTTTCTCAAGGTCAAACTTCCAAATATGACCGAAGCGCACATTAATTGGAAGAAAATCAATCACGCCTCTAGCAGCACTAAGTTACTTACATTAGAGGAGCTCCACATTAGGAAAGACAGGCCGGCAATTAACACGCGCGACGAATTTAAAAATAGTGAGCTATAGTTCCAGAATCAACAAATTTTGGCTAAAAAACTAAAAAAATTGAAATAACTAACATGTTAGCTTGATTTAGCGACAAAACAAAATTGTGAAACAAAAATGTTAAAAACTCTCAGAACTTTTTGGCCAATTTAATAAAATTGCTGTTTAATAGTTGTTACTTAATTTAAATAATTCTTGTGAGTTTATGTTTGGTTAAATTTCTTAAATTCTGAAATTATAATGACAATTTTTATGATCATTGATACTTTTGTAAAGATAGATAGATTTTTAAAACCTGAAGATGCACAAAAATGTGCGAAAAAGTTTATTCGAATTTACACTTAAAAAAGCTTGCATCCAAAACGCAAAAGTTCGGCATCTATAAAATGGAAACCTAGCCAGTGACAACAAGGTTACCATAACAAGGTTACCATAACAAGGTTACCATAACTAAACGGAAGGGACCCTTTTGTAATTTAGTTTTTTTTTAAACTAAAAGAAGCTTCGCGCTCCTGAGGAGCTCTATATTTTGTATAAAGGAGTGCAAATCGCTGCGCAAAGTTCATTTTGTCGACAACTCAATTAGCGCTAGTGTAGAGGAAGGACGGCTAAAAAATTTAAAACTACGACGATGCATTTAATGTTAATTTTGAAAATTCGGCATTTTAGCATGACAATAAAATTCAAAACTAAATTTAGGCTTTAAGAAATTGAGAAAAATAACCAATTCTAAGAATAAATTTGGCGGGATAATTGAAATTTGAAGTGTTTATTACAAATTGTATAGCAGTTTGATAAATAATTTATGAATAATGTGTTTGACACTTTTTATGATTTTTGATCAGTCTCTACATTTTAGTTAGATTTTTAAACCTGAAGATATACTAAAATTGTGCAAAAACGTTTGTTCAATTATAAATTTTGCTATAATTGATGCATTTAATGCTGATATATGACTTCATTGATATAATGATACAGTTTACTGAATGTAAGGGCCCCTTTTGTATTTTGGTTTTTTCAATCTTTTTCTCGGGTCTAGGACAACAAGCCGACGGGACTTCAAGCTGAAGGGGCTTGAAGCCGAAATTGAAACTTTACAAGCACCTCAAAACACTATTTTATCATCTGTAAAACGTTATTTTTTAAAAATTTTGGCAATCTTAGCCCATAATAAACGTTATTCATGACAATGCACCGCTTGTGATTGGCATCCGTTAATAACATCAGCCGGTTTTTGAACTGCATAAATTATAAACTTGAAAAATGCCTTCAACCATCTTTTACTTTCCAACTTTCCGAAACATCATTTGGAGGCTTAAATTTTATGAAAACGCCAATAACTTGTGAAGAAAGATCATGAAATTCGGAAACTCTTCAAAATAGTTTTCAAATTAATCATATTTCACTAGTTTATAAAGAACTATTCGGCTTGAAGTCCCTTATTTTACGATTCGGCTTGAAGTCCCGTCGGCTTGATGTCCGGCACCCTTTTTTCTCAAGGTGAGAATTATTTAAAAAACTTAAGACATCCGATAAAGTTCTTACAGCTATAGTGTAGTCTAATGGCCGATGTAAATAATAGTTAGCGTAGCTCTTTAATGGCTTCTGTAGACCACCTAACTGGTTTCTGTCCAACTAAATCCTTTCTTATGAGTAATTAAACTTGGAAGAACTGGTGGGTGAAGGATTATTGATTTAAAATACCTAGCCTGAACTTTTCATGAGAATTTTCTTGGTGATGGCTTTTTTCAGAAACCAATGAAACAACTTAAAAAGCTGGCTGTGAGCAATAATGGCCTCGTTGATTCCTTGAAAGAATCTCCTCAAAACTGCCGTGCTGAAAACCATACGGATCTTGTTTCCGCATTAAGGTGATTTTTATTAATGTTTTTTCACTAATTTGGCAATTTTTTGCGAACACAGTCCTTCGCTCCAGCCGAATTATGGGAGATTATCATGGGTAAGATCCACGTTTTTAAAGCAAAATCTGTCCTAGTGTTTGTGATATGTAGAATTTCAATTTTTGTGAATAGGCTTCAAGGTTTTAGGGAGATACGTAATCTATAAGTGCGTAATCATAAACATAAAAAAACTGTGCATACTTCGGATGTCATTGAATTGTAAGTCTTCTAAATCTGTAAAAGTAAAGATTTGTAAACCTATTTCAACCGTATTTCAATGTTGCTGTTGTTTTCAGTCTAGTGCATGGATTGATAGCGTTTAGATTGAATGAAGACACTGATCATGAAGCTGTACGTCAAATGGAAGAGAGAGAGAGAGAGAGAGAGCGTGTTGACCGAGGCGGTATCTGTTCTCAATAGTCTTCTTAACACGACAGATCAACAAGGCCCTCTCTCGACAAAATGCTACGTCCTCAAAGAAAAACTGAGTGAGGGACGAGGCGAGCCACTGGCACAATTAGCACATCAATTAATGCAACTTATTTTACACCAATATCAACGGCTGAAACATGCCAACAAAATGAAAACAGAAGAAATGGACAGCTACATGGAGGCTCCGAAAAATAATATGCACCTAGTCTCTGTCCTGACAAAATGCGTATGTCGACTGCTGCAGAATGGACTCATTTTACCCAAAGTTATCGTCAACCAGGTAGAGCCCAGAAACTTTGGCCACATGAAGTGTTTTTCCGTTTGTCAGTCAATATCAACATGATGCTTCAATGAAAAGGCAAAATCTCTTAAGTCGATGTCTTAGTTTAGTTCGTCTTAAGCGCACTGGGAAATTTTCTCAAGTTTTCTTAAAAAGCTATCACGGTACAACCAGAAGGTGAATACGTTCTTGTTGAACCGAACCACCGGTACTCTAGAATGGGAATGGGCATGTAGCCCGGAGCTGTGTCAAGTGGGTTTGATCCCGTAGTCTTGATGTCGTAAAAACACCCAGGAGCGCCATAAAAACACTAGGTAACAGTCGCCTACTTAAGTCACATATGAGGTTAAAGAAAAATAGGCCCTGTAACTATCGGTTGGAGAGTCAGGGACACTATCTCTTATGTTTTCCCACCTCAAGCGGTTGGAGCCAATTTGGTTCACTTGCGACATGAGACTTAAACCCGTGTTACAGCTTAAAGGCCACTACCAAAAATTCCGCCACTCTAGAAAAAAAGAAGAATGTACCCATACTTGGGTCTCGAAATACCTAAAACACCCGAACTCCGTTAAAAACAGGGTCGGAACCTTATTTCACCCCAAAATTGAGACTGAACGTTTTTCTCAAGGTCAAACTTCCAAATATGACCGACGCGCACATTAATTGAAAGATAATCAATCACGCCTCCAGCAGCACTAAGTTACTTACATTAGAGGAGCTCCACATTAGGAAAGACAGGCCGGCAATTAACACGCGCGATGAATTTAAAAATAGTGAGCTGTAGTTCCAGAATCAACAAATTTTGGCTAAAAAACAAAAAATTTTGAAATAACTAACATGTTAGCATGATTTAGCGACAAAACAAAATTGTAAAACAAAGTGTTAAAAACTCTCATAAATTTTTGGCCAATTTAATAAAATTGCCATTTAATAGTTAATACATAAATTAATTAATACTTTTGAGTTTATGATTAGTTAAATTTCTTAAATTTTGGAATTATAATGACAATTTTTCTGATCATTGATCATTTTGTAAAAATAGATAGATTTTTAAAACCTGAAGATGTCCAAAAATGTGCGAAAAAATTTGTTCGAATTTACACTTAAAAAAGCTTGCATCCAAAACGCAAAAGTTCGGCATCTATAAAATGGAAACCTAGCCGGTGACAACAAGGTAGTGATTCGAGACCCCGAAAGTATTCGGTGGTTTTCTCAACTATTTCTTTTTTTTCATGGCGCTTCGGCAAAAAGTAAAAAGTTGAAAACACTACATTTAGATTCAACTCACTTCTAAATGTTCACCGTGTAGCCTGCACAGGAGTTCCAGCTGGAGTTAAAGTCTTTAACTTAAAAGAAGCTTCTAGAACTAAAAGAAGCTTCGCGCTCCTGAGGAGCTCTATACTTTGTATTGAGGGGTACAAATCGCTGCGCAAAGTTCATTTTGTCGACAACTCAATTAGCGCTAGTGTAGAGGAAGGAAGGCTAAAAAAGTTAAAATTACGACGATGCATTTAATGTTAATTTTGAAAATTCGGCATTTTAGCATGACAATAAAATTCAAAAATAAAATTAGGCTTTAAGAAATTGGGAAAAATAACCAACTCTAAGAACAAATTTGGCGAGATAATTTAAGTTTGAAGTGTATTATACAAATTGTATAGCAGTTTGATATATTAATTTATGAATTATGTGTTATACACTTTTCATGATTTTTGATCAGTCTCTACCTTTTAGTTAGACTTTCAAACCTGAAGATATACTAAAAATGTGCGAAAACGTTTGTTCAATTAACAATTTTGACGTAATTGATGCATTTAATGCTGATATATGACTTCATTGATAAAATGATACAGTTTACTGAACGGAAGGGCCCCTTTAGTATTTTGGTTTTTTCAATCTTTTTCTCAAGGTGAGAATTATTTAAAAAATTTGAGACATCCGATAAAGTTCTTACACTTAAAGTGTAGTCTAATGGCCGATGCAAATAATAGTTATGGCTTCTTCAGACCACCTAACTGATTTCTGTATGAATAAATTCGTTTTTCTGAGCAATTAAAATTGGAAGAACTGAGGAGTGAAGGATTATCGATTCAAAATACCTAGCCTGACCATTTCATGATAATTTTCTTGGTGGTGGCTTTTTTCAGAAACCAATGAAACAGCTTGAAAAGCTGGCTGTGAGCAATAATGGCCTCGTTGATTCCTTGAAAGAATCTCTTCAAAACTGCAGTGCTGAAAACCATACGGATCTTGTTTCCGCCTTAAGGTGATTTTTATTAATCTTTATTCACTAATTTGGCGAATTTTTCCGAACACAGTCCTTCACTCCAGCCTAATTATGGGAGTCTGTCATGGGTTAGATCCAAGTTTTTAAAGCAAACTCTGTCTTAGTGTTTGTGATATGTAGAATTTCATTTTTTGTGAATAAGCTTCAGTGTTTTAGGGACATACTTAATCTAACAGTGGGTAGTCCGAAATAGAAAAAAGCTATGCGTATTTTGGATGTCACTGAATTATAAGTCTTCTAAATGTTTGAAAGTAAAGATATGTGAACTTATGTCATCCGTATTTTAATTTTTTTGCTGTTGTATTCAGTCTGGTATATGGATTGGTAGCGTTTAGATTGAATGAAGACATTAATAATGAAAGTGTACGTCAAATGGAAGAGAGGGAGAGCGTGTGGACCGAGGCGGTATCTGTTCTCATTAGTCTTCTTAACGCGACAGATCAACAAGGCCCTCTCTCGACAAAATGCTACGTCCTCAAAGAAAAACTGAGTGAGGGACGAGGCGAGCCACTGGAACAATTAGCACATCAGTTAATGCAACTTATCTTACAGCAATATCAACGGCTGAAACATGCTAACAAAGTGAAAACAGAAGAAATGGACAGCGACATGGAGGCTCCGAAATATAATGTCCAACTAGTCTCTGTCCTGACAAAATGCGTATGTCGACTGCTGCAGAATGGACTCATTTTACCCAAGGTGATCGTCAACCAGGTAGAGCTCAGAAATGAAGTCGTGAAATGAGGCCAAGTGAATTTTTTTTCCGTTTGTCAGTCAATATCAATATGGTGCTTCAATGAAAAGGCAAAATATCTTAAGTCGATGTTTTACTTTATTTCGTCTTAAGCTCACTGGGAAATTTTCTCAAGTTTTCCTTAAAAGCTATCACGGTACAACCAGAAGGTGAATACGTTCCCGCTGAACCGTACCACCGGTACTCTAGAATGGGCATGTAGCCCGGAGCTGTGTCAAGTGGGTTTGATCCCGTAGTCTTGATGTCGTAAAAACACCCAGGAGCGCCATAAAAACACTATGTAACGGTCGCCTATTTAAGTGACATATGAGGTTAAAGAAAAACAGACCCTGTAACTTTTGGCTCAAGAGTCAGAGACACTATCTCTTGTGTTTTTCTACCTCAAGCGGTCGGAACCAATTCGGTTCACTTGCCACATGAGACTAAAACCCGTGTTACAGCTTAAAGGCCACCACCAAAAATTCAGCCACTCAAGAAAAAAAAGAAGAATGTCCCCATACTTAGGTCTCGAAAAACCTAAAATACATGAACGCCGTTAAAAACAGGGTCGGAACCTTATGCATTGTCATTTTTTCTTAGACAGTGGGCCTTTGATCCTTTTCAGATGGATCAACCTAGTAACTCTGCCTAACTCAACATAACAATATAAAACACACTCAAGAAAATTGAATTTATTATTCACAAACCGACACGACCTCTAGAATCGAGTAACTAAATTAATAAGCAACTCTAGAATTGATGGGTTATTAAGTTTAACTCGAGAAGTCTGTAATGATTTAGTTTTAACTCAAGAAATACGTTTTGGATCTGGACCATTGGGAGACTTCGATTGTCCACTTTTCCACCGAAGGTTCACTCTGGTCCACTTGAATTTCACTCTCCTTTCACTCGCGATAATTTTCTGTCTTCTACCACGAATAAGATAGCTCTACTCTCGCGCAATGAATTTGAAAGTAGTGAGCTGACACGAAAGCTGTAGTTACAGAATCAACACAATTTGGCTAAAAAACAAAAAATTTCGAAATAACTAACATGTTAGCATGATTTAGCGACAAAACAAAATTGTAAAAAAAAATGTTAATAACTCTCAGAAATTTGTGGCAAATTTAATAAAATTGCTATTTAATAGTTGTTACATAATTTAAATAATACTTGTGAGTTTATGTTTGTTTAAATTTTCAAGTTTTGAAATTATAGTGACAATTTTTATGATCATTGATCATTTTGTAAAGATAGATAGATTTTTTAAACCTGAAGATGCACAAAAATGTGCGAAAAAATTTGTTCGAATTTACATTTAAAAAAGCTTGCATCCAAAAAGCAAAAGTTCGGCATCTATAAAATGGAAACATAGGCGGTGACAACAAGGTAGTGATCCAAGATCCCGAAAGTATTCGGTGGTTTTCTCAACTATTTCTTTTTTTCATGGAATTCAGAGATGGTATTTACTTAAGATACGGATGGTAACCGACCAAAACCCCACTCTTATGTGCATGTGGTGCTAATTTTAACTTGACACATGCGCTTCACTGTGCAAAGTGTGGTTACACACACATAAGACACAATGCAATTAGAGACACATTCGCCAACCTCATGAATGAGGTTTGCCATGATGTCGAGTTTGAGACGAAACTTCAGTCGTTGCAAGGCGAAAGCTTTGTCAACAATTCAACTACAACTGAAAATTAGGCACGACTTGACATTAACGCAAACAAACTCTGGGTGTTCACGATTCAGCCGCGCTTTCTTTGATGTGAAAAAATTTCAATCCTCATGCCGAAACATCGCGAAAACTGCATAAAGACGCAAACAAATACCACGAAAAGCAAAAGAACTCCAAATATCAGCAAAGAATTTTAAAAGTAGAGCACAGTAGCTTCTGTCCACTAATTTTCCGATACACCGGTGGCACTGCTCCAACGGCCACACGGACGATGCAGCGATTAGCCGAAAAACTAAGTGAAAAAAGACAAGAAAGCTATCCAGGATCTATAAACTACAGAAGAACTAAAATAAGCTTCGCGCTCCTGAGGAGCTCTATACTTTGTTTAAGGGGGTGCAGATCGCTACGCAAAGTTCAATTTATCGACAACTCCATAAGCGCTATTGTAGATGAAGGACGGCTTAGATAAATTAACATTACGACGATGCATTTAATGCTGATTCTGGACTTCATTGCTGATATATATGCGTTTTTATAACGCTGGTATGGCCCTATCCAGCTTGTGCTCTTACCATAACTAAACGGAAGGGACCCTTTTGTAATTTAGTTTTTTTTTAAACTAAAAGAAGCTTCGCGCTCCTGAGGAGCTCTATATTTTGTATAAAGGAGTGCAGATCGCTGCGCAAAGTTCATTTTGTCGACAACAAATAAGCGCTAGTATAGATGAACGACGGCTAAAAAAATAAAAAATTACGACGATGCATTTCATGTTAATTTTGAAAAATCGGCATTTCAGCATGACAATAAAGTTAAAAACTAAATAAGAATTTTTTAAAATTGTTAATTCAAACGTTTTCGCACATTTTGTGCATCGTCAGGATATAAAATTTTTTATTTACAATAAAATGATTTTATATTATTTCTTTAAAAACTAAAGTTAGGCTTAAAGAAATTGGAAAAAATAACCAACTCTAAGAATAAATTTGGCGGGATATTTAAAATTTGATTAGTAGTAGTAGTAGTAGTAGTAGTGTAGGCTTTAGGATTTCTCCATGGGTTTTGAACCCTCGTTTATAAGTTCATAATTTTTCCCGGTGGGTTGCAGTTTCCACACCAGCAAAGAATTCTCCACATACACAAGTTGTTTTCTGCAAAATTTCTGTTGAAGAATTTCCAAAACGTGTTTGTTATAGATATTTTCAGGCTGTCATAATCTTGATTTTCGAAGTCCACAATTTGGCTAAAGTAGTTGTATAGCGTAATAGAACGTATATAATAATTTTCATTTGACTTTTTCAGTCTTGTTGCATGAACAGCAATCTCACCACGTGTTGCTTGTCTCGTTCGTGATTCGTTTTTATGAATAATTGTATTCAAATCAATGTCATGTTTTTTTTTTAGTAGTGAAACTAAGTACAATATGTCGTGTAATTCAAAGTACATTGAGAGTGGAAGGAGCTTTAAAAATTTCAGTCTTTCAGTATAACTCATTTTGAAGTTATTTGTAATCCAAGATGTCGCTCGTTTTTGTACTCTTTCTAGTTGTCTTAATTCTGCTTTGTTCGGATACCATGTTTGCGATGCATAGCTTATGATTGGTACGATGTATCCGCAGTATAAGTTTAATTTTGACTTTAAAGATGTTTTTTTCGAGATATTTCGTTTGATTTTGTAAAAAGCTCCCATTGCTTTTGATATGCGATTTTCAGCATTTACTGACCACGAAAGGTTGTGACACATTAAAATACCTAAGTCTTTTTGGGTCTTTGCGGTATCAACATTTGTATTAAATAGTGTAACTTCCATTTTCCCTTTGAGGTTTAACAAATTACATTTATCTTCATTCAGCGGCATTTTATTTTCTTTGCACCATTTTTCAACATTTGCCGTGTCTTTTTGCAGATGAATTTCTTCAGTAGACAAGATTTTCATATCGTCACAATAGCCAAAACAATCTGAATTCTCAATGCATTTGGGAAAGTCGTTAATGAATATGATAAAAAGTAGAGGGCCAAGAATTGAGCCCTGTGGTACACCGCTAGTTACTTCTTTCAGAGTTGATGAACTTTTATTGATTTTCACAAACTGCATTCTATCTGTTAGATAGTCCTGTATTATGTCTTGTATTTGAATGCTTAGACCTATGTTCCGTAGTTTGGCGACTAGGATACTATGAGGAACTTTATCAAAGGCTTTAGAAAAATCTAGATAAAGGACTGAGAGTGTTTGAACATTTTTGTCATCGTAGAGTTCATATACTTTGCTCAAAAATTGTACCATTTGTAGTACTGCTGACCTTTTTTGCCGGAAGCCGTATTGTGCGTTTTCCAGGAAAGGTTGAACTTTGGGGTATATATTATCAAAGATAATTTTTTCGAAGACCTTCGAGGCGGAGCATAAGAGGCTAATTGGGCGGTAGCACTCGACTGACGCCTTGTTCTTTTCTTTAAAAATTGGGGCCACTTGACTTGTTTTCCAGTAGGTCGGGAAGAGCCGCTTGTTAATGAATGTGCGGAAGAGAAGATAGAGCGATTTTGACAGAGTTTCAGAAAGATTTTTTAGGATTATATTACCTATACCATCAAAACCTGACGCTTTATTTGTTAAAAGATTTTTGAGAATGTATTGGATTTTGGTTTCTTCAATGTGTATTTGTGTACAGATTTCTTCTGTAGGAGAACAGTTTGTATTTCGTGCGAGAGGGTTAGGAATTGATTCCTTTTGATATACACTGATGAAAAATTCGTTAAAAAATGTAGCTTTTTGGGTGTCATCTCTTGTGGATTTTTCCTTGTAGAACATTTTTTGGGGATATTTCCTGGAACTACTTATTTTGTTCAAGTATTTTTGCAGGTCACTGAATCGTCTACTGCTTGTTACTGTTTCTTCGTAAATTGCTTGATCTGCAGTCAATGCTATTTGAAGATTTTTTTCCAGTTTTTTGTGTTTTAGGATAATGCTTAAATTAGGTTTGTTTTGCCGATCGATACGCCGTTTTAAGGTTTGTACTCTTTTTAGCATGTGAGACGTACTTGGCTTCACCCATGGGGGGAGAGTTGATCTGTGTGATGTAACCTTGGGTACATTGTTCTTTATTTTGTCCCATAACCATGCATACCACTGACGAAGGAGCTCATTTACATTACTGTAACAATACGGTATGAAAGGTTTGTCTTTTATTTCTTGATTTATTATCTTCCAATCGGCTCTGTTAAACGCCAGACTTTCATCTTTGTTTATTTCTTTGATACTGGCTTCCATGTTAATTGTTGCAGAGTAAGCATAATGATCTGAGCAAGAAACTTTGTCGATGCTGTATGCGTTTGTTGCTGAATGGTCCGTGTGCCAGTTGAGTATTACTCCAGGGTTGTTTGTTAATAAAACATCAAGCTGCTTTTTTTTGGAGTCGAATAATTGTTCATAGTCAAGTTCGATGAGCTTTTTTAACACTGCATTTTCATATTTGTCCTTTGAGTGCATCATTTTCCAATGAGTGTATTCAAAATTTATATCTCCCGTAATCGACACTGCGTTACAGTTGTGTTGTATTTGTAATTTTGTTAGGTTTTCGAACAAACTGATGAAGTTTTGTTGTTTCCATTGGTATTTACTGTTTTTCGGGGGATTATAAACACAGCAGAGTATTTGATGATGCCCAGTTTCACCTGTTAGTTTGGCCACTATGCATTCTTCATTTTCTATTTGAGCATCAATTTCTTCGTAATGCACATTTTCTTTTATCGCCATGAGTACGCCCCCGTGATTGGTTTTTAAAGTGGAGTTTTTTCTATCTTTGCGAATTATATTAAAACCAGCCAAATGCAGAGCTTTATCTGGTATTTCCTTTACCAGCCATGTCTCTGTGAGACATAGTATATCGTAGTCTGTTTGTAAAATGGCATTTGAAAGAGCTATTCTTCTGTTGATGTCTAAAATACTTCTGACATTTAGGCATAACATTTTTAAATACTTGGCAGTAGGTAGTCAATTGCTTTCTTCGACTTTTTTCCAATTTCCACTTTCTTCGTCATATGGGTAAAGGACAAGGTCCCTTAGCCTTAGGTTTTTAGCTGATACTCCAGTTTTTATCATTGTTCGTCTTTTCATAAGAAGTTTGTTCTCAATCAGAAATTCACTTGGGCTGAGCTCTTTTGACACAAAGACAGTTTTGTCGTAGTTTTTCAATTTTGCCAAGGACATTAGTATCAGTCGTTTTTGCCATTCATTTGAAACATTTACAACTATTGTGCGTGGCCTTTTTCCTTCTTCGTATTTTCCTAAACGTTTTAAATCTGTGATTTTTGCTTCAACTGTTAAGAACGCAAACAGTTTGTTCACCTCTTCCAAGTCGTGTTCGTGTCTATCTCTTGAACTTTTTGAGCCCAGTTCAAGCAGTCCTCTTATCCGGATTCCGTTATAGCTTGATTCTGGTTTGTTTAAGGCAGGTTGCTTTGGCTCATTTCTGTTTTGTGGTTTTTTGCTTGTTTCATCTATCTTTTGCTTAAGTGAATCTATCTCTTGTTTAAAAGTAGAGAATTGTTCGGCGATTTCATTTAGTTTTGTTTCAGCAATGGATGGACGGGTTTGCATCAAATCGTTGATCATCGACTCTTTCCTATTGTTTCCAACACAACAGTTACAGAGCAGGAGGACGTTCTGGCTGATCTCCGAAATTCCAAGGATGGCAGTTTCAGATATTCCAGTGCATGTTTTTGTCATGTGCATAACATCGCCACAGGCAATGCAATTAAAGATTTGACTTTTGTTTGTGATCGGCTTTTTGCATGTTTTACAAGATTTCTCAGATGCTTGCGAGACGCTAGCATTTCTGCGTCTTTCTTCTGAGCCCATATTGCTCAAAAAAATCTTCTCAGAACTGACACTCCAAGGTATAAAACCTCAGGAGAAAACCAGACTAGAGAAGACTTATTGAGTTTTTTTGATTCCCTTGGACTGATACTCCAAGGTATAAAAACCTCAGGAGAGAATAGTCTCAAGAAAATCAGACTCACCAGAACTAGTGCGATGAGGATTGGGCTGCTTGTTTTTTCTTTGCTGCTGCTCTCTTTGATTTGGTGGGCCGTACTCTGGATTTTGATCTTTGCTGAAGTACTAGTGAACGAAGGTTGTGACGTTTCGAAAGTACTTTGTTGAGCAGCTTCAGCTCAAGAGACGGAGGGGGGTGTAGTTTAGAGAGGGCAACAACTGTATCAATGTCGTTTTGTTTTTGTTTAGGAAGAAGTCGTTTTATCGCGTCGATGATAAGAGGTTTCTTCGTCTTCCGTAACTTTTCAAAAATTTGAGGGGTACCGTCTCGACGAATGTATATGATCGCAGCTATTTGATGCTGAAAATTCGTGATGATTTCAGTTAACTGCTCCGGGGAACACTTCGTATTAAAGTTTTTGGGATGTTTTGTGATACTATTGTTTATCACGTCGTGCCAGAGAATGATTTCTCTGGATTTTAGGGAACCGTTTCTAAGTAACCACTGCAATTTCTTGAGTTTACTCACGTTGTTTGGGTTGAGGCTTAGTCCCGATTTTGCAAAAGTGAATCTTCGATACTTTACCCTTAGATCGTAGGGTAGGTAGTCAAGGGTCCTTCTGAGTGAGCTTGCTCCAACTACAATCATGTGATCCACCAACCTGTGTCCACCCACTAGTGTCCACGAGCGGTAGCAGAGGTAAATAATTTGAAGTAAATGCAGGGGACCACCACGGCTGTCCTAGTATATCAACAATTTATCTGAAACTATTTAATAAGTTTATCACAACAATTAGGCTAACATTGTATAATACAAATTGTATAGCAATTTGATAAATTAATTTATGAATAATATGTTTGACACTTTATGATTTTTGATCAGTCTCTACATTTTAGTTAGATTTTTAAACCTGAAGATATACTAAAATTTTGCGAAAAAGTTTGTTCAATTAACAATTTTAACGTAATTGATGCATTTAATGCTGATATATGACTTCATTGATAAAATGATACAGTTTACTAAACGGAAGGGCCCCTTTTTATAATTTAGTTTTTTCAATCTTTTTCTCGGGTCTAGGACAACAAGCCGACGGGACTTCAAGCCGAAGGGGCTTAAAGCCGAAACTAAAACTTTACAAGCACCTCAAAACACTATTTTATCCTGGAACCCCCTGGAATGTGTCGGTCTGACGGCAAGAGACCAGACGGTGCTACTTTAGTTCCGTGGGAGAGAGGACAAACGCTTGTCTGGGATGCAACTATTGTTGATGCCCTTGCACCCTCTAGGGGAGATCCCTCTGGGACAGCTGAGTCTGCAGAAACCTTAAAGAACGCGAAGTATGAAGAACTCACAAGGCGAGGACATATTTTCCAAGCTGTTGCTTTCACAACACAAGGACAGTGCAGTAAGAACACGTCCTCCTTTATCAAAAAGCTCGGAAGGCTCATTAAATCCCTTACAAACGACGACCGAGCCTCAGGATTCCTTAGACAGCGGCTTTCAATGGCTATACAATCAGCCAATGCCGCCTGCGTTTTGGGCACGATTAGAGTCTATGACAAACTTGATGAGATATTCTATTTATAATTTTTAGACGATATCGTTAACGCTTTATTTTGTTTTTATATTTGATTAATTCAAGTTTTTCATTTCTGTAAAACGTTATTTTTTAAAAATTTTGGCAAGTTTAGCCCTTAATAAACGTTATTCATGACAATGCACCGCTTGTGATTGGCATCCGTTAATAACATCAGCCGGTTTTTGAACTGCATAAATTATAAACTTGAAAATTGCCTTCAACCATCTTTTACTTTCCAACTTTCCGAAACATCATTTGGAGGCTTAAATTTTATGAAAACGCCAATAATTTGTGAAGAAAGATCATGAAATTCGGAAACTCTTCAAAATAGTTTTCAAATTAATCATATTTCACTAGTTTATAAGGAACTATTCGGCTTGAAGTCCCTAATTTTACGATTCGGCTTGAAGTCCCGTCGGCTTGGTGTCCGGCACCCCTTTTTCTCAAGGTGAGAATTATTTAAAAAATTTGAGACATCCGATAAAGTTCTTACAGCTAAAGTGTAGTCTAATGGCCGATGCAATTAATAGTTATGGCTTCTTTAGACCGCAAAACTGATTTCTGTATAAATAAATTCGTTTTTATGAGTAATTAAAATTGGAAGAACTGGTGGGTGAAAGGATTATCGATTTAAAATACCTAGCCTGACCATTTCATGATAATTTTCTTGGTGATGGCTTTTTTTCAGAAACCAATGAAAGAGCTTGAAAAGCTGGCTGTGAGCAATAATGGCCTCGTTGATTCCTTGAAAGAATCTCTTCAAAACTGCCGTGCTGAAAACCATACGGATCTTGTTTCCGCCTTAAGGTGATTTTTATTAATGTTTATTCACTAATTTAGCGAATTTTTCCGAACACAGTTCTTCACTCCAGCCTAATTATGGGAGTCTGTCATGCGTAAGATCCACGTTTCTAAAACAAACTCTGTCTTAATGTTTGTGATATGGACAATTTCAATTTTTCTGAATAAGCTTCAATGTTTTAGGGACATACGTAATCTAACAGTGGGTAGCCCGAAACAGAAAAAAGCTATGCATATTTTGGATGTCACTGAATTGTAAGTCTTCTAAATCTTTAAAAGTAAAGATATGTGAACTTATGTCAACCGTATTTTAATTTTTTTGCTGTTGTTTTCAGTCTGGTGCATGGATTGGTAGCGTTTAGATTGAATGAAGACATTAATAATGAAAGTGTACGTCAAATGAAAGAGAGGGAGAGCGTGTGGACCGAGGCGGTATCTGTTCTCATTAGTCTTCTTAACGCGACAGATCAACAAGGCCCTCTCTTGACAAAATGCTACGTCCTCAAAGAAAAGCTGAGTGAGGGACGAGGCGAGCCACTGGAACAATTAGCACATCAGTTAATGCAACTTATCTTACAGCAATATCAACGGCTGAAACATGCTAACAAAGTGAAAACAGAAGAAATGGACAGCGACATGGAGGCTCCGAAATATAATGTCCAACTAGTCTCTGTCCTGACAAAATGCGTATGTCGACTGCTGCAGAATGGACTCATTTTACCCAAAGTGATCGTCAACCAGGTAGAGCTCAGAAATTTTGGCCAAATGAAGTGTTTTTCCGTTTGTCAGTCAATATCAACATGATGCTTCAATGAAAAGGCAAAATCTCTTAAGTCGATTTTTTAGTTTATTTCGTCTTGCTGTTTTATCCTTACAAGTAGCAAGGATAATTTAACCGGGAAGTAGACTCTTTGTCCCGTTGAAAATGTTTTTCGCAGAATGGCGCTATTTAGAAATGAGTTGAAGAAAGATTTGAGTTCTGTTACGGGGCACTAAATTTTAGAGCAGATTACTGTATATTCATGTTTCAAAAAAGTAAGTTAGCAAATAAATGTCTGTAGATGAAAATTTAATTGGTATCAGTGGGTTTTTGTCTGGTCTGAGTTTTTAGCTAGGAATGGTGGTTCTCCAGCGTTTTTGTTGTTTCTTCATTTACATGTATTTTTTGTTATCTCAAATAGGGCAAATTGCTTGATTTCCGGATTGATTTAAATAGTCGTGTTATTTGATCCACGCCTGGATGGCAAAAGATAAAGGAGTCTTGCTGTGAAAGAACCTGAAAAATGTAAGTGCAAGTGTCCAGTTGAGAGACTCATTAACTTGCTATTTCTTGGATACGTGGACAGAGAGAAAAAGAAGCCACTAGTATTTCATTTCCCTTGGAAGGGTTGCTCACAAGGCTTCGGTGAGCCCAGTTTTAGGTTAAGAGTGCCTACTTGGCACAATGACGCCAGTAATGCCTAGATCAATAAATTTGGAGCAAATGATGTCTGGCAAAAGTTCGTCTCCTCAGACAAGCAGATATCTAGCCCTCTCAAGAGTTCTTTCCCGTCCCACTAGTGCAACTTTTTCCAGTTGAAGTGCGCTTTCAGCCTCGTTACTAACCTCAACCATTTTGAACCAAACGTACCCAAAACGGGGGCTATTCTCATGAGCGAAGGACCGAATGAGCGAAAAAAACTCGTGAGCGAAAAACCGAAAACAAAATTAGCCGAAAGTCAATAAAAAAAAAGCAATTGCCATTCAATTAAAATGAATTAAATGAAGCAATATTTAGCTTCTTTCATAACGAAACCCTTGAAATGTAAAGTTTTCCAATCATTCGGTCCTTCGCGTATGAGGGATTCCGCCACCCAAAACTGCCCACTTCTTTTCCCCCACACCACTACACCTTTAAACTCTTCAAGTTCTATTACAAGTCGAACAGAGCAGCTTCTGCCCGCTCAATTTTGGCTGCACTGGTGGTGCGGCACCAGCAGCTACTCGGACAATGCAGCGCATAGCTGAAAAACTTAGAGAAAAAAGGCATGAAAGCTACGTAGAAACAATAAACTATATAAGAACTAAGATAAGCTTCGCGCTGCTCAGGAGCGCTATCCTTTGTATACGGGGTTGCAGATCACTGCGTAAGACGCAATTCATAGTTAATTCAATTAGTGCTGTTGTAGAGGAGGGACGGTTGAAGTAAATACCTTTAATGACAATTCATTAAATGCTGACTTGACTAAATTCCTGCAATATTGTTTATTGATGTATTTATATAATGCTGGTATGGGCCCTATCCAGCTTGTGCACGACCTTACCTAAACGGAAGGGTCCCTTTTATAATTTACTACTCTTTTTTATTAGAACCCCAACACACTTTTGACGTTTCAAGAATCTAGTTTGGGCATGCCATTTGCGTACCCTCTGGGCTCAAAACAATAAAAAGCAATTTTTTCTGTGTAGCAAGTTTTTTTGCTGTTCGGATTTTAAATGCTTAAGGTTTTCGGGGTTTTTTATGGTCTCATATTTCCGGCTTAAAATGTTTGCTTAGTTATCACAAATTAACATCTCGCACTTCTTCAATTTTATTTCATTACGTTCAATAGGTTATTCTGTGGTGTTTTTTTGATGTTTCAAATTATTCGAATTATCATATTTTGAAACTTTTTTCTTGGTTTTCAACATTTTTGTGTGTATTTTTGTGCCTTTGATCAATTTTTTTATCCAAAATACAGGCGCTTAGATTTAGGACGGCAGCGATGGCATCCAATCTTCTATGGCTGAATGTAACATCGTCAACCACTATATGGCTGGCTTGTGTGATTTGCTTCTGTTGAGCAGTGGCAACACAATGAACACCGCCGACAATGAAGTAGCAGTTAATATACTCTCAGTTCTATCTTCAATCTGTGACGACACGAAAGCTACTAACCTATCATCAGCATCGTCGTCATCGCCTTTGCCGAATAAACTGGATTCTAAAAGAGATCGCAACTTGAGGCAAAACTTGGTGTGCAGCTATAATTGTGTTTTACAATGTATTCCCATGCTTCTATCGTCACAAAAGCGCACAGTGAGTTAGCTTGTCTCAAATGTATTGCTGGGTTTATTCGAAATGGTTTTATGTTGAAAAAATAATATGCAATTTGTTAACGAAAATTGGAAAAGGAGGCTGCTGCTTCCTGGTCAAAAGTTCAATTCAAACCCCATCCGAGTTATTTTCCGACGTTTTAGTCTAGATTTTTAAGAGTACTGAACGAAGTGAAGACTCTTTTGGAAGCCTTTCTGATTTTTTTTTCAGGAAAAGTCTCTAATAACTACAGATGTGCATTCATACATATTGATGCATTTATGAATGCACGTAGGTATATACGCTTTTTTTGAGGTCAAGTGAAATTCATCTGCTGAAAATTACGTAAATAGCACTCTCCAAATACGATTGTGGAAATGGCGCAAAAAAGCGAACGATTTCTAGTTTCGAAAACGGAATTTAATTTTTAGATTTTCAGCGGAATAAAAACTACCTATTGATTCATGATTTTCTAGTTTGGTTCACGTTATCAAAAAAGCGACAATCGTTAATTGTTCTAGAAATTTAAAGAGCTTAAATGGCATCTATTTTGTTTCTTGGAAGTTAGAAAGTTTAGTGGAAATTTCAAGAAAGTCAGTGCTTTTTCATGTTTACTTGCGTTCATTACTCTTTTCCAATCTTCGATTGGCTATATTCTTGATAAATTTTTTAAATGGGTTCTCTAGCCTTGTTACGCTAGCTACGTATACGTTTTCCACGTTTTTCAAGACCCAGACTGCAGATTTGGCGTAGAGTTAACAATCCATGACAGGAACAAACAAAAGTCTCGAGTTGAATTTGGCCAGGAGGTCATTTTTGCAAACTAAAATTTTTACTCTTGAAAAAATAATTGACAGAATATTATATTTCTGCTTATTTTTGGCCAACTGAATTGCTCTTCACTTCACGGTGTTTTTTCTTATGATTTGACAATTTTTTAGTATATTTGAATACGTTTTACACTTACGAGAGTAAGTGTTTTGTAATTGGGAACTAGACATTTTTCCTGCAAACAACGTATGCACAAATCTACAAGTGCTGATATAAAATGGCCATATAACAGCGTTGATGTGGCATCGTTGTTCATATTATATGCTAAAGAAATTTTTTGAATGAAAACTGATTGTAGCATTTTTTCTTCGTTCTAATTTCAGTCCGCTCAATTTCGTTGGCTGTTTTTTTGATTAATTGCTATATTTAAGAAATTGAATTTGCTCTATATTTGAACCTTAAAAATTGCAGGCTCCTTCTTTTTTTGGTCTGAACATGGTTTCTTTTGCACCCTAAGCTCTTGGGCTTTAGTCCCTGTCGGTCCTTGTTTTTTTTTTCAGTACGAAGATGATGCCTTTTCCTGGAAAATTGAATTGGCGGACTTTAGTTTGTCTGTTCATTTGTTGCCTACCTTTTTTTTCAGAGACTGAAGTTTTTTTTCTGATTTAAAAAAAGTTAAAGACTTTTAAACAATTGCGACAATTTTTTTAATTATTGAGACGATTAAACAATTTTTTATTTCATCAATTTTTCAACTGGGCGAGTTGTTTTTATTTTTCGGTTTTTAATTTTAGTGGGTTCGGTTTATCTTTGCTTTATCGGCTTAGTCTTTGTAGTTTGAAAAGCAAAAATTTTAGTTTAATGTTTTAAAACTTAAGTCTCTCAAAATTGTTTGTAGCAACAATTTTTTATGTCATTTTTTTGCTGTTTTCGGCTCTTTGCGAGTTTTCCCAAGTTTTATTGGCCTAGCGTCTGCTCGGTTAATGTTGCTTAAAGCTTATGAAAAGCTGGTTGTTGTGTTTCTCGAGTGTTTTCCACAATTTATTTTTCTTTTTTTTATCTTTGTTTTGATTTCACCATATTTTCACCTGTGCTGAGTAATGGTGCATTGTGAAATGAGATCCAAAATTTTAAACTGAATTTTAAAAAATGATGTACGGTTTCAGGACGATGTTTTTTTCTCATTCACAAAATATAATGAACGGAACAGTGTCTTTTTTTTAAGTATAGTTTATCAGATTTCCAAAAATTGAAGAAAACAAATAGTTTTTCCTTCAGAAATTTTGGGTAATTTTTTAGTTTATGATCTTTTCTAGCGTATTTTTCTACCTTTTTCTCGACTTCAGATTTCTCGACCCTTTTTTCGACTTCAGATTTCTCGACCCTTTTCTCGACTTCAGATTTCTCTTTCTTTCAGGTATTTTCGCGAATCTAATATAAATTTCAATGAGGTTTTAAGAGAACTAAGGGTAAGTTACCTGTTTGTCTTTGTTTTGCAGGTATTCGACTCTGCCTTGAGATTTGTGCTGAGTGCAACAGAAGAGAACCCTCAGACATCACAACTGTTTGTCAAGCAAAGTGAGACTTAGATTTCTTTGTCTTTTTTAGGAGTTCTTTCTTCAATTATTCGGTTAACTTTGTTTTCTTTTGATTCAAGTCTCAAAATATTGAAAGGAAATTATTTATGCGGTTTCAGGGCTGAAAAATTGACGAAAAGAAAAAACGTAATTTGTAATAACCGACTTGTATGTTGTTTAGTTTCTGTATTCTAGCATATATTGTTGATTCTAGACACTATCGTTAGATGATTAAATTAACGGTGATGATTAAATTGGAAGTTTTTGTCATGGCAGAAGGACGGAAAAACAAGCCAAAATTAACAGTTCTCTGAGCTCAATTCTTTCTTGTTTTGTGATTCTGAAATATAGTTGGCTTGCACAGTTTTGGGCATTCGGTCTTTTTGGCATGAGGTATTTTCGCGGCTCATAGTAAATACATTGATAGTTTGTTTTAGTCAACACGATGGATCTGGAGGATATAAGGGACGATGTTGAAGGAGAAGTAGAAGGAAGGGAGTCGAGTTGTGTGTCTATCATCTGCAACCAGCTCAGATGGGATAGAAGCAGAGACTCCCAACTTCTCTGCTGTAAAGTACTCATATCCCTCCTACACTCTAAAGCACTACAGCAACAGTGGCCCAAGTTCGCCTACAAAGTACTGCCTACTCTGGTACGACTGAGCAAGACTGACTGTAGTTTGAAACAGAGGACGGTGGCGGCCCAGTTGATACATGGTCTAATTAGGTACAAGTTTGATAGTTGGCTCCTATAATTAAAGATTGACCCTTAACGAAAAACTAAAACCAAAAAGTTTTTTGATAAACATTTTTGGAACATTCTGATCAAAATTGTTATTTTTCGACAAAATGTATTTCAAATTTAATATTCCTTGGCAAATTTGAAAATTTCAAAGCGTTGGTCGGTTTAAAGTGTATCTCTTAAAAAACCATAGGGGGAACTGTTTGGCAGCTGACGAGAATCATTTATAATTCATAATAACAAAAGTGCTCGTATATCAGGGATTTTCCGTCTGTTATTACCTTTTCTGAAAAATCCGACCTCTTTTTACTCTGTATTTTTCTACGCTTTCGATTGGGAAGCGTTGTCAAATCGGAATCAAAACTTTTTTTTATCAATGAATTGTTTTTACAAAAGTTTTGTTAAATCATTCGTCCAGCAACTCATTCGGCCCAGCTGGTGTCTGCTAAATTATTGCCGGCTTACTTGCCGCTGTATAAATTTTGTTGATAATTAGACACTCACACTTGTCCTAATAGAATATTTTCCCTGCATTTAACTTATTTTAATCCAGACAAATGTATGAAATGTGGCCATTTTTTCAAAAAAAAAAAAGGTTTTTCAATTTAGCGGGTTCGATATCATTTTCTGGCAGCTAGCTGATTGTGATTTTTCGCAAATGGTGCAAAGCTCAGCTTTGCTTGTGTTTCATAATACCTTTTTTACAAACTATATTTAAGCCCCATAATTTTTATATGAATTTTTCTGGTTGTTAAACTTAATTCAAAGGAGTCACTCTGATTTTGGAAATGAAAGGCCTTAACTTCTTTGATTTCGGAAGTAAAAGGCCGTTTGTGGCTTTGTTTGAAATAAACGTAATAACAAAGCAAGCAAAACTATAGTGAGTCGATTTTAAACAAAATTGAGCAATCGGTCAAGTTTTTGAAAAGCATAATCTGATTCACTTACTCGAACAAAAAAGTTCTTTTCAAAACGTCGAACTTATAGCAACTTTTGTCCTATGTAAACCAATGAAAGGCTTAAGTAAATGAAATGAATGAAATAAAAAACCTTTGCCTTATAAGGTTGGTTTATTTTTTCAAATAGTAAAAAAAATAGTGTGTAATAACTTTTTTAGCTCATAAAAAACTCAATCACTACGAAAAATTCAGTTTTAATTTTTCTTGGCATGAAAACGCAATACTGCTACTGGCTGCCGTATTTAATAGAACTTTGACGTTTTGATGGAGTGTTTTAATTGCGCTCAGAATACTTGTAAACGGAAGAGTTAATTTTTTTGTCGTTTTTCCGTTTTGCTGTGCAGTTTTGATCAGGTTTGCTCTTGTTGTAAGAGCAAATTGGGTCAAGATATGATGCGTGATAGGTTAACCTGCTATTGCAGCCGATGATGTGCAATTTCCACCGTTATTTTGAGAACTTTTTGTTCCGATCATTTGAAAAGGAACTTTGTATTCTGGTGTGCCTTAGTTTTTTTTTGTTTTCCACGCAAAATCAGTTATCACAAACAATCATTTGAGAGAGCTTGTGATATACTATATAAAAGCCTTTGCACTCGTGTTTCGAACGACATTAAATAATTTTGAAAAAATTTGCCTTTGTCGAGAAAAACCGGTTTGAAGTTTTTGGTTTTTCGTCTAAATTCGAGCGAATTTGCGAGCGGGCAGGCTGACAATAGTTTATTTTTATGGCTTAAAAGCTTATAATTTTCTAAACTAAACCGTAAAATTTTAATTTTACTCGATCAACGTTAATTTTTTTAGAGCCTTTTTGGAAAATAGCGCCTTTTGGTTGATTTTTTTCGTTTTGCTAGTCAATTTTCTACAATATTGTTTTTCTAGTTGCTTTTTTTGCTATGATCTTCGAATATGCCTAATCTTTAGTTTTTCGTTCTAATTATTTTATCACAGCGTGTCGAAAAAATGGCACTTTTTAAAAAAAAAAACTTTTTTTTATACTACGGTCGGAACATTCTCTGCTACTTGCACAGTAACAGGCTATCCTTGTTACAATTGCGTTAAGCAAGCGTTAGAAAATTGGAATCTGCTTTTTTGCTTGACATTTTGTTTAGCACGTTCAATTGAATCAGTTTACACCTTGGTTCATATGAGATGAAAAGCAAGGAGTTAATTTGTGCATGTGGCGTACAGGTAAAGCACCTACCTAAAATGACAAAAATCAATGGCTCGAATTCGACCAAGACCTTTTTTTTGTAAACCAAAATTTTCCGTGAATAAGAAACCTTTGTCAGAATTCTGTGTATTTGCTTGTTTCTTTTTGGCTTAGTTGCCACTGCTCAGAATTTGTCTGAGATTTAGGCATTTTAAAATTAAAATCATTATTTTTAAATATATCTCTTCTTTCAATTTATAGAATTTCGTCCAATTAAAATTCTTTCTTTCTAAAAATTCTTTCATTTAAAATTCTTTCAATTTTATTATTTGAGATCCAATACAGTTTTGCAGGATTTTTTATGTTATTTTTTAAATTCTTTTTTGTTTTTGTATTTTTCTTTTTTATTATCAAAAAGAGACCAATAAAAAGCGCCTTCTCAATAAATATCGAAAATTATGATTATTTCTGATTGCATTCATTTGAAATAAAAAAATAAATATATACCTTTTATATCAGAAATCAATCTGTTAATTAAAGGAAAGGCATGTTTTTCCTACTCATAAGGCACAATGGTTAAGAAATAGGACGGAGGATAATATTAAGTAGGCGTTTACCCAGTAAGTTTTTAAAACATTCTAAAGTCTGGGATGAACTCGGTTCAACTTCAAGGCTAGACACTTTCAAGGCTACTTCTCCAATTTATCTCCAATGTTTTTGATGCGGTTACAGAGTCATTTCAGTCTGAAGCAAACCAACAAAAAACAGCAACATCCTTGCTTAAGAAAACCAACTTTTCGTGCACCAATTTGATCTATGAATTATTTGAAATTTTTCAAATTTTAATGTTTGAACAGCTCGCTTCTAAAAAAATAAGTTGTTGACAACCGATTAGCTCTATGAAGCTACTTGAAAAGTTTTGAAGTTTTATCACTTGAAAAGCTTGCTTCGAAAAACTTTAATTCTTCGCGAATTGATTCGCTCTATGAAGTAACTTGAAAAAATTCGAAGATTAATTGTTCATAGGTTTGTTCTAAGATATTGCTATTTTTTTGCAAACCGGTTGAACCTATGAATTGCTTTCAAAGATTTCAACGTTTCGTTGTTCGAATAGCTTCCTTAAGAAAACCAAGTTTTGCGAACTGATTCGAAAATATATTCACGCTTTTCCGAAGTGTCTACGCCTTATTAACTTGCACGAGCGACTTCGTTTTTTTATCCACACTATAAAAACAACTTCGAAATACTTCACAGTTTCATCGCTCCAATAGCTTGATTGAATAGTTTAGTTTTTTTTGCGATGCAACCCAAGTTATGAAACGAACTTTAAAATGTTCAAAATTTTTGTCGCTTTAATAGCGTGCTTGAAAACCTTTCAACTTTTTTGCGATGTTATGTAAGCAACGAAAAAAGTTTCCAATTGTTTCCGTATGTCGTTGTATCCATAGCTTGCTTGAGCATTTTTAATGTTTTTGCAAAGCAATTAAAGCTTTGAAAACAACTTCAAAATATTTCATCGAATTAATAGCTTTTGTGGATCACTGACACTTTTTGCGAAGCAATCCAAGCTATGAAAAGACTTTCGTATTGTTTCAAAGTTTAATCAATTCAATAGCTTGCTAGAATAACTTTGCGTGCCGATTTGATCTATGAAATCACGTGGATTAATTCAAATTTTCTTCACTTTAATAGCTTGCTAGAAAAATCTTAATTTTTTGACTAACCAGTCGCTTCATGAATTATCTTGAAATGTTATAAAGTTTCATCTTTTGCACAGCTTGTTTAGAATTTATTTAATTTTTCTTGAGCTGAATCTCTCGGTAATTTAACTTGAAATATTGCAAAGTTTCATTACGCGTATGGCTTGCTTAGCACTTGAAATTTTTGCGAACTGATTTGCTCTATAAAGTAATTTGAAGTAGTTCCATGCTTCATGATTTAAACAGCTTGCTTCGAAAAACTATGTTAGGCTCGTTTCGCTCCATGAAATAGCTTGAAACTTTGCAAAATTTCCTTATTTAAATTCATTACTTATATTGAAAAACTTGAACTTTTTTTCAACCGATTCGTTCTATGAAATATTTTGAAATATTTCAAAGTTTTTTCACTGGAATATTTTGCTCTGAAAAACAGTTTTTCACGAGTCCAGTCGCTCAAGGAAATAATTTGAAATTTTGTTAAGTCTCATTGCTTAAATAGCTTGCTCAGAACAAGTAACGTTTTGCGAGCCGATTGTTTAATGAAGTGAAATTTCCAAAAGTTAATAAGAAGGCGCTTTTTATTGGTTTCTTTTCAATAAAACCAGAAAACTGCAATAAAAACAGAAAACAACTTTCAAAATTTTTTGATAAAAAAAACTAATGGAAAAAATTCCTAAAATTCTGCAAAATGTGTTGGAGCTTAATTTTTGCACCAAAGTTCAATGAATTTGTTTCGTTTAACTGGTTTGAGTTTTATGATTCAAGGGTCAGAGAATGGCTAGATCGTACCTACTTTTGCAAAACGTTGTTTTTTTTTGAAGAAGTATATGAAATATTTTGCTGTTTTTACACTAAATTTTTACAACGTAATTCTGGCCTAAATTTTGCATCTCAGGTGGCGCGAAGCGTCGCTTCACCTCTATATATATGCTTTCGAGCTTCAGTTTTTTCAATAGCGATCTTGTTATGATTCTCGCGCCGTTGCTCGGATATCTTCGTTCTTTGTGAACGCAATACTCGAGTTTATGGCTGTTATTTCTGCGCAGACCAGATTTTTTCATTTCCTCTGTCCACAGATATTTTGAAAAAGTTTGTTTTTGCGAGGGAAGGGCAAGTGGAAGTCGGAGTTTAGATATTTTTAAGTTACGCTTGAGATTAGCAACCGCTATCAAATCGGAATATGGACTTTTTTTCGGGTTGACGCGTTCAACAAAATCTCTTGAATCTTTCATGATGCTGCTTACATGATCGTTTTCTTGAAATTCCAATTTTTGGCTACCATTAACTGCTGGAAAATGCTATATCTAGGTTTCTAGCCGTTGTATGTATACTTATAGAATTTCGATGTTAATTTTTGCTAGTTTACACATACATATAAAAAATATACGCCCGTACTGCCAATAGCTTCTCACAAGACCCCGTCCAAGTGAAATACAGCAATGACCATAAATCTTTTCTCCCCCAGAGTAGCGTAGCAGATAAATATCCGGAAGAGTCATTACTGCAAGCAGACACTACCGTAAATTATCGAACGTGGGCCGAAACAACTGAAACCCCTAAATTACAACCACCGCTACTGCAAAAAAAAACCGAATCAGGAAGGGGCGTTCTGAGACCAAAAAAAAGTTCACGCTCTCACCACTTGAAGAAACAAATCAAAGTAATCTAGCTAATGACTTAATAAATGCTCTTGTACAAGTCATTGTTAGTGCTATTCAACCTGGTATTAAAGTTGCTAGAAATTCATCCCCTCACAAAGAAACTCCTTTTCAGTTGAAACTGGATCCGATTAAAAATGCATCTGCTGTAATTTCTGTGCTAATCATTAAAACTAGGTCCCATAAGAAACATGTTGAAGACTTGGAAGCATTTATATTTTGTCTTGAACCTCCGCCATCAATAATATGTATAACTGAAACATGGTTAAAAACTCAAGGTGATTCCAACGCTTTATTTATAAAAGGTTATGATCAATACAGAGTGTAGTCTCGTGAATTGCGAGGTGGAGGTGAAATTATTCAAGCCCTGAAGGGGATCAACCTTGTTGAAGAATTGCCGATAGTTATTAAAGAAGCTTTATTGGTGAAAATCTCACTTCTAGGTTTCCAGTTTGTCATAACGGTAATATATAACCTCCAAGAATAAATAAACCTGATTTTTTAGAAAACTTAGTTACCTTTCTCAAGTGCAGGTCATCTCAAATACCTTGATGATTGTATGCGGAAGTTTCAATATAGATACATTAAAAACCATTTTGCAGTGAGAGATAAAGATAATGCAAATGTAAATATCCTTGAACACCAAGAATTTCTGTTCATTATCCTATTAGTCTAAGTTTTCCAATAAAACAAAAATTAGAAGAAGGCCTTGAAAATTTGAGAGATACCTCCTTTTCAAAATCCTCCGATGTAGTTGATAAGTTCTTGTTTTTGTTCAATCTTCGCTCAAAAGATTTTAAATTATCGAGTACAGTTGAAAGTTTTGACAATTTTTATCAGCTTTTTCAAAACACACCTAATGAATATGCACCTATTATACAGCGATAATATAAAGAAAAATTAAATACTTCCATGGTTTACAAATCGAATAAAAATCTTGAGAACCAAGAGAAATAAATTACACAAAAATCTGGCGAATAATAAAAACAGTACGGACAAATTATGCCAACTTAAACGAGAGAGGCAACAGTTAGAAAAAGAAATAAAAACCGCAAAAAAGACATTTTATTTCAACAAATTCTATAACTTATCGGAGACTCCAGACAAACTTTCAAACTGCTCAATAAGCTGAAAGGAAAACAATCGTGTGCATTATCAATACCCAGTCGTTCCTCATGTTGCATTCTCACAGAGCATCCTTCACTTCGACTGTGGTGGAACAATTCAATAGTTTCTTGGTAAGTTTGGGTTTAACTATACAAAAAAAATATGAGTCATCAAAGTCCCATATATCCTTCTGAAATAAAGTTTCTTGCAGAGATCAACAACTAATGAAATATTTTCATGCATCGGTAATTTCGCCAATTCTCTCGAATTTATTCAATCTATCCTTTCAAGAAGGCAAAACTCCGAATGAACTAGCGAAAGCTAAACTCTACCATTACACAAAGGTGGATCAAAGAACGATGAAAACAACTATCGTCCAATTGCAATACTGAATGCTTTGAGTAAGTTTTATGAGCGAGTAATGTACAATAGAGTATATGCATATTTCGAGAAATTCAATTTTTTATATAATCAACAGTTTGGATTCAGAACTAAGCTTAGAACTATTGATGCCATAATAGAGGTAACTGAAAGGTTAAGGCATGAAAGAAGTGGCGAAAAAATCAACTTTTTCTTGGATCTCAAAAAAGCGTTTTATACTATTGATCATAACTTGCTAATTAAAAAAATTGAACGTTTACGGAATAAGAAGCAAAGCATCAGACTGGTTGAGCAGTTATCTACGTAATCGTCAACAGTGTATAGAAATGTCTGCAACAATTTCTTCCTGGAAACAATGTTTGTGGTGTGCCACAGGGCTCAATTTTAGGTCCTCTGTTGTTCCTTATCTATATAAACCATCTTCCTAGTGCATGTAAAAACACTGAGGTGTTTCTCATCGCAGACGATATAAGTTTAAGTGCACTAGGATGCATAGCTTTAGAAGTTCATATTGACTTGAATAATATAAATGTTTGGTTAAATGCTAACAAACTTGCCTTGAACTTAGACAAAACAGTGCAATTGAAAGTAGGGTTAAGTGCTTCCAATTTCAACCAATCATTTTTTATCAATCATGAAGTTGTGAAAATTGCATTTTTTCCAAGTATTTGGGGACTAGAATAGAATCCAAATTATCATTTCAAACACAAATTCAACATGTTTTCAAAAAACTTGCAACTCAAAGTGGAATCGTTTGTTAACTTCGCCATTTTGTTCCCAGAGATCAGTTCATCTGTTATTGTAATTCCAATATTAAACCATTGTTTCAATACGGTGTTGTTGTTTATGGCTGTTGTAGCTACTAGTCTCTAAAACCTATTTTCCTCTAAAAAAACTATCATGTTTATTTATTTTCGGAAGCGCCGCGACAACGCAAATGATCTTTTCACAAAACACCAAATTTTGTCAGTCTGGAGCTTCATGTTTACGAACTACTAAAATCTGTGCTGAAGTCGATAAACAAATTTCATTCAAAAATTATCTTAATGATCTTTTCTTTTTTGAAAACATTTCAGTTCATGAGATTAATTAAAGAGCTGCTCAAGATCTATAAAGCTGTATAATACCCTCAAAACAACTGGAGTATTACCGACAGACACGTCCTGTTTATCTTTGATTAAACTAGATTATATAACTAAATAATTCAGAATTAATTAATTATATATTCACATAAGCACTCGTGGCATAGATGTAAAATATGAGACTGGGACACCAGGGATCATGGGTTCGTTTTTCAGCGCGTGCTAGAAAATTTAAAAAGGGTAACAAGGGCTCAGTAGCTTAGCGGGTTAAATCTAACAGAGGGATAATAAACTGGGAATAAGTAAGGGAAGGTATATGGGCAGAATATGAGAAGGTAAAAAGAGAGAAAAAAGGTAAAAAGAAAATTAATTACTTGAAATAATTTTTCACTGAACTTGTTTGGAATAAATTTTATCTAATAACAAAGTGTTCGCACTGTCCATGTCGCAGGGGTAAAGCGCCGGGCTTTATCGCCGGATTCATCGGTTCGATGCCTTCTGGGAACCTTTTTTTTGTTTATATATACTCATTTCGTTGTGTTTAAGGAGACAGGGTAGATTTGAAGCAGATTAGCTGATCTCGTTACCTATCTTTTCAATGTTAAGTGCATTTATTCTAATTGGAAAAATGTTTGAAAATATACTTTCTATTACTTTGATGAATTAACATTTTCGGGATTTTTTTGGTTATTGATAAGACTCTGTTTAAGACTTTTTCGAATACGGAAAATCAACTCTACAAGAGTCTTTCTAATAAACTTAAAAACTTTAACAAGAAAAACTTTCTAGTGTTTTCTCGTTTCTCGAGTTCCTTCTTCAATGGAATTTTCGTTCGAAGTGCTCTTGCTACTTGAGTGTTATGATGTTTTCGACATTCATATTCACCCATGTTTAATGCCTTTTAAAGGCGAAAAGTGAATTATTAATCTCGGTTGTTATTGGACGCAATCAAAATGAATTCTCAAAATCCCGAAGCCTTAGCTTACGTTTAGTTCACGCGAAATCAAAACAAAGTTTTTTGTTAATTCGTAGCAGAGTACACGAGGAAAATGCCCTGAATGTTCCGACTGCACTGTAAATGGTCTCAACCAGTGTTGGCAAACAGAATTTTGATAAATAGACATTCTAGGCGTTTTGTTTTTGAACATTCAAAATAAGTTATAAAAGCTGAGTCGTATAGAGCATCAATGACCAATTAGCTTGCCTCAATTCATTTTTGAGTTATTCGTTTTTGAGTCCGAGATAGCCACGCATAAAAATTTCGCCTTTAGCTTTCAACATGATATACGGTGTCTTCAAAGCGCACTTAAATTAAACCAAAATGTTGACCAATTGGGATATTTCAAACCCCGGAGCCTTACCAAAAGGGATTGAAGATGAAGTTGCTTTTTACTTTTGAATTCAGGGAGTTGATGTCTTTATTGGAGTGTAAAAAACGTTCGTTGAAAATTTCGATCACTGAAATTGGTTAATATAAAAAACTACACCAAGCGTAAGTATTCTTGATTTTTTTCTAAAGTCAGAACAGCCAGCATATATATTCATTGCTTTCATCGAAAGTCGGTACTATAAGTAGTCAACCATCAAACTGTATCTCCAATCAGAAACAGTGTATGCCTACAAAGAAGTGCGCTCAATACTGACCACCTGTTGTTGTTGATGGTCAGTCCTCTTGACAATACAGAAAAGGACGAGATTCCATGTGAGGTAAGAGAGTTTCTGCGGTTCATAACTGTTAAAACCCTTGTTTAAAGACTTCTCGGAAATAGTTCCCAGGATAATCTTTCCCATTTGGCTGAATTCTGGCTTAAAATCCCACATTCTAATGAGTAAATCATTTGACTGTCAGATACTTTTGAGCGTACCAAAATATAATCTTAAGTTCGTTGCGTCAGGCCGCTGATGTCTTTCCGCTCTCTCAAGTGACGTTTTTGTGGAAGAATAAAATATTTGTAATTTTGTTTGCGAAATGTTTCACTCGAAAACAATTTATTATGGGTATAACTGTTGATGGGTTTTTTATGGGTATAACCGTTGATTATCCTTTACATTTAGTTTTTTGAGGGATGTAATTGTTACCGCAAAAACGAGCACGCATCATGGTGAATTTCAAACCAGCGACTTTTTGACTAAGAGATGGATACTTTAGCCTAACCACTTGATCACCGCTCTACGGATCTCAAAAAAGCGTTTTATACTATTGATCATAACTTGCTAATGAAAAAAATTGAACGTTTACGGAATAAGAAGCAAAGCATCAGACTGGTTGAGCAGTTATCTACGTAATCGTCAGCAGTGTATAGAAATGTCTGCAACTATTTCTTCCTGGAAACAATGTTTGTGGTGTGCCACAGGGCTCAATTTTAGGTCCTCTGTTGTTCCTTATCTATATAAACCATCTTCCTAGTGCATGTAAAAACACTGAGGTGTTTCTCATCGCAGACGATACAAGTTTAAGTGCACTAGGATACTAGGATGCATAGCTTTAGAAGTTCATATTGACTTGAATAATATAAATGTTTGGTTAAATGCTAACAAACTTGCCTTGAACTTAGACAAAACAGTGCAATTGAAAGTAGGGTTAAGTGCTTCCAATTTCAACCAATCATTTTTTATCAATCATGAAGTTGTGAAAATTGCATTTTTTCCAAGTATTTGGGGACTAGAATAGAATCCAAATTATCATTTCAAACACAAATTCAACATGTTTTCAAAAAACTTGCAACTCAAAGTGGAATCGTTTGTTAACTTCGCCATTTTGTTCCCAGAGATCAGTTCATCTGTTATTGTAATTCCAATATTAAACCATTGTTTCAATACGGTGTTGTTGTTTATGGCTGTTGTAGCTACTCGTCTCTAAAACCTATTTTCCTCTAAAAAAACTATCATGTTTATTTATTTTCGGAAGCGCCGCGACAACGCAAATGATCTTTTCACAAAACACCGAATTTTGTCAGTCTGGAGCTTCATGTTTACGAACTACTAAAATCTGTGCTGAAGTCGATAAACAAATTTCATTCAAAAATTATCTTAATGATCTTTTCTTTTTTGAAAACATTTCAGTTCATGAGATTAATTAAAGAGCTGCTCAAGATCTATAAAGCTGTATAATACCCTCAAAACAACTGGAGTATTACCGACAGACACGTCCTGTTTATCTTTGATTAAACTAGATTATATAACTAAATAATTCAGAATTAATTAATTATATATTCACATAAGCACTCGTGGCATAGATGTAAAATATGAGACTGGGACACCAGGGATCATGGGTTCGTTTTTCAGCGCGTGCTAGAAAATTTAAAAAGGGTAACAAGGGCTCAGTAGCTTAGCGGGTTAAATCTAACAGAGGGATAATAAACTGGGAATAAGTAAGGGAAGGTATATGGGCAGAATATGAGAAGGTAAAAAGAGAGAAAAAAGGTAAAAAGAAAATTAATTACTTGAAATAATTTTTCACTGAACTTGTTTGGAATAAATTTTATCTAATAACAAAGTGTTCGCACTGTCCATGTCGCAGAGGTAAAGCGCCGGTCTTTATCGCCGGATTCATAGGTTCGATGCCTTCTGGGAACCTTTTTTTTGTTTATATATACTCATTTCGTTGTGTTTAAGTAGACAGGGTAGATTTGAAGCAGATTAGCTGATCTCGTTACCTATCTTTTCAATGTTAAGTGCATTTATTCTAATTGGAAAAATGTTTGAAAATATACTTTCTATTACTTTGATGAATTAACATTTTCGGGATTTTTTTGGTTATTGATAAGACTCTGTTTAAGACTTTTTCGAATACGGAAAATCAACTCTACAAGATTCTTTCTAATAAACTTGAAAACTTTAACAAGAAAAACTTTCTAGTGTTTTCTCGTTTCTCGAGTTCCTTCTTCAATGGAATTTTCGTTCGAAGTGCTCTTGCTACTTGAGTGTTATGATGTTTTCGACATTCATATTCACCCATGTTTAATGCCTTTTAAAGGCGAAAAGTGAATTATTAATCTCGGTTGTTATTGGACGCAATCAAAATGAATTCTCAAAATCCCGAAGCCTTAGCTTACGTTTAGTTCACGCGAAATCAAAACAAAGTTTTTTGTTAATTCGTAGCAGAGTACACGAGGAAAATGCCCTGAATGTTCCGACTGCACTGTAAATGGTCTCAACCAGTGTTGGCAAACAGAATTTTGATAAATAGACATTCTAGGCGTTTTGTTTTTGAACATTCAAAATAAGTTATAAAAGCTGAGTCGTATAGAGCATCAATGACCAATTAGCTTGCCTCAATTCATTTTTGAGTTATTCGTTTTTGAGTCCGAGATAGCCACGCATAAAAATTTCGCCTTTAGCTTTCAACATGATATACGGTGTCTTCAAAGCGCACTTAAATTAAACCAAAATGTTGACCAATTGGGATATTTCAAACCCCGGAGCCTTACCAAAAGGGATTGAAGATGAAGTTGCTTTTTACTTTTGAATTCAGGGAGTTGATGTCTTTATTGGAGTGTAAAAAACGTTCGTTGAAAATTTCGATCACTGAAATTGGTTAATATAAAAAACTACACCAAGCGTAAGTATTCTTGATTTTTTTCTAAAGTCAGAACAGCCAGCATATATATTCATTGCTTTCATCGAAAGTCGGTACTATAAGTAGTCAACCATCAAACTGTATCTCCAATCAGAAACAGTGTATGCCTACAAAGAAGTGCGCTCAATACTGACCACCTGTTGTTGTTGATGGTCAGTCCTCTTGACAATACAGAAAAGGACGAGATTCCATGTGAGGTAAGAGAGTTTCTGCGGTTCATAACTGTTAAAACCCTTGTTTAAAGACTTCTCGGAAATAGTTCCCAGGATAATCTTTCCCATTTGGCTGAATTCTGGCTTAAAATCCCACATTCTAATGAGTAAATCATTTGACTGTCAGATACTTTTGAGCGTACCAAAATATAATCTTAAGTTCGTTGCGTCAGGCCGCTGATGTCTTTCCGCTCTCTCAAGTGACGTTTTTGTGGAAGAATAAAATATTTGTAATTTTGTTTGCGAAATGTTTCACTCGAAAACAATTTATTATGGGTATAACTGTTGATGGGTTTTTTATGGGTATAACCGTTGATTATCCTTTACATTTAGTTTTTTGAGGGATGTAATTGTTACCGCAAAAACGAGCACGCATCATGGTGAATTTCAAACCAGCGACTTTTTGACTAAGAGATGGATACTTTAGCCTAACCACTTGATCACCGCTCTACGGATCTCAAAAAAGCGTTTTATACTATTGATCATAACTTGCTAATGAAAAAAATTGAACGTTTACGGAATAAGAAGCAAAGCATCAGACTGGTTGAGCAGTTATCTACGTAATCGTCAGCAGTGTATAGAAATGTCTGCAACTATTTCTTCCTGGAAACAATGTTTGTGGTGTGCCACAGGGCTCAATTTTAGGTCCTCTGTTGTTACTTATCTATATAAACCATCTTCCTAGTGCATGTAAAAACACTGAGGTGTTTCTCATCGCAGACGATACAAGTTTAAGTGCACTAGGATACTAGGATGCATAGCTTTAGAAGTTCATATTGACTTGAATAATATAAATGTTTGGTTAAATGCTAACAAACTTGCCTTGAACTTAGACAAAACAGTGCAATTGAAAGTAGGGTTAAGTGCTTCCAATTTCAACCAATCATTTTTTATCAATCATGAAGTTGTGAAAATTGCATTTTTTCCAAGTATTTGGGGACTAGAATAGAATCCAAATTATCATTTCAAACACAAATTCAACATGTTTTCAAAAAACTTGCAACTCAAAGTGGAATCGTTTGTTAACTTCGCCATTTTGTTCCCAGAGATCAGTTCATCTGTTATTGTAATTCCAATATTAAACCATTGTTTCAATACGGTGTTGTTGTTTATGGCTGTTGTAGCTACTCGTCTCTAAAACCTATTTTCCTCTAAAAAAACTATCATGTTTATTTATTTTCGGAAGCGCCGCGACAACGCAAATGATCTTTTCACAAAACACCGAATTTTGTCAGTCTGGAGCTTCATGTTTACGAACTACTAAAATCTGTGCTGAAGTCGATAAACAAATTTCATTCAAAAATTATCTTAATGATCTTTTCTTTTTTGAAAACATTTCAGTTCATGAGATTAATTAAAGAGCTGCTCAAGATCTATAAAGCTGTATAATACCCTCAAAACAACTGGAGTATTACCGACAGACACGTCCTGTTTATCTTTGATTAAACTAGATTATATAACTAAATAATTCAGAATTAATTAATTATATATTCACATAAGCACTCGTGGCATAGATGTAAAATATGAGACTGGGACACCAGGGATCATGGGTTCGTTTTTCAGCGCGTGCTAGAAAATTTAAAAAGGGTAACAAGGGCTCAGTAGCTTAGCGGGTTAAATCTAACAGAGGGATAATAAACTGGGAATAAGTAAGGGAAGGTATATGGGCAGAATATGAGAAGGTAAAAAGAGAGAAAAAAGGTAAAAAGAAAATTAATTACTTGAAATAATTTTTCACTGAACTTGTTTGGAATAAATTTTATCTAATAACAAAGTGTTCGCACTGTCCATGTCGCAGAGGTAAAGCGCCGGTCTTTATCGCCGGATTCATAGGTTCGATGCCTTCTGGGAACCTTTTTTTTGTTTATATATACTCATTTCGTTGTGTTTAAGTAGACAGGGTAGATTTGAAGCAGATTAGCTGATCTCGTTACCTATCTTTTCAATGTTAAGTGCATTTATTCTAATTGGAAAAATGTTTGAAAATATACTTTCTATTACTTTGATGAATTAACATTTTCGGGATTTTTTTGGTTATTGATAAGACTCTGTTTAAGACTTTTTCGAATACGGAAAATCAACTCTACAAGAGTCTTTCTAATAAACTTAAAAACTTTAACAAGAAAAACTTTCTAGTGTTTTCTGGTTTCTCGAGTTCCTTCTTCAATGGAATTTTCGTTCGAAGTGCTCTTGCTACTTGAGTGTTATGATGTTTTCGACATTCATATTCACCCATGTTTAATGCCTTTTAAAGGCGAAAAGTGAATTATTAATCTCGGTTGTTATTGGACGCAATCAAAATGAATTCTCAAAATCCCGAAGCCTTAGCTTACGTTTAGTTCACGCGAAATCAAAACAAAGTTTTTTGTTAATTCGTAGCAGAGTACACGAGGAAAATGCCCTGAATGTTCCGACTGCACTGTAAATGGTCTCAACCAGTGTTGGCAAACAGAATTTTGATAAATAGACATTCTAGGCGTTTTGTTTTTGAACATTCAAAATAAGTTATAAAAGCTGAGTCGTATAGAGCATCAATGACCAATTAGCTTGCCTCAATTCATTTTTGAGTTATTCGTTTTTGAGTCCGAGATAGCCACGCATAAAAATTTCGCCTTTAGCTTTCAACATGATATACGGTGTCTTCAAAGCGCACTTAAATTAAACCAAAATGTTGACCAATTGGGATATTTCAAACCCCGGAGCCTTACCAAAAGGGATTGAAGATGAAGTTGCTTTTTACTTTTGAATTCAGGGAGTTGATGTCTTTATTGGAGTGTAAAAAACGTTCGTTGAAAATTTCGATCACTGAAATTGGTTAATATAAAAAACTACACCAAGCGTAAGTATTCTTGATTTTTTTCTAAAGTCAGAACAGCCAGCATATATATTCATTGCTTTCATCGAAAGTCGGTACTATAAGTAGTCAACCATCAAACTGTATCTCCAATCAGAAACAGTGTATGCCTACAAAGAAGTGCGCTCAATACTGACCACCTGTTGTTGTTGATGGTCAGTCCTCTTGACAATACAGAAAAGGACGAGATTCCATGTGAGGTAAGAGAGTTTCTGCGGTTCATAACTGTTAAAACCCTTGTTTAAAGACTTCTCGGAAATAGTTCCCAGGATAATCTTTCCCATTTGGCTGAATTCTGGCTTAAAATCCCACATTCTAATGAGTAAATCATTTGACTGTCAGATACTTTTGAGCGTACCAAAATATAATCTGTTAAGCTCGTTGCGTAAGGCCGCTGATGTCTTTTCGCTCTCTCAAGTGACGTTTTTGTGGAAGAATTAAATATTTGTAATTTTGTTTGCGAAATGTTTCACTCGAAAACAATTTATTATGGGTATAACTGTTGATGGGTTTTTTATGGGTATAACCGTTGATTATCCTTTACATTTAGTTTTTTGAGGGATGTAATTGTTACCGCAAGAACGAGCACGCATCATGGTGAATTTCAAACCAGCGACTTTTTGACTAAGAGATGGATACTTTAGCCTAACCACTTGATCACCGCTTCGTTTGGTAGACGTTGACTTTTTCAAGTGTCATTACAGTGGTCGTCGGTGATTTTTATTCCTGTCACTAGTATTTAACACTATAATTCTCAAAGATAGATCTTAGGGTCTCTTAGCTTATTCCTAGTCCATTCAATGTACAGTCGTTGTTTCCGTTTCCGCTTTAATTCGTTCCTTCTTTTCAATCAATATCGGAACAATAGCTTTTTATTCTTATGATTAATTTGGTTTAAAAAAAACACTAATTTTTGTACATAGGACGCTGAGGGAGATGCGTATAACATGCCAAATGGATCTGGTAAATGGAGCTCAAAGAAAGAAGAGCAAATTGAATTGCGCGAGTCTTCTCTCAAAGTTTTGGCCTCACTCTGCGCCAACGACCCAGAAACAGCCGCACGAGTGAGTAAGCATCATATACTTTTTTCACGTGTCATTGCCACGAGTCAATAAGCGTATTGAAGGCTTTTATATAGGTCGGGATTATTGAAAAAGTCTAAAAGTTTGTTCACGCTCGATTTTGATTTTTCGCGGTTTAACTTTTGATTTTTTAATCGAGTCCATTTCCTTTGTTAACCAGACGAAAGACTCTTTTTAAAAGTAATGAACGTAGTGAAGACTCCTATATAGGTCTTGCCGATTTTTTTTTCTGGAAAAAGTCTTGAAATTTGTCCACCCTCAATTTTGCCTTTTCGCGGTTTTTTTTATGATTTTTTTTAACTTCAGTGCATTTCTATTGTCAAAAGGAAGGCAAACTCCACTATCGAACAACAAAATTGTAAAGGTAACGAAAAATGTGATCAACTTCTAATTTTGAAAATGGAAATTAATTACCAGATTTCCCAGCGAAATAAAAGTTTTACCTATTGATCCAGTTTGCTCAAATTATTCGATTTTTGAAAAAACATGTCGGTTTTTTTTTACAGTTTCCTTGCGTTCTTTACTCTTTTCCAACTGTCAGTTGGTTATGTTTCCTTGCATTCATTGACTTTTTTCTAACTCTTTTGGTTATGTTCAAGTTCTATCAATTAGGGTAATAGACTTAGGTTGAAGGACTTTTTTGTAGTTTTTCCTTGAAAAATCTTTCTGAAGTTCTGAGGCTGTAAATTAGCTACGGCAATTATATTAGGTTTTGAAATCTGTTCACTTTCATTTTTGAAAGTTAATATAATTGTGTCCCTTGTGTTATTTAGCTAGTGAACGAGTTCAATATAGTGGAAAGAGTAATTCTACCATGTCTTCTCCGGACAGACGCCCGAATCGACCCGAATAATTGCGAGAATCAAATTGAGAGGAGACGATCGGAGGCAAGGTTGTTGTCTTCGTGTCTGCTCTTGCTTCTGAGTTTGACCAGAGCAGTTCCAGTGTTAGTTAAACACCTTCTAATTTTACGCCGCCCTCAGAAACCATCACAACTACCGAGCCAGTCACAACTGCTGATAGAATCATCAGGAACCACCCATCGTGGTTTTTACAGAACCAGTGCGACTATCACACCCTTGAGTGTCAATAGGGAGAGTGGGCTGGAAATAAACGAAGATGAAAGTGAACTGGGAGAAGGGAGAGAGAGACTCGGAGTGAGAGCATTTTTCGTCCACTCACAGCCGGCTGAACAGTTAAACAGACATCAAAGCTCCTCAATCTACACGCTTCTGTTGCAGGTCAGTGTTTCTTATCTACCTTTACTATGCACACACAAAAAAATGGTGTTTTTTATACTAGAAACGGCAAAGAAAGACTATTTTTATTAAATTTTATATAATTTTTACTATTAATGGCGAAGAGAAACAAAATTATGTTTTGTCTGCTTCGTCGCCGCATCGCGGAATTTTCTTGTTTTACACAATATTCACAGAAAAACATATGATAGCTTGGCTTACATCAAAATCAAACTTAAATAGCTTTTCAGGCACACATGGTTTTTAGAGAAAAATATTACGCCTGAGGTCGTAAAGGTCCTGAGTTCGAATTCGAACCAGGCCAGAACTTGTTTTTATTCAAAAGGGAAATAATCGGTTTCAAAAAGTTGTGTGTCTGCTTATGTGTGTCTACTTATGTTCGATCGGCTTAGTTGCATTGTTACGGATTTTTGCTGGGCTGTAAGTAATTTTTATTGTAACTGAAAGAGTTTTGATTTGTTACTGTAATATGTAAACTTACTAAGTTTGTATTTGTTTTTCGCTGGTGTGTTTGGCTTCAATTGTTTTGCTTCTGCTTTATCGAGTAAGTGAACCAATTCAGCGTTGTTTTAAAGGAAAAATAGATTTTTACGCTTTTGTGTGTTTCCGGAGGGGGAGCGTAAAAATTCGGAACTTTCTAAATTTTTTCAATTGAAAACGGAATTGCCGGCTCAGTTGGCGATCGATTTTTGTGTCTGAATATTTATTGAACGCTAGTTATTGTGTTTTTTGAACATCATCCAGACAAATTCTGAAAATTTTTAGTTATCGTTTTTTCGAAATGCTGTAATTGTTTTTCGACTTAGTGGCTTTTGTTTCCTTTTCTGTCTGCTAACTTGCAATGCGGTGTGTGTGGTCTCGCAAGTGGTGCGAAGCTCCGCTTCGCCTCTGTGTAGAATGATTAAGTAGGTTGTTGGATCAACCTCTGGATCTTTTCAGATTCTGAAGACCAATTGTGTATCAGAGTGCAGCCACGGCTCAGCCTCTGATTGGGGCTATGACTTGGCAGTGAAGCAACTGGCGAGCAGTATACTGTGCAACCTCTCTCTACCATACGCGTGTAGCAGAACTGCTACTTCCGCTGTTAACAACTCTCCCTTCCGCAGTGCTGCCCTGTCGTCTCCCAGGAAAGCCCTGCTTGAAAATGGGTTGCTCAAGGCGTGCTGGCAGCTAGTTAGCTCAAATGATTATAATTTGAGGTTTGCACCTTTGTTCACATTGTTATGGCTCAAAAGGGTCTTGAGTACTTTTAAAATTTAGATCGCATGGTTTTATTTCTGTTCAAAAAAGTACTAAATGACTTATACGAACGTTGAACTATGAAGTAATAAGTCTACGTAACTTTCGACAAAAGATCAGAAAACATTATGTCACGAAACACGTAACAATGAAGATGGTTTGTGAAAGGCAAGATTATGGATATATTTTAAGTTTCAATTAGCTGGCTGGATGTTAAACAAGATTTATGGATCTCTTCTCATTTTCGCAGACTGAACGGAGTGTGGATTCTAATGAACCTCAGCTGCGAAGGGACGCAGGAGGACAAAGAACAACAAGGGAAACATCTCATGTTGCAGATATGGCAGGGCCTACTGATGACGTCACCAATTACTAATACTGAATCTAATCACGCCTCCCCCGCTTCTGTACTGTCTCACCTGTTGCGTGACCCATGTCCGCATGTGGCAGAGAAGACCAGTGGTCTACTGCTCAACTTAAGTTGTCATCTCAGCCGGCACACTTGCAAAGGAGATCAAGTACACTTTTTTAACATTTTCAGCATTACAAATTAAAAATTTGCCTGCTCAGAGACGTTTGAAAACGGACCATTTGGTCTAAAGACGTTCTCTCAGTCTTCACATTGGTACATAGTTGTTGCCAATATCGTAAACCAGTCTACAAGCTTGTGAGCCTAATAACAATTTAATATCTTTTTATTATTAAGTACGTTCTTTTTGTCGAGTTACCTGGTGATCTCGTCACACTTAAGCTCAAGTAGCTCTAATTCGTTGTTAATTAAACAACGTTGATTACTGGATGTCTTTGAAAGATCGTTTTTGAAGAGTGAATGCTTGTAAAAGGATTGTTATTTTGCTCATTTCGTTCTTTTCGCGTGCGTTTTTTTTTGAGGCAGTTCATTCATAAGCGTTTGCGCTAAATGGAGGAAAGTTTTTCCGAATCAGATAAAGAAATAAGCATGCTAAGGCACAGGCGGAAGAGGCTGCATTCAAAACCGCATGTTTTGCTCATAGAAGTGCGTTTGACAAATGAGCACAATTGTGATAGAGATCCTAAAACATACTGAGTAGCTAATTTAAAGTGCATTGACTTGAAATTTTGCAAATTTTGCTTTTGTATAGCTGAAATTATCAAATGAGCCAGAAGCTGTCAATTAAAATTGTGTAAAATTTTGATAACGGGCGAGAGGGTTTTATGCACTACAAAGATGCATTTGTAATCATTTAGTGTTATGGATTTTGGATTAACAACTAGTGTTTCACTTTCGCATTTGACTCCCTTAAACTTAGTATGAGTTCATCACTCGCACGATTTGTTTCAGTGTGTGAATGACTCGGCTCGGCTGGTGATAGAAAAAGGAAGAGAAATTGTGCAATTCATCTGTGATGGACTTGAAAGGACAGAACTGCGACATAACGTGAGTGATGATCAAAGTCAGCTTAGCGCGTTTTTATTTATTTTTGGCCCAGATTGAAGCGTCACGACGTCGAAATCATGGGCTTTAAATTGGTGAGGCGTGATATATTTGGTGGAATATTTAAAAATTCACTATTTACACCTGCAAAGCTCGTGTTATAGTATGAACTATCTTTTTTTTTCAAATTGACTGGTACTGATAATGCGTCATAATTGGCGTGCTTCACTTAAGAAATTCGGTTTTTCCCAGTTAGCGTTATCAGTCATATTTTTGCTTGTGTATGCGAAGTGCAACTTCGCCGCTGTGTTGAAGGTTTCGGATCAATCACATACAACACCCGCGTTTATAGAAATACATAATTTGGTTTCCCTTTCTCCTCTGAATTTTGTGCTGCAATGGTTGTTTACACTAGCCAGCTTGCAAGCGTTAGTGTATTAGTACGACCAATCTTTTTTATCTAACTAAAATTTCATTAAAAGTGTTCCTTTGGTGGCACTTTTGCTATAATCACGATATAGCAGCCCAATTTTTACTAATTCGAGGCCTATTTCTAGTTTTTCTTATTGCATTTTATAAAGCTGCTTTTTGTCGTGTTCTCGCTAGTGTTTGAGAAGCACAGCTTCGCAGCTGTGTTCTACTGGGCTACTATGCTGTCTTATGACTAAAATTGGGTATTGATTCCTTTTTAGTATCAATTTTTTTGCTTGATTGATCGATGTGAGCCAAGGTGCCGTCTTGATGGAAGACACTAAGATTGCTCTTTCGCCGTTTTTAATTCTAAGATTTTACCGTTTTTAATTCTTGTTTTACCGTTTGCTCCAAGAATGACGAAAATATATTTCCGCATGAGTCATCATTTTCAAGATCACAAACACGTGGAACTTGCGTGTTAAATTTATCACAATCCTTAGTTGGGAGAAAACGGTACAGAAGCCAACTAAGTCATTCAGCACTCAAAACATTTTCAGGACACTTTTAATTAGATGTTAGTGATTTTTTTCAAGAAAAGGCTCTGATTTTTTTTTAATTGCTCAAATTACTACAAATGTGCATTCATACATATTAAGAAAAAGAATTTATTCCTCTAAATTTGCAAACTAAAACCAATTTTACTTCAGTATAATTCAATAAATAAATATTTGAAAAAATGATTGAATTTACTGCAAACTTATTTAATTTTAAGATTTCTTAGCGGATTTTGTCTATTGATCCAGTTTTTTCAAATCGAGTTGTTTTAAAAAGTAACAATCATTTTATTTTTGAAATTCAAAGAGCTTTAAGGTGATAAATTTTTTGAAATTTGAAAGTGAAGTTTTTTTTTAATAACAAGCGTGTGTTTTTGTTCTGATGCCTTGCGTTCATGACTCTTTTCGAACTGTCTGTTAACTATGTTTTAATTTGCTGTAACTAAGATCAATGCATGATGTTATTTTGCGTTCAGTTGCTGCTGGCTCTGTGGAAGTTTAGTTGTGCACCAGACATGTGCCCTCATCTTATGGTTGAGATGATTGTGAAATGCGATGAGTTGATGCAGAAAGCTAAGAAGATTCTGCTGTTGGTAAGCTGTTATTTAAGTATACGAGTTGGATTAAGAAAAACTATTCAAGATATCAACATTACACCATGTGATCATATAAAAATATCTAAATTGAGTTGGCTTTTTTCTACAAATGAAGCCCATTAAGGGCCTTGTTTTCAGCCGCAGATAGTTGAGAGCATATTTTTTTGTGGTCAACTATGCCTAAACTTTGTCTGGCCGGGGTTGTATGGCATTTTTTTTCAATTAGGAGAAGATTGAGATGCGACTTGTTAGTTTGGTGCTGCAATGGATTGCTAAGTGCTTGTCGCCCACTGACATAAATTCGGCATATAACACAAGCGATAATAGATCCCCAACTGGCCTCGCTGACCATACTTCTAGAAGCAGTGCAATATCAGATCAAGATGAGAGAAACAGAAGGAAAGAAAGGATGGTTGCTCACTTCAGACGACACGACTTCCTATCCGCCCTCTCGTCTCTTCTCGGCACGGTGTCGATTTTTGCAGAGAAAGGATACAAACACCATTACGCAGTTTCAATTATTCAACAGTTAGTTCCATTTTTTTCAAATAAGTGTTGACGAAGCTGACCGAATTTTGGCTTACTTTTGGAGGAAAGAGTTATTGTTACTTTGTTTGTTTCAGAATACATCATCTGTGTGGAGTATTGCGAGTTTGAGAGAAACGACAGAAAGTAAATTAGTCAGGCATTCAAAATGGTCAACCAGACTCTTATATTTTCATACAGAAGTCTTTTTAAATATAGATATTAGGTACTTGAAGTTCGAGCTGTATTCTACAAAAAAATTATCTACAAAGTCGAACTCTTATTTAGGTCCTTTGGGTTTTTTTCGGAAAGTTCGTTCACAATCCTTTTTTGGTGATTTGAACTTCTATTTCTTTTGAAATTGCTTTTTTCATAGTTTTTAAAAGTCAATGAACCTAATGAATACTGTTTTATCGGTCTTGATAATTTTTTGTCGTTTTTTAAAGGAAAAGTCTTACACTTAGTTCACGCTCAATTTAGATTTTTCGCGGTTTGACTTGATTTTGTTTTCAATTCATTTCCGTTGTTTCCACAAGCAAAGGTGTTATAGTATGAATTATCTTTTTTTCCAGCCTAAGTCGCAAATATTGTTGCAACGCAAATATTGTTGCGACAAAGTGTGTTCATTTTGAAAGTATTCATTTTGATCAATAACCAGCTATTAAGTACAGCCAATGCTAAGGATATTAACACTGACTATTATATTCCATTTAGCTTCAAGTTCTAATGGATCTGTGGCGTAGAGGTAGGAAAGGAGACACGCGAAAAATAATTTAAATGAAGTTTTTCGTTGACTTGTTGAAATGCGTCCACTTGCGTCACTTAGCAATTATGTAGACTCATAATTGGCGTGCGTCACTTAAGAAGATTTGTAGACTCAAAGTTTTAATCATTTAGTTTTTCACGGTAGCGTTATCAGTCTTGTTTTTGATTGTGTATGCGAAGTGCAACCTCGTCTCTGTGTAAAAGGAAGGCAAACTCCACTTAGGAACAGCAAAAATGTAACCGTTACGAAAAACGTGGTCGGCTTCCAGATTCGAAAGTGGTTTTAATTGTTCACATTTCCCAGCGGAATAAAAATTTTAACTGTGTTACATTTTTCTCAAATTAGGTTAATTTTATTAAAAACGTCACAATAATAAATTATTCTTGCAGGCCTGTTTTTTCTGTTTAATTAGTCTTTTCCAACTGACTGTTGGCTATGTTTTGAGTGGCGCTAAAATGCGGTTTCTGGAATAAATATTAGTTGTCAGGAGGGTAACTGTAAAAAAATCATAAAATGAGTTGTTTGTTCTGAACACGAAGGGAGTTTTGTTGTTCAAGTGTTTTTTCCACGCAAGCTCAGGTACCGTAAATAGAAGTGATCGTAAAGTTTTTATTGAAATCCGTTCAATCCTTGTCAACTGGAATAAAAAGTTTCTGAAATATCTAATCAGATGTTCATTAAACCGTTCTTACGCTAGCGAGCAGCTAGTAATTTAGTACGAACCTTCTTTTTTTCTAACCTAACCTAATAAAAGTTTTCATTAAAAAGGCTCACTTCTGTGCCTTTTTGCTATAATCACGATCTGCAGCATTTAAAATTTCATAGCATCTGTTCTAGGTTTTATTTGTGGCTAGTGTTTGTTAACGACTAAGCGTTTTTAGCTCAGTGGTTAGTGCGTCAGACGTAATTTCTATGTTGCAGTAGATCTTAGGTTCGAGTCCGAGACGTCGCCGAATTTTTACTAATTAAAGACTAATTTTAATTTTTTCCTTTTGCACTTTTTAGAACTCTATAGCTGCTTTTTGTCGTGTTCTCGCTAGTTTTTACCTCTGTGTTAAAAATTGGGAAAGGATCAACATATTTTTTTGTTTTGCACAAAAATGGCTCTGGCTGGAAAGTTTCAACATTTTGTGCTTATAGTACATCAACCCAACCGTATATTTTGTTGGATTTGAATTTATGGGCGAATGGTGTTCTGTGAGCCCGCAATTAACGCAGTGATGACAGTAATATACTTGGTGTTGATTTGCTTTAAATGAAAAATCATGAAAGTTGTTTACGCCGAAGTATGATTTATTGTTTGAACCCTTGAAAGTGGAGAGGAACTTTGTCTTCGGGTGTGTTTTAATTCGGGTGTCTTAGCTTTCCACCTCAAGTTTTTGAATTAGTTGAAAACTGTTCAATTTTAGTAAGACTTATTTTGGAAGTTTCTTTCAGCGCTTCCGTTACCCTAAAATTTTTTAAAGAAAATCAAAAAAAGTTTTTCTGCAGAAAAAAATATAGATTTTTTTTTCGTTTTTTCAAACAAATATTTTTGCTGAAGACTAATTTGCTAACATTCTACGCGTTCAGAAAGTTCTTTTATCACAGCTCAGTGAAAAAGTGACACTATTTGAAAAAAAGAACAAATCTTATTTAAAATTTTGAAGGGTCGATCAACGTAGTTCAAACTTTTATATAGGTCGTGATGATTATATTTGTTTTTTTTTTCACGAAAAGTTTTTGATTTGTTTTTAAGTGCAGTTCATGTTCATTTTAAAAGAAAGGAAAACTCCACTATCGAACAGCAAAAGTGCAAAGGTCACAAAAAACGTGATCGATTTCTAGTTTCGAAAGTGGAATTTAATAGAATCACTTTTGATGCTGACACGCTCGATTTCATGAAAATTCAAATGTAACTACTGTGGGTACTAGTTACTGCAGGGTAGTTTGAAGGGGACTTGAAACTTCTAAAGTTTTTTTTAGAAAATCAGTTTTTCGGCTTAACCGTTGTCTGCTCAAAAATTGTCGGCCTTGTTTCCGCTTCGTAAGTTTTGTTCAGTTGATAATTAAAGAGCAATGAACGCGGTGAAAACTCTTATATCGGTCTAGCTGATTTTTTTTTTCAGGAAGAAGTCTTAAAATTTGTTCACGCTCAATTTTGAATTTTCACGGTATGACTTGTGATTTTTTTAAGTTCGGTGCATTTTCATTGTTAAAGGGAAGGCAAACTCCACTATCGAACAGCAAAAATGTAAAAGTCACGAAAAACGTGATCGACTTCTTATTTCGAAAATGGAAATTGTTTATCAGATTTCCCAGCGAAATAAAATTTTTGCCTATTGATCCAGTTTTCTCAAATTCGGTTAATTTTATCAAAAAAAGCCAATCATAAACTGTTCCAGAAATTCAACGAGCTTCAAGGGCACCTTTTCTTCTTTGAAATTCGAAAATTGGATTTTTCAAAAAAAAAGTCTGTTTTTTCTGTTTACTCGTGTTCACTGACTCTTTTCCAACTCTCTGCTGGCTATGTTTTTAATGAATGTGCTCGGAACATTCTGTGCTACTTGCACAGGAACTGGCTATTGCTGTTTCTAATTAATTTTTGTCCAAGTTATTTTCAGTTAATTTTTTCAATTACGTTTTGAGCATTTCGAGGGAACATCTGAACCCTCACTTTTTGACATAGAAGAAATCATTCCGTGCTTTCCTAAAAACGTTATAGTATAAAATGATTTCAAGTACCATGAAGATACTTCCTGCTCAGTTGGTTAAGGTATATATTTTAAAGCCCTTTCGATAGTGTTTCAGGATCTGAAAAGATACCGCTCAAGCGATATACGGTCATTGAGGCTGAAGTTAATAGCTTTTTGAGATAACCACAGGTATTTCTACCAATTCCATCTAGATTTAATATGGGAAGTTTGTCGCAGGGTTGCAAAAAACATGTTACGAGTTAAAAAAACAGTTTTAAACGCTTAAAACGTTTTGAATTAAAAAACATCGAAATTATGCAGTATGTGCACCATACTTTGCCAAGTTGAGTGCTCTTTTCATTTCATTTTCAGTAGCATCGACTCTGAAAAAGTCGGATACAAAAAAACGCAGCAAATCAAGAATCCGGAATAGAAAAACTATACTGTTTCTCGGTACTTTCGAGCCATTCGCGTCGTTCGGTAACCCGTTCACGAAATCTATCGAGGAGATTTTTCCACGAATACAGTTCAGTTAATGAAAATTGTTAGAAAGTTGTTTGCAAGAAAATCTGCCAATCAGGGGAAGTTGTTTTAAACACTAAATTATTCAATGTTTTGGACACTGTGTTAAACGTGTTTTAAACATGATTTAAACAAAACATGTTTTAAACATTGCAACCCTGGTTTTGTCGTGTGGGTTTTGCGTGGTTGTGTATGTATGTGTAAGTATGTCGATTTAAGTAATAGTAAAATTGTTCCAAAATCGAAACTGAAAGAATCTTTACCACAAAATCATTGGAAAGTTAATTTTCTGTGTAATTTGTATTATTTGGGGATGTGTTGTTCAATCAGCACTCTTGTAAATTATTTTTAGCCTAATTATTTTAATTGCCGCATTGAAGCCAGCCAAATTTTTGTATTAGTTTTTTCCTCGACACTGGGTTCTCGCCGCTTTTTAAAGTTGTATCATTGCAGCTCGAACCATTCATTGTGTTATATCAATCAGCTGCGCAGGACGCTTTTTTACAACACCTTAGTTTGCATAGATGGCAAAGAGTCAAATTGAAGTTGCTTCTCAACTTTGATAATCGAAGCAAAAATCCTGGTTTTTGAGGGTATGTTTATAGTGGTTAGGGTATGAATTACAGTCGTCCCTTACTTACGCTCGTATTGTTAATTTTCAGACGGTTAAATGAGTGTTAAGAAAAGAACAAGACTATTGAGTGATTCCGACTCTGATGATCAAGTGGCGACCAATGGTTTAGAGAACAGACTAGAAGATGAAGAAGAAGAATCGATTGCTGAGCACAATGTGTACACATCTCCAACTGCTAAGAAGATGGCGGAACTTGGTGATGCTGATGAGGAGTCAGACGAGGATATTACCATCCGGCGCAGAGCACAAACATCATCAGGAGCTGCAACGTCATCTGCAACATCAAAACGTGAAAGTAGACCTGTGGATTTGGATGATGCAGAAAGAGATGGCTATGGAGGTTAGTAATTCTACGCTTCCAGTCGTCGCATTTAAATGAGCTAAGTTTACATGAAGCGTAGGAACATGCGTACCACCTTATAGTGCGAATAGCGCAGACAAAAAGTGGAGCTTACAAATCCAGTTGTTAATGGGGAATTTGAAGTATTTGATGATTTAAATACACATCTGCATTTTAGGTGTATCAGACTATGAGAATGAGAATGACGTCACAATTGCGAGAAGAAGAGAAAGGGAAGTAGAAGGTAGTCCAAATGCAAACCAAGAGGAAGATTATGAGGAGATATTCGCGGGAGACAATGATGACTTGGAGGCTGTGGATATAAACATGGGTGCTGAAGAGCTGCTCAATGCAGACCAACAACAAGCAGGAGTGGAAGTGAAAAAGAAACGAGCCATCAAAAAGAGAAACACTCTGAATGCAAAATTATTCATAGACAAGGACAAAGGTCTTCTAGATTTGAATAGGCGGTGCAGGAAGATTAAATTCAAGGGCAAAGGGTACGAAGAACAAGATTTTGATTCTCTCTTGTGGAATATTGAACATTGGGCTCATATGTTGTGTCCAGCGGCAAAGTTCAAAGATTTCCTAGAACATGCGGAACGACTTGGTAAGAAAATAGAGATTAAGAACTTTTTGAGGTCGGTTCGCAGCGGCGAGCTGGAATATGGCTTGCCTGAAATGGTTGACTCGGACAATGAAAATGTGAAGCCATCGAAAAAGCAAGATTTAGATTTTGATGATGTATTAATGGAAGAGGAAAATTTAATTAGAGAAATGGAGACGATACAGGAGAATTCTTTCGCAAACGACAGCGAAGTCGGTCGCAACAATAAGAATAGTTTCAGTAATTACGGCCCTCAAAACAATACAATGAATACGACTAGCGTTAATGGTTTCAATGCCTCAAAATTGGTTACATCAACACCTTATCCTAAACACTTGCTAACCAATAAAGAACAGCCCTCGGCGACGCAAAATAAATCACCTCTTTCAGATGACATAGCTAGAAAGATCGAAGAAAAGAGGTTACAGGCACTTGCTAAGCGGGTTCAAAGGGCCTCGATGCCGCCCCCTCTAACAGAACCGAACCATCATGCCCAAATTGAAGAATCTCCTATTGCAATGAACTAAAATTATTTGATTTTTTGTTATGAATTGTTTGTGATTGTTTTTGAATTAATTGAATTTTACTGATGATGACAGTTTTTGATGACAGATACCGGTCGCAACATGTTTGTTCCTAGCATCATAAGTTATAGCGAATTGCTACTTGATATCGTAGTTGCTTCCTACATCGCAATTTGGCTTGTACACAGTCTAAAGAACACTTGTGCCCTGTCTGATATAAATGTAGCTATTGAAATACATATTTGGTAAGATAGTAAATTTGTATCACACTTCGCATCTGTGTTAACCTTTTTTCAGGTTAACCACTTATTCACCAGAATCAATATTGGTTTTTGTTTTCTTGAGAGTAATGAACGCAGTGAAAAAGGTCTTGCTGATCTTTTTTTAGGAAAAAGTCTTAAAATATTGATGCACTTAGGTATAATGCACTTATTGAGTTCGATTGAAACTCATCTGCTGAAAGTGACGTGAATAGCCTTCTCCAAAGACGAACGTGGAAAAGGCGCAAAAAAACGTGAACGACTTCTAGTTTCGAATGTGGTTTTTTTTATGGTTTCCAGCCGAATAAAAGCAACCTGTTGATCCAGTTTTCTCAAGTTGAATTAATGTTATCAAAAAAAGACAAATCATAAATCGTTCTAAAAATTTTATTTTTTTCTTTGAAATTGAAAATTGAGATTTTTTTAAACAAAGTCAGTGTTTTTTTTTGTTTACTTGCGTTCATTACTCCTTTCCATTCTTCGATTGGCTATGTTTTGTCTGCTTATCTGTTGTTCGCTTAGTTGTCACTTCCTGGGATAGTTTTGTTTTGCTGAGGTTAGTTTTTATGTTGCATTTAGTGTTTGATTTGCGCCTACAATTTGTGACTAACTTTGACTTTGTATTTTTTTGTTTTTTTTTCGCTAAAAAAATCCTCGGCCCAAATTAATTCGGCTGTTTTTTATCGGTTTAATGACCTGATTTTGGCCGTTTTGAGGGAAACACATTTTCAACACTCTCCTTCGCACTTTTAAATTTGGTTTCATGTTTACCAATCGGTTTTTTGAAATTTCAATTGTTTTTCGTTTCGGAAATTTTTTTTTTTCAGTATTTGCAGTTTTTCTCAGAAACTACAGATTTTCGAAAATGGGTGTTAATTGAAAGACCGTCTATTCCCCTGTGTATCTGTATATTCCCCAAAGTCTTTTTTCACTTGACTTTCTGTCTACAGCCTTCTATGGAGATTATTTGACATCTCGAAAACTACCCTCTCAAATCTGATTTTGTTTGATCAATTCTCGAAAAATATTTTGCTATATCAAAGTTTTGGGTCCAGTTCAAGTTGGGTTCAGTTTCGGTTGAGGAAAGCTCATTTGTTTATGAGAATACGCCCTCGAAATTTTATGGCCCTCGGAAAAGTCAGTTTTGATTTTCTAACTGTTTTTTTTTCTTACAGTTTTTGACTTTTCTGGAACTACCCTCCTAAATCTGAGATTTTGGGTTCAATTTAAATTACAGGTTACGTGAATTCCTTCAGCATAAGCGGCTACCGTCTTTTTTGTTACACAAAAAGCTATGATTCTTTGAAATGTCAAACTTTTGATTTATTGACCGTTTTTGGTTTTCCGCTAACTATCCTGCCGAATCTGATAGCTAGGTTCAATCGAAACAGCAATTTGTTGGAAGCCTACCTTTCTAATTGGCTATGCCCAGTTTGTTTCAGAAAAAAAGTTTTGGCCTTCAAACAAGTTATGGCCGGAAATTATCGACTTTACGCGAAAACTACCGGGCCAATTCTCAGGTTGTCTTCAATCGAAAAGCCCGGTTTTGGGAATCTTATCTGCTTAAGCGGCCACAACCTGCTCTTTGCAGAAAAAAAATTGTGGATTATGATAAGTCATTTAACCGTTTTTAGGGATCAAGACCTGAAGGTTTTCAAACCTGAGTTGAAAGAACGGGTTGCGATAATTGTTCCTGCTGAAGGGGCAACTGTTTAACTTTTTTATGAGAATTGTTATCTCTTTGGGGAAATTGATTATCTTAAATTTTTTTGTTCTTGGCACTTATTTTAGTTGAAAAACAACTAAGGTTTTGAGCAAATTACAATTTTTGAAATAACCTTTTTCGTGCCGCATCAGTATAGCACTTTCATTCAATATCAAACACATACCTCCAGGTTTAGCTGGGCTCGTAGTTGTTTTTTTATCAAAAGTTTTGGTTCACCTAGATTTTTCAACATCAAATTTTTTTGTTGTTGTTTTTGTGTGCTGTTATTGTGTGTGTTGTATCGTTTTTTCTATTGAGTTGGTGTGCTTTTTTTGATAACCAGATGCATTTTTTCCGACTTCTGATTTTTTTTCGGCTTCCTTGTATTGCAAGTGGTGCGAAGCTCGGTTTCCCCTCTGTTTTAAATTCAAATCGAATGTTTTTTTTACCGCAATAGCTTGGAGGTAACCCACATAGCGGGGAATACAAAGACCTGGCGTCCATGTCCGAGAAGGAGCTGCAATTGAATCACTTAAGAGTACCATGTCGAACTTTGGATACAGTGCTGGTAGCTGAGATTCTAGAAATAGTATAATTTCTTTTTTGAGTTAGTGCGGGTAATTTTTTGTGGTATTGTGGGAAATACTTTGGTCTTTACCTTCGCTCATTTACTTCAACGATGTGTTTTAGTTGTAAAAATAGGGTTTGTTAAGTTCGAAGGTTTTTCAGGTGTTTTATTTGCTATTAAGACTGACTGGTTTCTTTAATATAAGTAAGTGATAGCAAATCGGAACATTGACTTTTTTCAGCCTTTGTCGGCCTATCGTTTGTCTTATTATTTTTGTGGCAACTCCAGTATAGAATTTTCGTGTGATTTAGGCTATTTTTACATGATTTAAGCTTTTTAAATAATTTTTTTTTTAATTGTAAGTGGAACTGGAGGTTTATGCCTACTCTTAAAACAATACATGAAACCTGTCGCTGTTTTCTTCATGAAACATGTCCGCTTGGCCCCTGTGTTGAAGCTTTTAGATGTGTTTTCTGTTTTTTTGAACCTACTGATTATTACTCTTTTAATTCAAGCGTAGTTTGTCAAGGCCAGTGAACGTAGAGAAGACAATTTTATAGAACGTGCTGATATTATCCACAAAAAAATTCTTGAAAGTTTTTTGCGGCTTTCTATTTGCAATGCAAGTTTATTACCGAAAAGAAGGCATACAGTGCTAATTTATATTAACCGGACGAAACGAATATAATTTGAACTTAAAACGCGTTTTTGTTAAATTGGTTTAAGATTATACAAAAATGTGAACAGTAGAAAATTTGCTTAGAGTTTCACCAAAATTAATATGGTGCAATTTTTTCCCGAAATTCTCAACTAAAATTTTGCTCCAAAATTGAGTCATTTTGGCTTATTTCATTAATCAAATATTACGCTGAAACTACTGTGTTAATTGATGAGCAAAATGTATCAGAAGAAGCCTCTTACTCGGGCCAAGAAAATTCTAGAAAGGTCAAATCTCCTGAAATTTGCGCAATTGCTTAAAATCTTTTTTTTATATATACTTTTATAACTATCTCGCCACATTTAAGGTTTTTCAACGTATAATTTTTCCATGTTTACAGAAGAATTTTTCACGATTAAGCTATATCGTATATTGCAATTGTTAAGAATAAATTCAAATTACGCAAAAAATTTTAGAATTTGAAATTCCCAACCCTGTAAGTGCGTGCTATCAGAGTACTCCCAAGGATTGGGAATCTTGCCTCCAAATTTGACTGCTCTAAATCTTTTAGTTTTCGAGATACGACGTGTGTTATGATTTCTTTTTGAATTTTCAGCAAAGTGATATTTTAAAAATTCAAAGGTTGGAAATTCTCAACCTTGTAGTTAGGTACTATGACGGTAATCTCAGAAATTCTAAATTGGAAATCTTGCGTCTAAATGCGAATGCTCAAATGCTTTTAGTTTCCGAGATTGACGTGTTTTATGATTTATTTCGAATTTTTCAGAAAACTTAGATTTCAAAATGTTTTAAATTCTCAACCTTGTAGTTAGTTACTATAACGGTACTCTCAGAAGATCCAAATTGCAAATCTTGCCTTCAAATGCGACTGCTCAAATGCTTTTACTTTCCGAGATGTGACGTTTGTTATGTCTTTTTCTTTAAAAATGTTCAAAGATATAAAAAAAAATTCACAAAATTTGAAGTTCTCATCTCTAAAGTGAGGCTCTATCAGGGTACTCCCAGGAGTTGCAAGTTTTGCTTTCTATGTCTTTTTAAAGTTTTTCAAAGAACTTAGATATAAAAACCTTCACAAAAATTTATGATTTTTCAAATTTTGAAAAAAAAACTTAATTTGATATTACCACCCCTAATTGGGTGCTGTCTGAGTACACTCGTAGAATGCAGTTCTTATTTTTAAATTGCGGTTTCTTATGGATTGTTAAAATTTCGAATCACCTGAGGTGCGTTACACGCTACTTTGTTTTTGTTTTGGGTTTTATGTATGTGTTTGGAGATTTAGTTCTAGAATTTTTTTGGGCTGTGTAAGAGGCTTCTTTTGATATATTTTTCTCGTCAATTAAGTAGTTTCAGCCTTATTCTTGATTAATTTAAAAAAAGCCAAATTGACCTATTTTTGTGGTGGAATTTGGTTGAGAATTTCGGAGAAAAAATTGAATCATAATAATTCTGGTGAAATTCTAAGCAAAAGTTTCAAAGTTTGTAATTTTTCTCCGTATAATTTAAATCAGCACTGTGTCAGACGCTCAAATTTCAATAGTGCCAATAACGCGCAAATAATTGAATGATTTTAAGTTGGTGATATATTACAATAGGTGGCAGATTCAAGTTAAATAGCTGGTTCGCTCTTTGTCATACTTCGAACAGTATTTATATATATTTTTTTCAAAAGCCACATTTAGTGACAAAAGAATTGTAAAATTTGAATTTTTGAGTGACATTTCATCTGGCAGAGTAATGTATATTCTAAAACTATCTTAGTAGCATGTACAATTGATGGAAAATGAAATGACTGTATAATGCAATATAGTTCCCGAATTGAATAGATGCTTTATACTCAAATAACCACCTATTGTACCATATAGCCTTTAATTTTTATATTAGACGATTTTAAAACATTTCCTGCGGGAAAAATATTATTGATTGATCCAGTTTTCTCAAATTGATTTTTCGCAAAAATGCTTGCCCTGAAAATTTCCTCCCTTTGAAAGTTCCTTGGCTAACCTAATGAAATAATGTATTTATAACAGAAAAATTCGGGTTTTAGAAGGTACTAACAAATAATCGAGCAGCAATTTTGTGTATATTTCGTATCAGGAGGATTTTAGGGGTGGGTGCGGATTCCCCTCAACCTAATTCGATTTTTTGTCTGCAAGCACCCCCACTCGCTACTGCTTTGAAACACAATTGCCTTATTTCCAACGTTCATTTTTATGGTGTACTTAAAATTGTACATTATTGGATAGCTGTGACGTTGCATTGCATTGCGTGGCAGTGATTGCGTGGCTGGTATTATTGAACTAGTGGTTGACGAAGCCAACTACGTAAAACAAGGTGATGCCAAAAATAGTACGTGATGTTATTTGTTGGTCAGAAGCACATAACAAACAAACATGCTCTATTTATCGAACTGCAGTTTAAATCTCAGAGACTGAATTGAATTAATGCAAGGATGGTTTCTAGCCTCTTCTTTTTCAGATCAGCTATTGGTATCACTGTATTATGACATTTTGATTTTCACGCAGCCTGTGCGGCCAAGCCTTCGAAAATTTAACAAAATCATCGCAAATCGAACTGTAACACTTCAAAACTCTGCAGGAATTATTTGATTCCGACAATTTAAATTGACATTATTGACCATTGTCTTGATTATTGTTCGATTAGTGCTGAAAATCGATTTGAAAGTAAAGTTACCAGTTGGTTGAGGATGGGCCAGCTGTTAGCCAGCCCCCATCCGCCGCAATTTCCGAGGCCTCAAATTGCTGGAGACAGTTTCAATTTACAGCAGCAGCGGGATGAAAGAAGGCGGCATAGAGTCGATCGCGAGACTGCCGGACAACAGGAAGAAAGTGTAATGGGAAGGGATGATGAGAGGGTGGAGAGTGACTTTGATGAGGTTGAAGTAGTGGATGAGATAAGAAGATCCAACATTGCGTGGACACTATCCAGGTAATGCATCTGGATAGGATTTGTCCACATTTGAATTAACCATATGAACCAGTTAAAATACATAAAACTTAAAAAATCACTGAACAATTACATTGGAAATTCAATCTGAGACACTTTTTAATTGTTTGCTTTAATGAAATGAATTTATATGATACCTTATTTGACCGACTACAAGCTGTCTTTGAGGTGGTCAAAATCGGCTGAAAATACATACCCTTGTGTAATGGCTAGAACAATGACAAATTCGAGGTGCTATGTGTCTTTTCAGGATGGGTCTGTTGTTCGGAGGTGGCGACGAGCGTGGCCCAGCTGGTTCCTTCGGTCGGCGGTCCCGACTGGCCTTTCCTGATCTGGCCAGACTGCCTGCCCAAGTGAGTCTGTCCATCCTGTCCCACCTGAATGAGACTGAACTATGTCTGGCAGCCTGTGTGAACGAACAGTGGCGACAACTGGCCGACGACGACCTCCTCTGGCTATCGTTAGTTGTTTTGCCTATAATTGTATTCAGGTAAATTTATGTCATGAAAGTTATTGAATGCCACGTTTTCACCGCAATGATTGGGTTTTCTACTTGACTCGAAAGGTTTCTCATTTTTTGAAATTTATGTTCTTTGTACCGAGTTTACAATTAAGCGCTGAACCACGATATTATTTTGTTTTCACTCACTATTTTTGGTTGTGTTCACTTCAGTCTGTGTAAGTCGTGTTGGGGCTACACTAGTGTGTATGGCCGAGGGGGTCCCCGTGGTCTGCAGCAGATGTCCCCCCTTAAGAATGTGTTCCTGCTGCTAGATGAGGCGACTCTCACATTCAACTCACACTCACAGGGACCCCAGGAGGTAACTACCTACCAACATCTAGGACTGCGTTTCCTTCTTTTTATTAAACTGCATTACAATCGTTCCAAGTGCAGAAAAGTTACTTATTGTCAATTCGATGTTTTCAAGAAGATCCTGTAATTAGCTCATTTGGTTTGAATACTTTAGAATCGAAAAGCAAAGTCAACCAAATCTGTTTTTTGTTTCGAAAAAATTGCATTGTTGATTTCTTATTATACTAGCGAATTTTAGTGAGCGTTAGTATAAAAGTACGACCCTTCTTTTTTTCTAACCCAAGTCGCAAATAGTGCCATTTTTGGTGGCATCTTTACGGCTTTTTGATAGCATGTGCTTTGATATTCGAATAGTAATAAGGTAGCACAGTTGATGCATTTTTGATACATCAAATGAACCGAAAAAAGCCATTTGTTTCAAACACAAATTTTCTAACTCAATTTATCTCGCAATTTTTTGAAATGCGTAATTTATACATTATGTGGCTTGCTATTTTTCCTTTTCCCCCACCACACACGAGCATCATTTTCATGTCTAACGAGTAGTTTTACAAGGTTAATTATGAAGAGCAAATATGTTTGTCATAGCCTAATTAGTCTGATTGTAAATTTTCATGACAATTGGTCAAATGTGAACACTAATTTTACTTATGAAATTTTGCAGGTGGGGAGGGGAAGAAAAAGAGCCATGTGGCTTTATGCTGTGCCATTTGTTTTTTGCAAATTTAATGTGGATGCCTTCAGTTTGTTATATTCCAAGTTATTACGTGCAAAGTTGTGTGTATTTGTATTTGGTGCCAACTTTGCTGCATCGCATTGACAATTTTATAGCATATATAGCTGCTTTGTTTGTGACGTGTGTTAGCCGATTGTTACGCGTTCGTGGCCGAGAGGACAGGGTGTGAGACTCCAAATCTCGCAGATCCGTAGCCAATACCTATTTTTTCCGATTACTATTTTTTTCTTAGTTCACTGTATAAATCTGCGGTTTTGTCGTGTTCTCGCTCCTGTGGGCGAGGAACAGCTTCGCCTCTGTGTTAAATCTTATATTGTCAACGCTGATTTATAATATATATTGCAAATCCCGAAAATTATTTACACAAGCATTTTTTTTTCAAATTGACTGGTAATGCTAATGCGTCATCATTGGCTGGCGTCACTTAGCAATTATATAGACTCATGATTGGCGTGCGTCACTTGTGAAATTTTATAGACTCCAGTTTTACTCATTCAGTTTTTCCCAGTAGCGTTATTTTTTTTATTTTTGCTTGTGTATGCGAAGTGCAACTTCGCCTCTGTGTCAAAAATAAAAAGACATACGCTACCCAAAAAAAACTGTTTTTACTGCCTTTACTGTTTTGTTAGTAGCGCATTCCTTTTTACGATTGCGATTAGCAATCGGAATGTAGAATCTTTTTTCTAGTTAACAACCAGTTTAACAAGATCAGTTGAATCACTCGCTGATATCACTTACTGACATGCTCAATTTAACTACTGGGTGGGTACTAGTTACTACAGGGTAGTTTCGAGGGACTTGAAACTTTTTGAAGATTTTTTAAAACTCAGTTTTTTTGGCTTAAGTGGTGTCTGCTCAAAAATTGTCGGCCTTGTTTCCGCTTCGTATATTTGTCCAGTTGCTAATTTGAATTATTTCAAATGCCTTGCTTGGCATAATTGCCTAGAATTCTTGTTCTGATTTTCGAAACTCAGGGGGTATCCATAGAAAAACTTCTACTGATTTTCCAAAAAGGGGTATCCATAGAAAGACCGCCTACACCCTTGTCTGCATACTCTCCTGGTCTTTTTTTGCCTTACCGTTTTGTCCAAGTCTTTGAGAAAGTGTGTAGGGGATTTATTTGATCAATTTTTTAATGTTTTTTTTTTCGTTTTCTCAAAAAGATGTTTGTTTCAATGAATAGTGCGGTTTTGAAAAGCTCCCATTCAAAAGCGGCTAATAATTTTGTAATTTGTTACGCCCACTTTGTTTGAAAAAAATTATGGCTTTCAAACATGTGAAGTCTTAAAAGTTTGACTGTTTTTGGAAGTTTTGTGACTTTACTCGATCCTTACCGTGTCAATTCTCAGGTTAAGTGTTCAATCGAGGAAGCCAATTTAGGAAAAAACAATTTTTCTACTTCACCGGCCATGACCTGTTTTTCATAGAAAAAAGTTACGGTTTTAGGAAATTCAAGTTTTTTAGAACCATTTTTTAGAAATTTTTGAGTTTTCTTTAAAACTACCCTGTCAAATCTGAGATTAAAAGTTCAATCGAAATAAGGGGTTGCGCGAATTTTTCCTGCAGAAGTGGCTACCTTTTGTTTTTGTAAGAGAAATATTATGACTTCGGGAACATTCCAAAATCTCAAACATTTTCACTCTTTTCACTGATTTTAGTATAGAGAAACAACTGAAGTTTTAGACAAAGTCCGATTTTTGAAGTTACGCATTTCGTTCTGCATCAGTACAACAGATTCAAAATTAATCAAACAGGTGCTTCCAGTTTTAGCTGAGCCCTGAGTGTCCTTCGAGCTATACGAAAGTTTTGGTTCACCTAGTTTTTCTCAACATTTTTTGTTTTTTTTTCCGATTTTTTTACGATTGTTGTATCGCAACTGGCGCGAATCTCAGCTTCGCCTCTGTGTTCATATATAAGCATGTTTGACATGATTTTTTAGGAGACTGTATAAAAAGTTGTAATTGATTGAATTGAATATTGGTCAGTGATATATTGATGACAATAAAATTCTTCCGCACTTAAAAGTTTCGCTCAGGGGTCGAACACTGGAATTAAGTGTTCCTGTTATATAGCTAAAGCCAAATTTTTGGTAAAATTTGCCACTTTAAGCATTTTTATTGGTGAAAACTTATGCATTTTTGGTCATTTAGGTTTTTTAAATTGTTTTTCGTGTTGAAATAAGAAGTTGGATTCCGGGATCAAAATGAGCAGTTTCAGATTAATTAAATTCAGATTTTTTGACCGAATAGAATATTGGTAACAATTAGGCATCAACAATTTTTTACCTGTTGCAGGGTATACATCAGTTGGTGGATGGAGGAGTGCTAGACGACTGTGCTTTGGAGATAGCCAAGTTCATTCACTGCACTGACAAACTCAGGGCTGAGAGGGTGCGGCGATATCTGGAAACCAGGTATGGATGGCAACGCAACTACACCTAACTACACCCCACAATAAATTCATCAAGTCTCAGAGCTGACTATCTCGGGATAAGCAAGAAAGCTTAGCGTGTTCTCAGTTCCTGTCTTCGTTTTCTTTATGAACATTTTTTCTGGTTTTCTGTGATAATTAATAATAGTGATAACGATAAAGAGGTAAGAAAAGAAGTAGTTTTTCAATTGTTTTGTTCTAAAAAGCTGTTCACGCTCAATTTATATTTTAACCTTTCTTAAATTAAGTTCAAATCGTTTGCTGATGGAGATCGAAATACGCTCTCCAACGACAAAAGTGCAAATAAAGCAATAAAACGAATTATTCTTAGTAAGAGGGCTTAAATTTTTGAATGTCAAGGATTGGAGTGAAGATATTTATTGAGGTACTGTGTTTTTTTTTTTGCTTCATTGTTTCTTCAGGAAAATTTCTTAATTTTTGATAAGCTCAAATTTGATTTTCCGCGGTTTGACTTCAGGTTACTTTTTATGTTCAATGCAAACGCTCATAATCAGTTCACGTTTTTTTTGGAGAAGGAAAATGTTTAATGCTTCAATGCGATATCAGATTGACTTCAAAGGAACAGAATTTTGAATGTCTCAATCACTGAAGTAAATGAAATAAGCCACATCATAATGGGAATTCCTGATTCGGCAAATTTCATATTCAACTGCATTGGCAGTAGTGTTTTGGTAAATTCCAATTTGTATAGTTTCCTATGTTTTCAATTTCAAGAATTATTGTTTATCAGCGGTGTAAAAAGGAACCATAATCATCCTATTTAGTCGAGTGATATATATTAAAGCCCTTTCAGTCATGATTCGAAGGAAATTTTTAAAATGTCAAAAACTTACCCCAGTGTCGAGGAAAACTGGTTTAAATTTTTTGAATTTAAGTCTAATTCCGAGTCAAGCAAGTCCAATTTCGAGCATTCATCATAGGAAAATTGATTTTTTAGGCTAAAAAAACCTTGATATTACTAAATCAAAACTAGTTTTGGAAGCTTCATTTGACGCTCCCTCGGCCATAAAAGTTTTTTCATTTTTGTGACATCAGTTGTTGATTATGCTTCATTTATTTTCTTTTAATGCGTTTGTATTGTTCTCTCATCACACCACGCACAAAAAACGACACTAGTTGGAAGAGAAAATGAAACCACCTACTTTTTTGTAGTTTTTCATGATTGTGGTTAGACCACTTACACAGCAACTGGCTATCCTTGTTGCTTGGGTTTGTTTCATTACACTTGCGAAAGCAAGTGTCTTGTAACCGGGAACTAGACTTTTTTTTTCCAGAAAACAACTCTTCTTACAAGAAATTGAGCTTGCTTTATTATTGAACCTTCGCAACTTCCAGGTTCCTTCTCACTTGGCCGGGAGGTAACGGGGTCGATTTTGAACCCTAAGGTCTGGGGATCAAGTACCGGCAGAACCTTGTTTTTTTGGTATGTATCTAATTGGAAACTATTTTTGAGGTAAAAATTGAATTGTCACACTTTCGTTATTCTGTTCAAATTTTATCGGCCTACGTGCCACGTCACAAATGTTTTGTGTGCTATAAGCAAGTATCTCGTTAGTTTTAAGTGTTGTTCATTGTATTTTCACGGTGAATTGGATTTTTTTTCGGCTCAACTGGTGTCTGTTCACGGGTACGAATGGTTTTGTTTCCATTCGTATGTTTTATTCCATTGCTACTTTAAAATTCACTTGTCCTGCTTGGCCTGTTTGCCTAGAGTTTCTGTTTAATAAAATTCTTATAATGAAATTGTATAGGATCGGGTGTTTTATTTTTTTTTGAGGCGATTTGGAAAATTCACTTTTCTCAAAAACTACTCTTACCAAGTTAAAAAAAAAAGGTTAATCAGCAAAAAGACTGTCGAAGCTCAGTGTGCCTGCATAATCCGCTAGTCTTTTTTTCTTTACCCCACTGTCTACAGCTTCGAAAAAGTCTGTGGGGGTAATATTTGACCCATGTTTTTAGAATTTTTTTTTCGTTTTCTCAAAAGATAGAATGGGTCATGGAAAGCTTCCCTGCATAAGCAGCTACTCTCAATTTTTTTGCAAAAATTTATGATCCTCTGAATATTCTAATATTTGATTTTTGACCGTTCTTTTTTAAAATTTTTGCCATTTCTCAAAAACTTTCCTGAAAATTCTGAGGTTTTGGCTCAATCGAAATATACGGGTGTATGAAGCTCCACTGCTTAATTGCCGAAGCCAACTTTCATACATAAAAAGTAATGGCCCGAGGAAAAGTAAGTTTTTGGTTTTTTTAACCATTTTTGGAACTACTTGACTTTTCTCGAAAACTACCCTCCCAAGTCTAAGTTTCTTTGTTCGATCGAAATAGCAGGTTGAGCGAATCCCTTCTGCATCAGCGGCTACGTCCAAATTTTTTTAGAAAAAGCTATGATTCTCGGAAAAACTTTTTGAATTTTCTCGATAACTATCTTGCCAAATATGAAATCAAGGGTTTAATTGAAACAACAGATTGTTGAATATCTGCGTTTTTAGTTGGGAAGGTCTATTTATTTAAAGAAATTTTTTTTCAAAAAGTCAAGGTTTTGAAAACTACCCTACCAGTTCTTAGGTCAGGTGATCAATCGAAAAACCCGCTTTTGGGATTGTTCTCTGCTGAAGTGGGTGTGACCTACTTTTTGGCTGAAAGTCAAGTTATTTTTCCGTCAAGTTACTGTGTTTTAGCTTTTTTCTTTTTGTTTTCCACGCAAAATCACGTGCCCAAAATAATCGGACTGCGTTGAGTGTTATATCCTATTAAAGCCCTTTCAGTCGTGATTTGAAACAATATTAAAAAAATTCCAAGTTTCGAGAAAAACCGGTTAGAAGTTTCTGATTTTTTTCTCTAATTTGACCGAGTAAAGCGATTGAGCAGGCTTGTTTATGCTTAATTTAAGCCGTTTACAATTACTTATCTATACTATATTTAAATGCGAGTGACAGCTATCTCCCATGTTTAAGCATAATAATTTTGCATGTTTAAGGAAAGAGTTAATCATGGAAAGTCCAGTTGTATGATATCGGCCCTTTTATGGTTTTGTTTCTGAGTTGAAAATATGAAGAACTGAAACCCAGTACTTTTGGAGATTTCATCATTTTAGTTTTAAATGAACTTTAGTTGAAACTATTTTTTGTTGTTTATTTTCTGAAATAAAAAAGCGGCGCTGTAAAATGCCCCCGTCTATTGTTAACCTTGCATGCATTTCGTTTTTCATAAAGTATTAAGAGTAATGAACGTAGTGAGTACTCTTATACAGGTCTTGCTGATTAAATGCTCTATAAAGGTCTTGCTGATTTGTGGGTTGTTTTTGTTTGTTAATTGCCACTCTTTACTGTCTGTTGGCTGTATTTTTTTTTTAAATTTTGATGGTTTTTCTGATCTATGTTATTAGAATAATATTAGAAGCATGTGTATTAGACTAATTTTTTCAGGGTGAAACTTTTTAAATAAGTTGATTCTTTGGTCAATTTTCTTACGAATGAAATGTTTTTTTTTTCATTGTCAAATTTATATTTTGATGATTTGTCATTTGATTTTTTCTAAGCCCGTTTTTCATTTTTTGTCAAGCCGAGCTCTCCCATAGAGCAGCTAAGTTAGACTAGTAGTTTCATAAATGGATGAAAGTTTCAAAAAAATTGTTCTAGAGGTTAAAAAGTATCATTTGATCTCCGCTTTTCTCGAATGGATTTTTTTGAACATGATCTTTGAACTTAAATTTAAAGATTTTGAAATTGAAACAGTTTAACGACTTTTTTTTAAAAATTTTTTGTCGACGTTTTTCCAAGTTTTAGTTGCCATTGTTTATTGCTGCGTAAGTTGAATTATCTATTGAACTGTAGAGCTTTTGATTATTTTCTTTTGTTCGATATCCGTGTTAAAAACTTATCTAGCATTTTGAGATGCCTGTCCTCGTTTTTATGTGCCACTTCGTCAAGTGGTTGATATGGCGGTGATTTTTTTTGAATTTTACCGAAATGCAGTACGATTTTTGATAGATTTTGTTTGAATTTATTGAATTCAGCTATTATTCAGACCATTGTGGGTTGTGTCGCTGTACTTTAGAGTCCTCAAAAATACTCTTGTGGGCTGAGTTTGGGATCGTATCAAAGCCCTATTAGTCGGCGTTCCGATCCTAAAAACATTCAAAATCGTTCTCTCAGTGTCGAAAAAAGCTGATCTGAATATTATCCATTTCGAGAATTACTTTTAGCGGGGGAGTTTATTGTTTTAATTTAATCCTTGTCTGATATACTACTCTAAGCTATCAATAAGTTTTCTCAAATCTTAAGTGTCAAACACTTTTCCAATCAAGCCTACTGCATGCCTCGTTTTTTTTTAAAAAAAAAAAACAATTTGTAAGTGTAAAAATTAATTCATAAAAATCCATTTTGTTTTCCGATGAATTCTGTGGTCGAACATTCTATACCCCTTGCACCGAAACTGACTTCTCTTTTTTGTTGTAAAATATTGAAAACAGCAGTCATTTTTGTTGCAAACTAATTAAAAGAGCTGTTAAATTATTTTTCTTTGAGATGAAGTTAAGACACCGCATATTTCAAATTTTACCTGATTTCAAAGAGTATTAGCTGTATTTGAAGACCTGCTCTTTTGGTTCTCGTTTATAACAAATTTGTTTCGAGTATTTTTCTAACTCTCATAAAAAGCATCAGTATTTGGAGAACTTGAGACTCATATCAACATGACAACAACTGAGTTGCCATTTGGTTGTTAATCATTTTTTGAGATTTTTCTCGGATATCTGTTAGGCGCTTGTCACGTGTCTGTTAACATGTTATGTTTGAGTTTCCGTATCAACTACTTAACAATGATTAATTTTTGGTTGACAGTTAGTCTGTTGTTTTTTCAACACTCGCCAAGTGTTTTAACAGAGTTTATTCGAGTTATTTAGTTTATTCGGGAATAAATGACTTGGACTTGTAATCGTGAACTAGAATTGTTCCCATAAACAACTTTTCCTACAGGCGACAGGTATCTGATGCGAATCCATGCCTGACGTTGTTTGCACATAAGGTCTGGGGTTCGATCCCCGGTGGAACAGTTTTTCTAATGTCTGTTTGAAGTTGAGCTTGCTGTATTCTGGAACCCCAATACTTTTCAGGTCCCTATCACTTGATCTAGAGGTAAAGCACGCGCCTTTGGAACGCAAAGTTTAGGGTTTGTGTCCCGACCGGACCTTGGTTTTTTCGATGTGTGGAAATTATATATATATTTTTGGAAAGCGTCGGACAATCGTTTATGCTCTATCGTCGGACTATCGTTTATGCTCTATCGTCGGACTATCGTTTATGCTCTATCGTCGGACTATCGTTTATGCTCTATCGTCGGACTATCGTTTATGCTCTATCGTCGGACTATCGTTTATGCTCTATCGTCGGACTATCGTTTATGCTCTATCGTCGGACTATCGTTTATGCTCTTTCGTCGGACTATCGTTTATGCTCTATCGTCGGACTATCGTTTATGCTCTATCGTCGGACTATCGTTTATGCTCTATCGTCGGACTATCGTTTATGCTCTATCGTCGGACTATCGTTTATGCTCTATCGTCGGACTATCGTTTATGCTCTATCGTCGGACTATCGTTTATGCTCTATCGTCGGACTATCGTTTATGCTCTATCGTCGGACTATCGTTTATGCTCTATCGTCGGACTATCGTTTATGCTCTATCGTCGGACTATCGTTTATGCTCTATCATCGGACTATCGTTTATGCTCTATCGTCGGACTATCGTTTATGCTCTATCGTCGGACTATCGTTTATGCTCTATCGTCGGACTATCGTTTATGCTCTATCGTCGGACTATCGTTTATGCTCTATCGTCGGACTATCGTTTATGCTCTATCGTCGGACTATCGTTTATGCTCTATCGTCGGACTATCGTTTATGCTCTATCGTCGGACTATCGTTTATGCTCTATCGTCGGGCTATCGTTTATGCTCTATCGTCGGACTATCGTTTATGCTCTATCGTCGGACTATCGTTTATGCTCTATCGTCGGACTATCGTTTATGCTCTATCGTCGGACTATCGTTTATGCTCTATCGTCGGACTATCGTTTATGCTCTATCGTCGGACTATCGTTTATGCTCTATCGTCGGACTATCGTTTATGCTCTATCGTCGGACTATCGTTTATGCTCTATCGTCGGACTATCGTTTATGCTCTATCGTCGGACTATCGTTTATGCTCTATCGTCGGACTATCGTTTATGCTCTATCGTCGGACTATCGTTTATGCTCTATCGTCGGACTATCGTTTATGCTCTATCGTCGGACTATCGTTTATGCTCTATCGTCGGACTATCGTTTATGCTCTATCGTCGGACTATCGCTTATGCTCTATCGTCGGACTATCGTTTTTGCTCTATCTTCGGACTATCGTTTATTCTCTATCGTCGGACTATCGTTTATGCTCTATCGTCGGACTATCGTTTATGCTCTATCGTCGGACTATCGTTTATGCTCTGTCGTCGAACTATCGTTTATGCTCTATCGTCGGACTATCGTTTATGCTCTATCGTCGGACTATCGTTTATGCTCTATCGTCGGAATATCGTTTATGCTCTATCGTCGGACTATCGTTTATGCTCTATCGTCGGACTATCGTTTATGCTCTATCGTCGGACTATCGTTTATGCTCTATCGTCGGACTATCGTTTATGCTCTATCGTCGGACTATCGTTTATGCTCTATCGTCGGACTATCGTTTATGCTCTTTCGTCGGACTATCGTTTATGCTCTATCGTCGGACTATCGTTTATGCTCTATCGTCGGACTATCGTTTATGCTCTATCGTCGGACTATCGTTTATGCTCTATCGTCGGACTATCGTTTATGCTCTATCGTCGGACTATCCTTTATGCTCTATCGTCGGACCATCGTTCATGCTCTATCGTCGGACTATCGTTCATGCTCTATCGTCCGACTATCGCTCATGCTCTATCGTCGGACTATCGTTTATGCTCTATCGTCGGACTATCGTTTATGCTCTTTCGTCGGACTATCGTTTATGCTCTATCGTCGGACTATCGTTTATGCTCTATCGTCGGACTATCGTTTATGCTCTATCGTCGGACTATCGTTTATGCTCTATCGTCGGACTATCGTTTATGCTCTGTCGTCGGACTATCGTTTATGCTCTATCGTCGGACTATCGTTTATGCTCTATCGTCGGACTATCGTTTATGCTCTATCGTCGGACTATCGTTTATGCTCTATCGTCGGACTATCGTTTATGCTCTATCGTCGGACTATCGTTTATGCTCTATCGTCGGACTATCGTTTATGCTCTATCGTCGGACTATCGTTTATGCTCTATCGTCGGACTATCGTTTATGCTCTATCGTCGGACTATCGTTTATGCTCTATCGTCGGACTATCGTTTATGCTCTATCGTCGGACTATCGTTTATGCTCTATCGTCGGACTTTCGTTTATGCTCTATCGTCGGACTATCGTTTATGCTCTATCGTTGGACTATCGTTTATGCTCTATCGTCGGACTATCGTTTATGCTCTATCGTCGGACTATCGTTTATGCTCTATCGCCGGACTATCGTTTATGCTCTATCGCCGGACTATCGTTTGGGCTCTATCGTCGGACTATCGTTCATGCTCTATCGTCGGACTATCGTTTATGCTCTATCGTCGGACTATCGTTTATGCTCTATCGTCGGACTATCGTTTATGCTCTATCGTCGGACTATCGTTTATGCTCTATCGTCGGACTATCGTTTATGCTCTATCGTCGGACTATCGTTTATGCTCTATCGTCGGACTATCGTTTATGCTCTATCGTCGGACTATCGTTTATGCTCTATCGTCGGACTATCGTTTATGCTCTATCGTCGGACTTTCGTTTATGCTCTATCGTCGGACTATCGTTTATGCTCTATCATTGGACTATCGTTTATGCTCTATCGTCGGACTATCGTTTATGCTCTATCGTCGGACTATCGTTTATGCTCTATCGCCGGACTATCGTTTATGCTCTATCGCCGGACTATCGTTTATGCTCTATCGTCGGACTATCGTTCATGCTCTATCGTCGGACTATCGCTCATGCGCTATCGTCGGACTATCGTTTATGCTCTATCGTCGGACTATCGTTTATGCTCTATCGTCGGGTTATCGTTTATGCTCTATCGTCGGACTATCGTTTATGCTCTATCGTCGGACTATCGTTTATGCTCTCTCGTCGGACTATCGTTTATGCTCTATCGTCGGACTATCGTTTATGCTCTATCGTCGGACTATCGTTTATGCTCTATCGTCGGACTATCGTTTATGCTCTATCGTCGGACTATCGTTTATGCTCTATCGTCGGACTATCGTTTATGCTCTATCGTCGGACTATCGTTTATGCTCTATCGTCGGACTATCGTTTATGCTCTATCGACATTGTACCTCATTTTGCGTTGTTTAAAATGCAACAAAATTTAATCGAAATGCAACGAAATTTTCTATGAAATCATTTTGTTTTTGGATCAACTGGCGTCTGCCCAAGTTGCATCCGTGTCATTTTCTGTCTGCTAATTTACAATGCTCTCTTTGTGTTGTAGCGCAAGTGTTGCGCAGCTCCGCTTCGCCTCTGTGTCAAAACTGAAAACGTCATCATTCGTTTGTAAAATTAGAGTTTAAACAATCATTTTGCTGAAAATGGTTACCTGTTAAAAATGCCTGGAGCTGGTGTATATATCCAAATCGATTTGTCAAATTTGCTGAAACTTACGACTCTTCGCTCATCGCGTATGCGCGACGAATAAAAAACGTGCAAAATTGAAGGTTCATGGGTGGAACCCGGGCTGATGGCGTTAACATGTGCTGTTAACATTTAAAGAACCCGAAGAAGAGAATTTACACCATATCTCAAATAGAACTACAAGAGAAAAGTAGCATAGAACCGTATATGGTTGGCACTAGATTCAAGGACAGTGCATGTCTATTTTTAACGAGAGGGAGCGGTACTAAAGGAGGCAATGTGTCAGATTCCTTTAATAATCTACGAGCTGTCACTCGTACCTTTTCTTTTAATTTCATAGCTTGTCTTTTAAAATGATTGATACTTGTATAAACAGAATAAATTTGAAACCAATTTTCAGTCAAAGATTGAATCATTAAAATGCATTTTCTGAAATAATGCATTGAACAGAAGAGGCAAACATAAAAATTTTTGTCACATTGATGATGCACCATGCCCATGATCAATACTTTATTCAACAGTTTGGTCATTCCGATGTCAGATAATTTGAAATCAATTGCATCGTATGAGAGTCAAGATACAATTAATTAACAACTTTTGAACTTAAATAAACCTTCGAGAGATGTATATTATTTTTTTGAGGAAATTCGGTCCCATTTATAAAATTCAAGATTTTTTTTGAAAAATGACTATCATTTGAGTCCATTTCTTTAATCGATTTCAATCTGAAGTTAGAGAAGTCTGCGTTCAGCAATACTCCAGCAATGATTGAGTTCGATCACAGCAGTGTTCCACCTAATAAGTTGTTTTTGTGTGTTTTAGACCAGACGTGTTGAGCAACGTAATCTCATTTCAACATTTTGGCCACTCTTTCCTCCCCAATGCCCTCAGGACTCTTTTCCGCAAAATTGAAGCCCCCACAATAAGGGGTGACTTTTTAGAGACATTGCTCAACTGCTTCGCCCACAGATTCACAGAGTGCAACCCGGACCAACACCTCTCGTCTGGTCAGTAGTTGTTTTCTTTGAACAAATGTATTGTCAAGTAGGCATCACAAAGAAACAAAATGAGTTTATCAATATCAAAAATATTCTCTCTATTCAAGTATCAATAGATTGATGCACCGTCTTGTAAAGTTCGAAGATGAATAGCACAAAAAATGTGTGATAGAAGAATTCCTTCCTTTACACTACATTTTTTTGCGATTCAAGCAATAAAATTTTGGGATCAAGTCAACATATCCTCCCTTCAATAGTCCTAGTTAGCTTCCTCCTCCTTCCTCCTCGCCAATAGACCAAGTTCGGGGGGGGGGGGGGGGGGTGTTACTTGGTTCAAATTACAAATTTGGAATTGCGTAAAGGAAGGAAGTAGTTTCAAACTTCGTAAAAGAAGTTTTAAATAGGAATCTCTACGACAGCATCTTTCAAATTATGGTTGTAGTTCAATCGAGTGTGCAGTAACGATCATTTGTGTGTGTGTATTTGTAGATGAGGTGTACGTGTTGTGTTTTTCTCTCATCCTCCTCTCAGTGGACATGCACAGTCCGCATGTGAAGACGAAAATGTCCAAGAGAGAGTTCATTCGCAATGTCAGAGGCGCCATCACTGCCATGCACACCAACCCCGATCAACAGGCCAGTGTAGTCAAGTGCAGCGATATTAAAATTAAAAAAGCATAGATAGAATCAAATTAACATCCATCGCTCCCCTAAATAGACCAGGGCAAGAACTTCCGCCTGCCGTTTAATTTGGATTATCAAGAGTAATGAGCGTAGTAAAACTTCTTATATAGGTCTTGCTGATTTTTTTAAATTTTTTTATAGGAAAAAGTCTTAAAATATTGATGGACTTAGGTATAATGCACTTTTTGAGCTCATTTGAAATCCATCTGCTGAAAGTGAGGTGAATAGCACTCTCCAAATACAAACTTCGAAATGGCGCAAAAAAAACCTGAACAATTTCTAGTTTCGAAAATGAAATTTTATTTATAGATTTCAAGCGGAATAAAAACTTTACCTGTTGATCCAGTTTTCTCAAGTTGGGTTAATGTTATCAAAAAAGCGCCAATCATAATATATTCTAGAAACTCAAAAAGCTGAAAGGGCATCTATTTTTTTCTTTGAAATTCGAAATTTGAGATTTTTTCAACAGTCAGTTTTTTTTCTGTTTACTTGGGTTCATCACGCTATGTTGTTCTTTTTTGCGCTCAATTGAAATTCATCTGCTGAAAGTGACGTGAAAAGCACTCTCCAAATCCAAATCATAAATTATTCTAAAAACTCAAAGAGCTGAAAGGGCATTTATTTTTTTTTCTTTGAAATTCGAAAGTTGAGATTTTTTCAACAAAGTCAGAGTTTTTTTTCTGTTTACTTGGGTTCATCACGCTATGTTGTTCTTTTTTGCGCTCAATTGAAATTCATCTGCTGAAAGTGACGTGAAAAGCACTCTCCAAATCCAAATCATAAATTATTCTAGAAACTCAAAGAGCTGAAAGGGCATTTATTTTTTTTTCTTTGAAATTCGAAAGTTGAGATTTTTTCAACAAAGTCAGAGTTTTTTTTTCTGTTTACTTGGGTTCATCACGCTATGTTGTTCTTTTTTGCGTGCGTTTACAATACTAGATTCTGATTGTTGGAAACTTTCAAGTTACAAATTTTAGCTGAGATCCGCCTCTATAAACCGCCAATGGGGAAAGGGAGGAGAATTTAAGCTGTTAATCGATCCCATTTGTTTTCAGTTTATACAAACGTATGCATAAAACTGGGAATTGTAAATCACTTACCGTGGATGAGCCTGTAAAAAAAATTGACCATCAATTTCGATTGTAATATTCTTTTTAAGAGTCGGTGAACGTGGTGATGATTTTGAGTGAAAGGCCGTGATGTTTTTCACGCTCAAATTTAATTTTTTTTTTTCGGTTTGTTGTTTGATTTTGTTCCATGCGTTCCATGATAGCTCGGAACGGAAATCTGAACTTTTTCATGTTATTTGTGTTTTTTAGGCCAACACACAGCAGCTGTATGACTACGACGAGATGGTGGGACACATGTACGACAACATATACCTCATAGGTCACGTGGCCAATGCCGCCGCATCCACCTCTTCTTCTACATCTGCAGGCAGACATAATAACACCAACAGTTACAGCACAAGAGACGCAGGTAGAAATGCCACGAGAGCTACTAACCACAATAGGCGCAATCACATACTCAACAACAACAATACTAATAGAGCTCCTCTGTTCGTCAGATGAAACTAGATGTGACTGCTCTCTTTGGAAAAACGCAAAATACCAATCATACTTGATACTTATTTGAAGCAAACAATCGATTCAAACTTATTTTATCTGATTTCAACTCAAACACAGAAGCGGCCCTATTGACTTGAGTACTACAATCTTGCGACCAAAAGAGTTAATCGCACTTTCACTTCGGTCGAACTGTTAGTATTGAAACCGACTGAAACTAGTGACACTTCAGCAGCAACTTCAAATTTCCCCTTCTACCTACCAACTCAGCTAATAAATGGCCTTCTCTTCATTTTATTACATTAGTTAGCATACACATCTCAAAAACTCTAATCTGTACATAATTATAACTTATAGAAAGCTATGACCTTACTCAAAATTTAATATACCAATCCAGAATTGAATTCTATTGAATTAAGTTTTCATTTTTTTTACAAAGCCGAGATTATAGAGGCTAGGTTATTCATTAAAATCTTAAAATGTTTTTTTTTTCATGTTCTGACCTCAACAAACATGACAACATTTACTCTTAAATAGAACACGAGTAAATAAATTAGCTCGTTTCAATCTTACTCACATAATTCATTGCTCAAATCGCACTTTTTCTGCAAATTAATATCTGAAGTTTTTTGGTAAAATTTTTTTTGTTACATTTTGAATCTCACGTTTGCTATTGCTTGCGAAGTGCAGCTTCTTTTTTGTTCAATTTAGTTCAATATTGAATGAAGCGGTTACGATCGATGTGAACGTTTTAATTACGGAGTGGAGTTTCTTTTTTACAAGCAAAACTGGCGTATTTTGTGGAAAAAACGTGTTTTTTATTTCGTTATTCACGAAAAAGTCGAATTATTTACATTCAAGCTCGATTTTTGCGGTTTGACTTTTTAAAGTTCATTTCAATTAATTTGCAAAAAGTAAGGCAAACTACACTCCAGTGACAAGAGTGCAAAAAAGCGTATCACTTAAGTTTCGAAAGAAGATTTTGATTTTTTCCATGCGGAATAAAGGAATTATAGTATATTCGCTAATAGTCAATGAACGCAGTGAAGAACTTTATATTGGTCCTGATAATTGTTTCTCGGGGATGCTCTACTATCTGCTGAATTTCATTCATACATATTAATGCATTTACCAATGCACTTAGGTATTACTAATGCATTTAGGTATATAATCCACTTTTTGAAATCAATTCAAGTTCATTTGCTCCGAACGGTAGTCAAATTGCGCTTCCAATTACGAAAGCGGAAAGGTCACGAAAAACGTGAAAGAATGCTACCTTTGAGATCCCCAGCGGAATAAAAGTTTCAAGTATTGGCCCATTTTTGTTTTCAAATTGAGTTAATTTAATCAAAAATTTGTCAATAAGAATTTGTTCTTGAAGTTTAGAAATCTTAAAGGTTATATAATTCCTAGTTTGAAATTCGAAAGTTGAAGCGTTTTCAACAAACAAGTATTTTTTTTGTTTCCTTGCGTTTATTGAACCCTTCAAATGTCTGTTGGCTATGTTTTCTAATTGCGTTAGTTTAGTGAGAAAAGTGTCAATCGTGATATTTTTTGAAAAAAAAGTGTTTTTTTTGTGATGATTTTTCGGTTACATGACAAAAGATCCCTTACCTTAAGATCCCAAACGAGAAGATCCCAGTCAATAAGATACCATTCCAAAAGATACCTCGTTCTAAAATCGCCCACGACATAAGATACCATAATAAAATAACAAAGAACCTGAGAATTGAAAATAAAGCGGTTAATCGATCAAAGCAAAAACAAAGCGTCGGTTAAAATCAAAGCAACGGCAAAAATTTTGCTGCACAAATTTCGAACATGAATGACCTTGCTAATCACTTGGCCTTTAAAATGAAACTCAAACTTCAAAACAGCTTAGACTATAATTGAACTTGAAAAGGATTTCCAATTAATCAAAACCAACTTTGCTAAAAATGGCCTGATTTTCCAGACAATTCAAGTCGGTACAAAATTGAAATTGAGTTTTTGCAAAATTCTAAAGCTTTCAAATCATTTTCATTGCGAATCACTTGCCGTTCTATTTGATAAAAAATATCAATTCTCAATTTTGATCAACTTTTTTTAGCTAGGTGCAATACTCAAAGGGCCGTCAGGCCCCTACCCCCAACCTAGCCTCCCGTCAATAAGAGCAATTGCTCTGGGATCAAATTGCTAGAGACAGCATTTTTGAATGCGAGTCGTAGTATTGCGTTTCGGCGTTCTCCGGGAGGGTGCAAGGAGACGTCTATAAAAAAGTTGATCAAACAATTTTAAATTTAGGAAAAATTAGGCAAAAACTATAACAAAATTTAATAGGTTAAATGGGCAAGTGAACGGATATAAGACAATAAGTTAGAGTCTGTGTATGAACTTGTTATCTGTTGAACTTATAAGCCTCAATAAATTGAAAACAAATATGAAGTGAATCCATTCTTTTAAGAATGCAGTTCGACAAAACAGCCACCATAATAGTTTGATTTTTTTGTAAAATAGTTCAATCACTTTTGTGGGTTTCCTTGCTTTGGTTGACACTTTTCCAACTGTCTGTTGACTATGTTCATTGATTTGTTAAACAGTTTTTTTTTGCAGAGAAAAGAAGGTATTCTGTGTGTTCCAAAACAGAGCCTTGTTTCTGATGTTTTTGGTTGGCAAATTTATAGTTTGATATCTTCATCATCAAACAATTTCTAAATCGATTTTTAAAATTTAAATCCGATTTTTTCAAAAACTGCCGAGTATCTTAGAAAAATCAAAACAAGAGGTAGAAAATGTATTGAATCGATGGGTTTTATGGAAACAGTTGATCAACTTTAAGTTTTGGTTTAGAACTTTCATACAGAAGACCAGTTCTTCAAAATTGGTGGGAAAAACTTGGCGTATAATTGGCGGGAAAACACGCCACTAACCGAGAAAATTTGGTTTTTACCACCTTTAATTTAAATCGAACAAAACCTCGGAATAAAATCAAGATTTAAATCAATGATTTAAATCAGTTGAATTAAATCAACCAACCCTGCTTGCAGCAGAACGTTCATTGTAAATCAGCATAACTAAAGCAAATTCAGACACATTCAAGTCCCACTCAGTTCTACGAGTCTTAAAAGCGAAACGCAATTGCCGAAAAAACGGCAAAAAAAAAAACGTTTTTTTTTTTTCAAAAACATTTTTATTATTTGATGTATTGAAGGGATTCTACAATTTCCAATTGAAAGTTTAAACTTTCATCAGAGAATTGATCCGAGGCCTAAATGCGAAACTAGTCTGAAATGCAGAACTGTCTTCAACTAGTCATCAACCGAAAGCAGGGGCGGATCTAGGATTTTTGAGGGGGTTGTTTTAAAAAAAAGTTTTGTCGACCTTTTTTAGGTCGAGCAAATTGTTTTTCTGAGCTCTCCCAAATCACAATAAAGATCTTATTTTGATTAGTTTTTTCCGCGGCGATTGCTAATTTTCGAAAAAAAAATTCTTAAATTTGTATCGAAGGGGAGATAGGCAGATACGTCCTAATTTTTGTAATAGTTAGGAATTAGAAAAGGTCCATTTTTTGAAGTTCCTGAGGAGGAGAGCGTCGCCTTCACCTCTAACTCCACTACTGACCGAAACTATTCAAATCGAGATAAGTTTATGAAAGTAAGCTGCCTTCAATTTTCCAAGGAGTAATAAAATCGTACTTTTTTTCAACGTTGAAAAAAATTTCCACTTACTTGCCTGTCTATTTATTAGGCTGTCTGATCACAGCTGTGTAAATTATGTGCATATTTCAATTGTGTCAGCTAAGCAAGGAATCGGAACATAGAATTAATGCAAGACTGCGTGATGTAGTCATACTTTGGAAACCTTTGTGCGAACGCCTCTTATTGGCTTGCTTTTTCCTTGCATTGCCTTTCTGTTTTATTCTCCACGCTCAGCAAGCCAGTTTTTACCTTTTCAGCGTGCATAAAGGATTCTCTTTAAGTTGTAAACTCAAACTCTCTTAATTGGAATAGAAACTTTATGCAAAAAATGGATAATAATTGTTTCCAAATAAACGTTGATCGACAATTTTGTTGAAAATTATTTGCAAAAATGTTCTAGTAAGAGCATTTTTATGGTTACAAAAATAATTCGAAAATCATTAATTGAAAAAATTATCAATTGAAATGAAATTAATGCCGACTCTGGGATATTGGCTCAAGCCAAGGCACAGCATAAGGTAATTTTTTCTGCATAACTGGCTACGTCTCAATTTTTTGAAAAGAAAATACTTCTGGACTTGAGAAGAAAATATTGACCGTTTCTTGGAACGTTATGATTTTTTTTGAAAATTACCCTGCCAAATCGGACTCTAAGAGTTCAATCGGGGGCGTTCAACAGTGCCGAAGTACAACAGTGCCGAAAAAGGTGGGAAAATTTCAGAATAATTTACACGCATTTTCTAAAGAGCGGGAAATTACTGGCGCTAATTATCAAAGAAAATCACTCCAATTTTGGCGCCAATATGTCTGCAACTGCAAAGTAAACAATTATTTTGGCGCCAAAACGTTTAAGCTGCAATTTTTCTTGCTCAAAATCTTAAAGTTTTACTTAAGATTGTTAATGATCGCTGTTTAATTTTTGATTGCCGCACTTAATATGTTGAAATTTGTTCAAATTTTCGGCACTGTTGAACAAAGTTTTCATTTTCGGCACTGTTGAACAAAGTTTTCATTTTGGGCACTGTTGTACTTCGGCGTTGTTGTACTGCCCCGTTAAATCGAAAGAACAAATTATTTAAATTTTTGCTGACAGGCGGTTTTGTCATTATCTTTGAAGAAAAATGTTTTGGTCTTGTAAAATGTCAAAATTTTGAAGTTTCGCTCGTTTTTTGGGAACTAGGTCTTTTTTCGAAAATCACCTTGCGAAATTTGAGATAAACGGTTCAATCAAAAGAGCCAGTGGTAACAATTTTCTCTGCATAAGCGGTTTTGCCCTAATTTTTTTTGGAAAAGCAATTTTGAATCAGAAAAGCCCTCTGTTGAAATAATCCTGTTTTTTCGGAAACTTTTTGGATTATCTCGAAAACTACGAACCAAATTTGAGGTAAACGACTCAATCGAAAGACCAATTTGCAGGCGTATCACCTTTTGATTTATGAAATCCGCTATGTACTTCGGGAAACATCCATTATTTGGTAATTTGACCCTTTGTTTGGACTTCATTCAATTTCCTATAAACAGCCATGCCAATTCTGAAAATACGAAATTAGTTCAGAAATCAAATGAGATATGATAAGGATCTCTCTTGCAAAAGCGTTTATTACGTAGGGATGCAAATTTTTAAAAATATTGCATCAAGTTATGAGATTTTTTTGAAAATTGCGCACTACCTTTTGCATCAGTACAAGATTATTTCTAGTTTGAGCATTGCACTGATGCAAAAGGTAATGCACAATTGTCAAAAAAATATCAAACTTGTAACTCCAGCTTTATATTGAGACCCTTGTTAGTTTTTTTGCAATTGCAGCAAATCTGAACTTCTTGTTGCATAAAAATCAAAATAATCTTTTTTTCTTAAAATCGATTGATTATCAAAAATTAAGCGCCTCCTACAAAAAGCAGAAAATTAAAGATGCAAACAATTTTCAAAAGTTAGCAGTGTACAAATCTTTTTTGTTCTGACCAGGGTGACCACTTGGTCATTATTTTAGTGACCAGTCACTATTGGTCACTATTTTTTCAATGGTCACTAAAAGTCACTATTTACAACGGTTTTTGGTGACAGACCCTCGAATTTTTCTAAAGGAGCCTTGGGCACCAATATATACTAACGTTGAGGGGAAGCGCGCACCGAAAAAACGCAATATTTTTCAAAATTTTTCAAAAAGTGCCTAAAAAATTTTCAGCCTGTTTATTCAAAATTATGCCTGAAAATTTTGGCCAAAACAGGGACTTTTTAGTCCTTTGGCAGAGCTTGAAAAATTAATTTGGCCGACCTAAAAAAAAGGTCGACAAAAACTTCGAAAATTGTCATTGTGACTATTTTTCTCTCAAAAAAGTGGTCACCCTGGTTCTGACCATTTGAAAAATGGGGAGGAAATTTGAATCCGTGTTTGTTTTAAATTGTTTCGAAAAATCAGGTGCCAAAATAACCATCGAAGTGAGTTGAGTGGTGTAGCATATTAAAGCAATTTCAGTCGTGATTCGAATTTTCAAAAAAACTCCCCAGTGTCCAGAAAAACAGGTTCGAATTTTTTAATTTTTCGTCTAATTTCGAGCGATTAGAGCGGGCGAACAGGCTTTTAATAGCTTAAAAGCTTACAATAGCTTAATTTAGACGATAAAAATTTAGTTTACTTGAGTAAAATTAGTTTGTTTTTGAGATTTTTAGCGACTTTTTGGAATCAAAAGTTAAAAAAAACTGGAAACAAATTTTTTGCTTGTTTATTTTTGTTTCTGTAGTCGTTTTTCAAAATTATTTTCCAATTTGCTTATTTTACTATGGCTTTCGAATATGCCCAAGCGCTATTTTTTGGTTCAGATCTTTTTATCGCACTAATCAGAAAAAAAAACGACACTAATTTGGAAAAAAATTTTGTTGTATTCTTTAAGACCATCGTCGGAACATTCTGTGCTACTTGCACAGTATGCGACTATCCTTGTTGAATATTGTTGGCAATTTAAATTTTTTGAAGACAGCGGGCATAATCAGGGAGTATGTTGACGTGATAGCCGAAAGTATCCAAGAAAAATGCAAATTTTTATCCTTTTTTTTGGAAAATTCTTTAATGAACTGTTTTTCTGAGAAATTGTAATGAAATATGATCGTTTTGCGACACAAACGTACTGCTACTGAAACATTTCTCATTATAAGTTATAAATCACCAAAGTTATTTCAGAGTTTTTTGATAATTGAGTTGTTATATGTAGACTACTATGCTGACTCAATTGTTCACAGAAGAATATTTGATTATGTCAACTGGATGAACTTCTGTTTGCGGCTTTATTCTGACTGAGACTTCATCAAATTGATTAAACCTGCTGAAAATCTTGATTGTTTGCTTACAAATGCAATAATACCAAACGAAACTTTCTCGTCAAGAGAACAAGCTTGTACTGAACGACTTGCATAGAAGTGAAATCTCAGCTTGGATCGGATTTCTGAACTACTGGTGAGACTTAATTTAGACCTTATATTTCATTTGTGAATCGTTTCTGCAATATTCAGCCTGAATTATCTCGACACCGAGGAAATTATTCAAAAATGATCAAAATGTTATATTTCTGCCCAAAGATTTTGAGGCTGAACCTTGTATTGGGTTGTTTCATTTCATCGCAAATGAACGTACCATAAATAAACTTCAATTTTGGCAGGGCGATATAACGCATCATCTCATTTCAGTCCTTTTCATCCAGTATCAATGAAACACTCCGAAAATTTTCATTGGTGTCGAAAAAATCAATATGCATTTTTTTTACATTGTTTGGTCTCGTTGCTAAAGTGACTAAAATGTTATTGTTTTGCTTCATTTTAAAGTTAAAATCAATTTGAAAAAAATTAACTGCTACTTAAACCTACTCAAATAGGAAAAAAATGTTTTGACAAAGGTAACTGGTCGGAACCTTCTGTACTTCTTGAAAGGCAACCGTCTGTTCTCGATTTCATGAAATCTTAGCTTGAGATATTTATAAAGGCAGCTTATCGTTGCGGTCGGGTGTGATGAATGAGCGTACTGGAAGTGGCGGGAGAGATGTCTCCTCCGAGTCCATTCTGGACAGGATGCGATCGGCTGTGTCGGTGGAGCTATACATGATTCTCATGTGCCTTGCCTCCAACATGAACTACCCGTCACAGCAAGTAACTATTCTTTTTAAATATATGAAACAACGTGGAGTGAGAGAGAGAGAGAATGATAGTAAAGTGGCAAAACATGCACCGGTACTCGTGTAGAAGTAAGTGTGCTCCCGTCGCTTTTGATGAGTCCCATTCAAAAGCTCATCTAGAAGTGTGGTCCCGCCAGACAACTTAAAATTTACTTGAAGTACTTCAAGTGGATGAAAACAAAAGGAAATCTGGAAAACGTTTCTTCATTAGATTTGCTCCGAAATTTTCTTTTAAACGGAATTATCAAAAATATCAAGAAATGAAAAACTTAGAAAATACGAGGTTTTTAACGGGAACATTCTTTGAAACGATTACCCATACACCAAATCGAAACCTTAAGCAAAAATTAGTTGCCAAAATAAGTTATACCAGGTTTTTGAGTGTAAATTATCAAGAGCAAACGTTTTTTTTCTCGAAAATATTACGAAGCACGTCTTGAAGACGCTCACGGCCTGTTTAGAAACACCCCCACCCACCACGTGCAAAAAAGCCAGAAAACTTCTACTTTTTCAGGGTCTCATCTACGAGCGAGTGTGTCGAGACCAATACCCTTGGGTGTACAATATTTCGCACAAGTGTGATAACCTCACCTCTCACCAGGACTCGGAAGTGAAGAAAATGGTGTCCTACTGGAACCTCATCCTCAATGTGCTCTTCTACTCGCCCCAGTTGGTCACCCTTGTTCTCTGTGGCAACCTAGGCTGGTCTTTTCTGTTAGAAGCTCTTGAGAGACTTCAAAAAGGCTCCTACAAAAACTTAGGATGAATACAAAATTGATGCAAATCACTGATTTTTTGGGCGGCTAAGGCTTCGATTTACTGAGGGTTTCATCCAGATACTGCTCATGATTATAATTAAAAATGACAGTTTTTTTTTCAAATTTAGCAATTAGTGCAAGTTTCCAGTGGTACTGTTAAACCCAGTTGCAATACAGTCTTCATCTAACTCGCAAAAAAATGCATTAAAATTAAAAATGCATTAAAAAAATGCATTAAAATGGGAAATTTCTTTGTAGCATTGAAAATTGCATGGCATCTGTTCTCTGATTTACTTGTAGTTTGTGTTTGATGCCTATTTGGTGTCCGTGGCTGAGTGGTTAGTTTGTGAGATTCTCAATCTCTAGGTCGCAGGTTTGAGGCTTATTTCTTATTTTCCTTTTTGTACTTTATAGAGCTGCTTTTTGTCGTGTTCTCACAAGTGTTTACGAAGCGAAGCTTGGCCTCTGTGTATAAAGTTATTACGAAAAAAAATTCAAGGAAAAAAGCAACCATAATGAATTGAACTGAACAATTTTTTGAACGAATCATTTTCAATTTGAGAGATAGCGGTGCATTCAAGAGGAAACAAAATGTTTTTTTTTTTCAGTCTCAATAACTTCATTTTACGATTGTACAAAGTTGTAAAAGTTCATTTTAGTAATTGATCAATTATGCACAGGAATCAAGATAATATATCAATGATGCAAATTGATTGAATGTACATTGCAAACAACTTATTGTTACGATTTTGAAGAAATAAGGAATATATATGCTCGGGGTTTTTTTTCCAGACCAAATTCACAAAACTCTGTGCTCCTTTGGGGGAGCGATCCCTTGATCCGCATGGGCCCAGCCGGGTGTGCACACCACTACACGCGGAGAATTGTCCCGCACTACAAAATCGTTCCAAATTGAATTGAGGCAATAAGCTAATTGGTTTTTTTAATTTAAGGATGTGCCTCGATACGAGCACTCTTGTTATATTATCATTGATGATTTTTTTCTACAAAATTTTATGTTTGCTTAAATTTTGCGTTAAGTTACGATGTCCCTTTTGACTCCGAAACTGCTTATTTCATTACATAGTTTTATGGAAAGTTTATTCTGCATTTGCATGAACTCTGTCGAGTTAATTAATGCGCATCCGTTGCTGCCTCCTACTTTTCAATTAAGCAAAAGAAAATGTCTAATTGTATGATCAGCATTGTTGTTATGGTAAACTGTGGGCATACAATGCAGCAGATGGGGGTTCGAATCATGAAGTTACTCTCACGCAGAAGTCTTGCAGCATGTCGATGTTTTTTTTACACAAACAAAGCTTGAATTATAGTAACAGATCTGAGCGAAGCATTTTCAATTTGAGAGATAGCGGTGCATTCAGATCTGAACGAAGCATTTTCAATTTGAGAGATACCGGTGCATTCAAGAGGAAACAAAATGTTTTTTTTTTCAGTCTCAATATTGTTTAAAACTTCTAAACAGCTTTTGTGCTATGAATTCAAAGCGGCTTTGAATATCAAATTCAAGTTCCAAGTTGCAAGTTTGTTAACTTCATTTTACGATTGTACAAAGTTGTAAAAGTTCATTTTAGTAATTGATCAATTATGCGCAGGAATCAAGATAATATATCAATGATGCAAATTGATTGAATGTACATTGAAAACAACTTATTGTTACGATTTTGAAGAAATAAGGAATATATATGCTCGGGGTTTTTTTTCCAGACCAAATTCACAAAACTCTGTGCTCCTTTGGGAGAGCAATCTCTTGATCCGCATGGGCCCAGCCGGGTGTGCACACTACTACACGCGGAGAATTGTCCCGCACTACAAAATCGTTCCAAATTGAATTGAGGCAATAAGCTAATTGGTTTTTTTAATTTAAGGATGTGCCTCGATACGAGCACTCTTGTTATATTATCATTGATGATTTTTTTCTACAAAATTTTATGTTTGCTTAAATTTTGCGTTAAGTTACGATATCCCTTTTGACTCCGAAACTGCTTATTTCATTACATAGTTTTATGGAACGTTTATGCTGCATTTGCATGAACTCTGTCGAGTTAATTAATGCGCATCCGTTGCTGCCTCCTACTTTTCAATTAAGCAAAAGAAAATGTCTAATTGTATGATCAGCATTGTTGTTATGGTAAACTGTGGGCATACAATGCAGCAGATGGGGGTTCGAATCATGAAGTTACTCTCACGCAGAAGTCTTGCAGCATGTCGATGTTTTTTTTTACACAAACAAAGCTTGAATTATAGTAACAGATCTGAGCGAAGCATTTTCAATTTGAGAGATAGCGGTGCATTCAGATCTGAACGCAGCATTTTCAATTTGAGAGATAGCGGTGCATTCAAGAGGAAACAAAATGTTTTTTTTTTCAGTCTCAATATTCTTTAAAAATTCTAAACAGCTTTTGTGCTATGAATTCAAAGCGGCTTTGAATATCAAATTCAAGTTCCAAGTTGCAAGTTTGTTAACTTCATTTTACGATTGTACAAACTTGTTAAAGTTCATTTTAGTAATTGATCAATTATGCGCAGGAATCAAGATAATATATCAATGATGCAAATTGATTGAATGTACATTGCAAACAACTTATTGTTACGATTTTGAAGAAATAAAGAATATATATACTCGGGGTTTTTTTTCCAGACCAAATTCACAAAACTCTGTGCTCCTTTGGGGGAGCAATCCCTTGATCCGCATGGGCCCAGCCGGGTGTGCACACCACTACACGCGGAGAATTGTCCCGCACTACAAAATCGTTCCAAATTGAATTGAGGCAATAAGCTAATTGGTTTTTTTAATTTAAGGATGTGCCTCGATACGAGCACTCTTGTTATATTATCATTGATGATTTTTTTCTACAAAATTTTATGTTTGCTTAAATTTTGCATTAAGTTACGATGTCCCTTTTGACTCCGAAACTGCTTATTTCATTACATAATTTTATGGAAAGTTTATGCTGCATTTGCATGAACTCTGTCGAGTTAATTAATGCGCATCCGTTGCTGCCTCCTACTTTTCAATTAAGCAAAAGAAAATGTCTAATTGTATGATCAGCATTGTTGTTATGGTAAACTGTGGGCATACAATGCAGCAGATGGGGGTTCGAATCATGAAGTTACTCTCACGCAGAAGTCTTGCAGCATGTCGATGTTTTTTTTACACAAACAAAGCTTGAATTATAGTAACAGATCTGAGCGAAGCATTTTCAATTTGAGAGATAGCGGTGCATTCAGATCTGAACGAAGCATTTTCAATTTGAGAGATAGCGGTGCATGCAAGAGGAAACAAAATGTTTTTTTTTCAGTCTCAATATTGTTTAAAACTTCTAAACAGCTTTTGTGCTATGAATTCAAAGCGGCTTTGAATATCAAATTCAAGTTCCAAGTTGCAAGTTTGTTAACTTCATTTTACGATTGTACAAAGTTGTAAAATTTCATTTTAGTAATTGATCAATTATGCGCAGGAATCAAGATAATATATCAATGATGCAAATTGATTGAATGTACATTGCAAACAACTTATTGTTACGATTTTGAAGAAATAAGGAATATATATGCTCGGGGTTTTTTTCCAGACCAAATTCACAAAACTCTGTGCTCCTTTGGGGGAGCGATCCCTTGATCCGCATGGGCCCAGCCAGGTGTGCACACCACTACACGCGGAGAATTGTCCCGCACTACAAAATCGTTCCAAATTGAATTGAGGCAATAAGCTAATTGGTTTTTTTAATTTAAGGATGTGCCTCGATACGAGCACTCTTGTTATATTATCATTGATGATTTTTTTCTACAAAATTTTATGTTTGCTTAAATTTTGCATTAAGTTACGATGTCCCTTTTGACTCCGAAACTGCTTATTTCATTACATAGTTTTATGGAAAGTTTATGCTGCATTTGCATGAACTCTGTCGAGTTAATTAATGCGCATCCGTTGCTGCCTCCTACTTTTCAATTAAGCAAAAGAAAATGTCTAATTGTATGATCAGCATTGTTGTTATGGTAAACTGTGGGCATACAATGCAGCAGATGGGGGTTCGAATCATGAAGTTACTCTCACGCAGAAGTCTTGCAGCATGTCGATGTTTTTTTTACACAAACAAAGCTTGAATTATAGTAACAGATCTGTTTTCATTTTTAGTCACATATTTTGTCGCAGATTTTTGTTCAAAATTGTTTTTGCGTTATTCAAACAACTTAGGATATTCACTCAACTGTACGGAGTTCGATCCCCCGCTTTCCCGACTTCTTCAGCAGCTGATTTTTGTTGACTAATTTTTGTGGCTTAGAGCTCCATTTGCCGTGCTTTTGCTAGTGTTTGCAAATTGCAGCGTCGCTTTTTATTAAATCTTTTTGTGCACCAACTTTGAAGCGTATGACAGAAAAGATCACTTGGTAATCTAGGCAGTCGTCTCAATCTCAAAGGCCTCCTGCCTATCCCTCCTCTGTTCTGTCTGCTCGCTACGATTGTCTATCTCCTCTTTGCTCTGTTCGACACTTGGCCTATTTGGCCCCTCATGATTGGCAATCTACTACAGGCTAGTTTATAGTTTACGTTTTACATATATAAAGCATGAATGTTTAACTGCAAAAATGTCTATGAGCCGCAAAAAGATGAAAAGTATTCAAACACAAATGAGAGGATTCAGAAACTTTGATTCATTATTCATAGAAACCGAGAGGACTGCAATCTCAGGTAACGATGGTGAATGAATTCAAATTTTAGTTCCTGTTGCTGACGATGATCATAGGATAATCTGATGTTCATAATCTCAGCTCATTCAGTTTTATATATTTATGATGATGATCATGGTTAAATAATTCATCTTTTTGCTTTCAGGGCATGGGCGGAGGTTACTTGTGCAGTTTCGCCCTCGGGTACAGTTACTTGGCCCTCAAGTCTTCACAGGCTGGAAGAACAGCCAACATCTCTAAAGGAGAAGCATGCGGCAGTTTGGGCTTGCTCCTCGGACTTGTAGGCTGTGGACCGATAATCGATAATTTCGGTTTCTCCTATGTCTGGATTATCAACGCAGCCTTATACTTTTTCTGTATAATTTATGCAATCGTATGGGTACCATCGTTGACAAATGTGACTCTTCTGAGGGAATCTGCAACGTACACCAGGCTTCAAGAGAGTCCAGAACTTGCAACGTGTTGCAGCGGAACTTGTAATCTCAATTCAAACTGTAGAAGTCTGCAGCTGTGTTTTGGGCCTACAAGAGACCCGACCAAAGCCATCATTGTCGTGCTTCTCGGTTTGATCGTCGTTCTGTGCGACCTCTCGGGAGTAGCTGAGGCTTCTGTATCCTACCTGTACACGAAGAGTGACCCGATTAACCTGAGCCAATCAGATTACAGTTACTTCATGGGAGCCAAGACACTGGCGGGGTGTGTCGGCTCTTTGATCATTCTGCCTCTAAGCTCATCGTACCTACCCTTTTCTGATTTGTTTTACGCTATAGTTGGAATGTGTTTGCGCGCAGCCATGGAACTGTACACAGGTTGGTGAACATTTACAATGGTATAATACGTAATTTTTCTATATTAGGATAGTTATATGTGCAGAACTGCGGTTTTGCAAGATTATCTTTGTTTCAAAACCTAATTGTCTCCATATAACTTTTTTACACTTTGATTTTAATGCAATTTGTGGCATTGGATGAAATATACATTTCATATCTAAACAAAACAGAATTACCAAACGCCATGAACTATCTCTAAATATTGAGCTATCCAGAAATAAATTTGATAATGATTTAAGAAGAAGTTTGTAGTCTGAATATCTGCTTTCGGAGAGTTTCAAATATCGGTTAACGAAACAAGACTGCTCGTATATCAAATATGCAAATATATGTGACCTATAAACATGAACATATGATAACTAATTACGGTTACTTAACATTAAGTAGACAGCCGCGTAATTATACTCGTCAATGGGTAGTCAAATTCTATTTTAACCAATCAGAATCGAGACCAGAAAGCAAAGGACCAAAAAAAAATAATAATTGACGATTGTTTGTTTTCGATTTTTGCTTGCTCTTCTTTATTCTGATTGGTTAATATAGAATTTTTCTACTTACCGACGAGTATGAATACGCAGTTGTCTACTTACAGACCGCACTCTAAATATACTTTTTGTTATAACATCTCATACCAACAGGTTTCTGCCGCACTCAGTTCATGCTGTTCTTCGTACCCTTGTTCGCTCTATTGGCCAGTATGGTGGCACCCAGCTGTCGATCAGTAATTAGTAAGACTGTGGCCCCCCACCAAGTCAGCTCCGTCTTCTCTCTCCTCGCACTCGCTGAGTGCATCATAAATATAGGACAGTGATGGGCATTTAAAAAGCAGAAGTTCAAAATACTAAGTAATGAATTATAAAGCGAATGGGGAACTAATCAAATTGAAATTCTTTTTGATGGATAACGTTTGAAGAGCTTTAAAAAAAACCTCAGATTTTGAATTGAATATCACCAATTTTGGATATTAAGAATATTGGTTAAAATAACTTCTCTCTTTTTTCCAACTATTTTAGATTTTTTTTATTACAATGTTGAAAAATTGCTTAATACGTGATTTAAACTGCACGCTGCCATATTTCATATGCTCATTGAACTTGTTTCTTAGCCAGATTGTTTTTTACACTTGCCATAAGCAAGGGTATTGCAATCAGGTACTAGAATTTTTTCCCGTGAATAATTTTGATCACAGAATTGTATAAATTTAAAATGGTAAATGGTAGGTTCAATTCGTAATGAATTCAAAATTATTTGCGTGTTCTGCACACTGACTCCGGAGGTAACGAATACGCTTAAGACAGCAAAGGTCTTGGGTTCAAATCTGACATAAACTGTTTTTTTTTCAAACGGGAAATATTCTTTCATTGTCCTTTTCATTATTTTCGCGCAAAATTTTTGCGCAAAATCTTTATTCTGTCCAATTGGTTTCGGCTTTATTTTTCATCTGTTCTTTACATGATTTTGTGTCGTTTTGACGGAAAAAAAATTATCAAGCTTTTTTCTGAATTGCACAAAATGCAAAACATCTTAAAATCGAAATTATAGTTCAAAGTTTTTCATGGTAACCATTTGGTTTTCGGTTCTACGGGTATTTACCTAAGTTTTGTCTGTCCTCTTGCCGCTCGATAAAAGATCTTGGATTTTTATTAAACGCCGTCAGTTAAGTTTCTGGACGAGTGTTCCGCGAATAGAGCATCATTCCCGACAAAATCGTGTAGTTTTAGTTGTGGTTTTTTCTTTTGTTGTGGCTATCCTTTTCTCTTCTGCCTGCAATAAAATTAAAATTCTTTCCGCTATCCAGAGCATCTGACGTAGATGTAGAAACCCTGCTCGAGATGCGAAAAGCTTGTAGTTCGAACCTGGCTCGGTTGGGACCTGTTTTTTTGCAAACTTGATTTTTTCTACTTTTTCGGTCTATTGTCTTTGTTTTTTGTCTCCATAGTTCTCGTGGTCCCATACTCTTTTTGAAGGATCAGCTTTCTTTGAAAATTCTAATGCCATTTCTAAATCCCCATTGGCAGGGGTAATTGAGTTATACGTTTTTTTTGTGGATTTTTTGTTTTATTTTGAAAATTTTTAATGAATAATCTGCATAGTCCCATCATATTGCATCGCGAGAAGAGCGAAACAAGTTTCCTATGAGTTTGAGCTTTTTGAGAGGGTAATTTGATATTCAGTGAAATTTTGAAAACAATTTTTTAAAATTCGATGGATGTCTTCTAATAAGTTATCGTCTTTGTTACCGCTTCGTAAGTTTTGTTTGTTTGTAAGTTTTGTATGCTTGTGCTGTATCGCAAGTGGTGCGAAGCTCTGCTTCGCCTCTGTGACCAAGTTAGGTTATAAAGAATTTAATTGCAAAATAATAAGTAATCTTCGATTGAAATCAATGTAATGCCCATCTCTGCAACCAGTAGGAGGTGGTTCTTTCTTCAGTGCAATCTACCCCAGCACTATCGAGTGGTTCAGTGGCTTCTCTTACATCATACTAGCCGCACTGCTCCTCATTGGCTTGCTTGTCCTCATCGGACTAAAACTGAAGTTCACAACTCACCAATTCGGATCAGACTCTTCTGGCGATTGGTCGCTTGACTCTTCGTCCCTTGAAATTGATGATGTACATGCACATGATATTATAACTTGAATTCATATATTAATTCGCAGTTTTTTCAATTCGGAAGCTTGGTTTTTGGTGGTACGTCGAGTTTGACTTAGCAAATCGGCTGAATTGAAATTTTCCGAAAACAGTTCAAGATAGTGGAAAAATATTTAATACTCCTATTATAAGTTATGCCTGAACGTCTACCAAACTGTTAGAATAATAAAATTTGTTCTAATGTGTAAACTGAGGCGCAAATTTAAGACTTCGGGCAATTTTTTAAAACTTTTAAGATGGTTGACCGACAAAATATCGCATAGCCGTCAAAATGTTTACTTCCATTTTTCTAAGGGAAGCCTAATTACGCTTTCAATGAAGAAAATTGGAAATTTCGAGAAAAATACAGCTGAGGATATTGGGTGAAAATTTATTCCCAGTAAAAGAGGAGGATCTAGGATTATTTCATGTCTGTCCTACCCATCACTGTCTCGTTTACTTGGTAGTTCGTTTTCATTTTATTCTGGCACGCCACATTTTCATCTAACCATCAATAATTTATCTTTTGTTCAAAGAAACATTCGGCTACGTGAAACTACAGTTTCAAAAAAAAATTGCCTATGAAAAAGTCTAATCAACAATTTCATCAAATTCTTCAAACGCTTTTTACACTTACACAATCAGAGTGTAGTGTGATAGTACGACGCAACTTTTTTGGCTTTTTTCACCCCTCCCTCCACATTTTAAGTTTTCTATTTTTTTTCATGTCGTTTTACGCGTTATAACGGCTAAATGCGTGATATTGCGATGTAATGTATGAAGAGCAAATTTGTTCACAATTGTTGATTTGTTCTTTATGCAAAATTTTCTTGCCTTATGACAACGGTAATTTAGTTTTAAAAATTTGAAATTCGAATGTGAGAGAAGTGGAAAAGAGCTCTTTTTTTCAACCTATGTCACGGATAAAAGTGCTTCATTAAATTGGTTTTAGGAAACGGTTACTTTTAGGCTACTTTTGTTGCCTTGGTCTCAGTAGGCAGCATTAGCAGTATAGTGCCGCGTGCTTTGACATTCGATTTTTAATGTGTTAACACAGTTGATGATTTTTAAATTCATGAATTGAAAAGAAAAAGAAGATATTTGCTTCACACTACAGTACAAAAATAAAATCTTCTTTTCAGATATTATACAACACAGTATATTTCGCGAGTTTTTTGAAATGCATAATTGATACAAATTTTGGCTTAGCACACCGATTTATTGCATCCAAAGTATTGTGTTTTTTGTTGTTCCGACTTTCGTAACAATAGTAACAGAATATTTGTGCTCGGGTGGGTTTATTTTTTCTTCAGACAAATTTCGACTTTTTAATTAGCCATTTTTGACGGAATTTTTTTCTTATCATTTAGAAGCTATTGTCCTGAGCTTAAGTTTGAAAATAAATTTCACCTGTGATCATTTTTTGTAAAGTTATGGGGCTTAAAGATTGCCATTTTGGCCAGTTTGGGACAATTAACGCGCGATATGTTTCGCGCTATTAACGCGTAAGCAGATATTTAATCCATCATAGATATCGTTCCAAATTGGTTCAACGAAGCTTATATGCCCTAATTGATTTGTTAAAAGGAGCAAAATCTATCACCTTGTTCTTAATATGGCGTGTGGGGGATGATTTTCACAAAAAAAATCTCAATTTGAAAAAATAAATTAGTTTTATTTAATTACATTTAATTTTTTCATGTTACTACTGCTCCATAGACCTTAAAAGGCAGTCGGAACTGTCAGGGCTGCGCCCAAATTCGAGCAGTCATGTTTAATTAAATTCCAATGTTAACCTGAAAAAATTGTGTTTTTATGCATTTCATAGCTGCAAGATCTCTTACCGCTTTCACGTTTGTGGTTGCAAAGCTACAGCTTCGTCCTTGTGTTTACAATTGTTGAATTCATTGCAAACTAAACGTATCGATGTCAGCCACAAATGTTAGAATGTGTATGGAAAGAGCGCATAAAAAAAGTTTTGCTAGTAGTATGTGAAAATGGTTCTTTATTGATAGCATCATCCGGGTGCTGCATTCTAAAAGCACGCACAAAATAGATTCACATAATGATTCAAGCACGATTAAGAATTACAATGACAAAACATTCTGAATAGCGGTCAACTCTGGTTCAAGTTAAAAGAACTATTAGTCCTACCTGAATGTGAGAGAAGCGGAGCGCAATTGAGCTAGCTTTCGCTTCTTACCAATGCCGTTGGAGCTAATAGAGTTAACCCACATTACTACTTTCAAAAGTTTAGCCAATATTCATTTTAACTTCCAGTTAGCTGACTGTTCGCTATTTCAAAATTGGGTTGCTCGAAGAGCCCTGCTTTCTCGACTTGCTGCTCAAAGTAACGTTTTGTTGGATTTTTTAAAGCCTTCACTCTACGATATCCGTCAAAAATGTCAATCATTCATTTTTAACATTCTAGAGAAAATCAGACCAAAAATTGCCTATGATGTTTTGGGAAAGCTTTAGAGTAAAAAAATCAAAACAGTTTTACTTGGCTTCTCTATTCAAAAATCATCATGAGGCAATTATTTTGAGATTTTGTAAATTTCAACGATTGAATGTGAGGCAACTATTGAATATGAGGCAACTATCGAGTATGAGGCAACTATTGAGTATGAGGCCATTATTTTGGTGCTCATGAAAGTTTCGATGATTGGTCTTGTTCATTTCCATATCAATGTTTTCAGCCTCAAAATCAACAGATTGATTAGTTTTGAACAAATTTTGTACTTGTAAAAAATGGAAAAAAAATTTGGAAAGAGTTATTTTTTAGTTTAACATTTAACTATAAATTGATCATAATAATATACTAAGCAATTAAGTTTAAAAAATTTGTTGGCTTTGATTCAGCTTTGTTTTGTTTTGTGATAAAAATTAGAAGTTCAATCTTTTAGGGTGTATAACTGGGTAAAAAACCTTTTTAAAATAATTTTTCACTTGCATTGTTAGCTAAAAATTCATTGGAGTACAATTAAAATTGAAATTGAAAAAAAAATTGAGGACTACCTTGTGAACTTTGGAAAGTAGCATGTCAAATATACAAAACTATTGCATTGAAACAAAACAAGCTCATATATCACTGTAGAGTCAGCCTGGAGTCTAAACTTAGTATGAAACAATAGCAACTTCATCATTTTTTAGATAGTTTCCACACTCACCCTTGAGTTTGTTATAACCACTTT